CAGTTAGGAGAGATGCTCCAATCAATATTGTGGTCCAAGCCCCGTAAGGCTTTACAGGTCAAAACCAGCACCTTGAATTGGGCTCAGGTGTATGCAGACCACCAAGGCAAGCAGGCAAGAATTAGCCTCATATGCTACTGGCCCCGGTTATTAACCTCCTGCTCCTGCTGTTACTAATCACATAGGGTGCTGAGGTCGACCTCCCTTTCCTGCACAAGTCCACCCCATCATGCTGGGAACAAATCGGTGATAGAAAAAGTAGCAGGCGGCAGGGAGACATCCAGGGAGCAGCTGGATGTGGGCCAGCTGTAGAAGCCTCCTGCATTGCTGAGCCTGTCCCAGGCAGATCTAGGAACAGATGGCTCCTAAGAGCCTTTCGCACTCTTCAGCTCTGTGATCTCCTCCAAAGTGCCCTCCTGAGTGTCTTTACTCATCCACCTTCAAACCATTACGTACTGTTCCAAATTTATCCTGTCCCATGAATGCTAAATGGTAGCGATAAATGGTGTCTCTGCTCACGCACAGACCCTGGATCTTACAGCACATTCTTTTCTAACTCAGAATTTACTGAAATGTTTTTCAGATTTTCTGAATTTTGAAAATGCTTTGGGTTAGGTAGCAACTGAAATTGCTATTGTGCCATTGGCATGACCTGTCCATGCATTAATCGCAGACTTTTAAAATAAGTACTGGATGCCTATGAGGAGCTGCCTTGTGGGAGGATATAAAGCAATGCATTTGCTGGGTGTAGTCTTTTCAAACAATGCCTTACCTGGTTGTATAATTTCATGAAAGGAAACAACTTAATCGTATAGCTGTTCTTTGATTTCTGTCGGTTAATGGGTTGAATAATAAATGGGAAATGAAGTCAACAAATCAATGAAAACATTTAAATAGATTGAGAGGCCTCATTAAATCCTGAGACTATGTTAAGGGTTCTGATACAAGCATGTAGCTTCAGGCATTCAAAGTGTTCATTTCAAAGTATTTTAATTTTTCAACTTATTTAATTTCTATATTGCCCTGTAGCTGAAGCTCTTTGAGCAGTTTACAACAATGAATGAAATGACAGAATACAACACAACACAATACAAATAAGGTAAAACAGCAATGGAAGAATAATTTAAAATTAATTTAAAATGGCTGTAAAATATAGTAAAAATAAAGTAAAAAGACCCAGCAAGAACAATCACCAGGATAATTCCCTGCGCCCCCCCCCCCCCCCCAGATAGCCAAGGAGTTCTTAAAGCCCTCCACATAGAGGGCTGTCGTGTCCTGGCAGAGAAAAGATGGCAACTTTGGCACCAGGTGGGCTGTGGCAGGGAGGTTGTTCCAAAGATGGGGGAATAGTGAAATCTTCTAGTAGTAGAAAGATTTGTTTGCATATTTGCTAGATGTATATCCCACCATTTTTCTTACAAAGAACTCAAAGCAGCTTCCATCATTCTCCTCCTGCTTCTCTCAATCTTATCAGCACAACAACAACCCTGTGAGGTAGGTTGGGCTGAGAGTCTGCATCTGGCCCAGAGGCACCCAGCTGGCTCCATGGCTGAATGCAGACTCGAACCCAGATCGCTGGAGTCCCAGTCCCTTGCTCTTAACCACTATACCAGACTGGCTCTCTTTGCATGCACAGGGCATTTCCTGACACTGAAGTGAGCGATGCACCCCCATGGCTCGGATGAGCACACACTCCTGTATATGAACCAGAGCTGCTGATTCAGAACATAGTTGCAAGACCCAGTGCTGCAAAACATTCACTATCTTAGTCCAGACTCTTTATGAATCCATAATCTGGAACTTCCCTGCTTGTCCCTTCTCCCACTTGACCTCTCTGGGTGCTCTCACATCTGAGTGACAGACGCTTTCTCCAATCCAGCACTCTCATTCCCATGGCCCATGTCCAAGTAGGTGTGAGTCTGAGGACAGTTTGAGTTTGAAAGGGATGCTGAATTTAAGAAGAGTCATGCTGGCACAGACCAAGGCCAACATAGGCTATCACTGTGTTCACACAGTGGCTAACCAGTTGCCCTTGGAAACTCCGTAAGTAGGCCATGAGTGCCAGGACACCCTTCCACCTATGTTCCACAGCGTAAGCACTCATGCTTCTGATACTGGAGGTAGCATATATCCATAAGCACTAGTAGTCATGGATAGCCCTATTCTCCAGGAATTGCCGTCCAAATTGGTGGCCATCACTGCATTTTGTGGTAATGAAGTCCGTAGTTTAACCTTGCACCATATAAAGGAGTCTTTCCTTTTATTCTTCCTGAAGCTCCTACCAATGTGCACCTCTATCCATCCATGCATCCATCTCACAACTGAGCAGAAGACAGATTGGGATTGCTTGGTAGGTCTGGGTGATTTGGAGTAGATCAGCAGGGCCTGTGACTCCCAGTTCTTCAGCAGCAACAACATGCCTTCCCTCTGCCCTTTAAATTAGGCAGCTGATATGAAGAAAGCTGCAGGGAGAAGCAGATGTGGGCTTTGGTGTGGAAGGACTGGGAGTTCGGTTCTGCTATTGGAAACAAATTCTTGATCTGAGCTGTGTGAACAGAGGTCTCCTGTCCTTTAATGCCACTTGGTGTCTGACTTCCCTGGGCTATTATTTTGCACAGGACTCCAACTGGTCAACCTTGGGAGATTTATAAAACAAGCAAGCCAACACACACGCACACAACCTGCAGGGATATCTTGCAAACCTGACATCTGTCCACCCCTGCTCTATATTTGCCAGGCAGTTCTCTCCCTTGTACCTGATAGATCTTGTCTCCACTACGCATGTGTGTTGGTCTACACAACTTTCACTGTGGCTGCTCCTAAAGCATCCTAGTAACAGTTTGATGAAGGTGCTGAGGATCTTCTGTCAGACTAGCTCCATTCACAGAGAACCGGTTCCCAGGTGTGGAATTCCAAAACTCTTGCCTCATACAGTATCGAATGCATCTTGTACATAGTCCATTGAGTACTATGTTTTCCTCCCTTCACACATCCAAGGCAACAATTTCTTTGCAAAAAGTTCTTTATTCACCAAAGTATGCCCAATAGATGCAATCCCCACTGAATATATAGAACCACATAGAACAACTTCTAGAAAGCCTCCTTGTGCTTGTCTGGGCCCAATCCATTCTAAAGAGCCTGTCTGGAAATGAGCATTCCTCTTTTCTGTCTGGCTGTCCTCTGATTGGCTGGCCCTCCTCTTCTGATGCCGTATCATGGGGTCAAGAGTTATACCAAGTGCATCTGACGCAGAGCAACTCTCCCATGCCCCACCTGGCACCTGTGCATCTGGGCTGTTCCCAGAGCCTTCTGAGCACCTGGGAGAGTGGCCGTGAGACAGTTGCCTCTGCTTCCTTCAGTCTCACGTTCCCAAAGCGCCCCCCCCCCCACACACACACACACTTCATTCCCTGATTCAGAACCCAGAACAGCATGGCCCTGGCGTGTGTACCGACAACGGCCTCCCTCATTCCCAACAGAGTCTTCCTTTAAGAAGTCCAAGCAGTGGCAGCAGCCTCCAATAAATTTAGGGTGAACATCCAGTTGTATACTAATAGTGGACTTGCTACATCTTTTTGCAGATAACCTTCGCAAGATCCATGGATAAGTGTGATATGTATTCATTTATTGAATTATGCAATCTTTTTATGACTCTGTATGTGAAGCAAAAATATAGATGGGAAAGAAAAAGACAAAAGCAGGTTGAAAGAAAGGGCATTACAGAAACAAGATGGATGAGAACATTTTACAGTGGGATTGTACAAGGATATGCCAACTGCTGGTTGGATAAATCCAGAAGGATACAGATGCAAGCCTCAGGCTTGTGGGAATGCTGCCAGCACACTCAGCCCTTGCTGTTATTGATTGCATGTGTGTGTGTGTCTTGTGCAACAAACTGTACAAATCCTATTTGTGCCATTCATAGCCTTAGCAAAGGATTACTGGAAACAGATCCCCCGTTGGTCGCAGGGAGCTGGAGTAAAGGTCATTTGCCCCCACCCCAAATAGAGCAGCTCTTCCTAGTCTTGGGTCTACATATGTTATGGACCTAAAACTCCCATTATCCCTGACCTTCAGGGACCTAATGTCCCTGTAACAGGGAATGAGCTCTGCCAAAGTTGACAGCAAAAACCATCTGCTTGGCAGAGTACATGTGCCTTAGGGTTTTTTCCCACCTGTTCAGGACTTTTGGGGTGGCATCCAGACCCCTTTGTTACATTGTTCTGCTAGAATCTTTCCTTTTCCACAGGGGTCAGTTTGCCTCCTACAGCCCCTACAGCCACTGGTGAGACTAACCCCTGTCCCTCTGCAGTGCTGGCTCATTGCCCATTAGTTGATCTCTTGGGCCACTCAAAATGTTCCTACACTACACTGGTTCAGCTTCCGCATTCATGCAGCCAAGTGGTTCCAGTGCAGGGAAGAACCACTGGATTGTCTCTGGCCCTGTATCTTCTCTTGTCTTTTCCAGCCTGAGTTGGAGGACTTCCTGAAGTTTCTCCATCTAGATCCGTTTTCCCAACTTTTTACTCCCGCATGCGTTGGACTGCAAATCTGAAAAAGACTGGGAGTGGCAGTCCAATATATCTGGGGGGAGGGCACCACGCTGGAGAAGGCTCATCCAGACCCAAGGGCCTCTTACAATCCTGACTGACCATCACCAGGCAGAAAACTGTGAATAAATACAAAGGGGCGAATGTATCACCCAGCTACTGAAGCATTGCACTGCACAGAACTGCATATGATCTCCAACTCAGATTAAGACACACCTTTTGAAAAATGAATTGAAACCTGTCCTCCAAAGGAGGAAAATTCCATGCAACACTGAAATCCAAAGTCAAGTGTAGGTATTGCTTGATAGCATATGATTCTAATGTGCTGCCTCATAGCCAATGGCTAAATCCATCCTGGTTTGCATTTTAAAAGATGTTGTTAGAGTATTTATGCACGTCAAGCCATGCAGTGACATGTGCACACACCTCCTTTTGCTTTTCTGTCACCAGCTGGTGAACGAGCAACAAGAAAGCAGACCGCTTCTGAGCCCCTCCATTGATGACTTCCTTTGCGAAACCAAATCAGAAGCCATTGCACGACCCGTGACATCCAATACAGCAGGTAATGGAATGTTCTGCTGCTTTCCCAACCAAAGTTGCTCTCCAAACTTGTCTGCTGCTTGCCAGACCCTCAGAAGCTTAGGGCAGTAATGTGTGCTGTCTGTATTCCAGTGGGATCCACTCCAAGCCCGGAAGAAGTGATGATTCCTGCAGTTATGCTAGGAATGAGCACAAATATTTCTGGAACTAGGCAGGGCACTGGACATCCCAGCAGAGAACTCTGCTGGCCAGTCCCATTCCAGAAATGAGCGTTTCTGCTCATTCCTGGGGTTGCTATAGGAAGCCATGGTTTCAGTTGCCCTAGAGGTGAGCTCCACAAGTGCAGCAGGAGTATTAGATATTGCCCTTTCTGTGTAGCTACAACTGTCTAGCAAAATCCTGATAAAATGGATGCAGATTGTTTTAATTGGGTAGGGCTAACATGGCTTAATTGGTGGTCAAACTGCCCAAACAGAGGGGAGAATGAGGCACATGTCCAGCTTCTTTTGGACTTCCTTGGAGCCCTCTTTCCCCACTTTGATCCTGACATTATTCAGCCTTTCCACCATAGTCCCCTTTCACTTGTACCTTCCTCATTTGCTTTTTTGCCTCAACAGAACTGTCTCATTTCTGGGCATTTATTTACTGAAGGCACAATCCTATGTCTGTGTACACAGGGAAATGCTGGGAATTGCTGCCAGGGGAATGCTGGGAATTGTAGGATGCTTTTGTATGTGAACATACACAGGATTGCACGCTTAGCAGGTCTACTTGCAGCCACAACATCGTCCTGCAACCTCTTACTGGTTCCTTCTTCTAAAACCTCCAATCAGCTCCCTTCTCTCCCCAGTGACGTCTTACTGCCATAGACAAATCATTATTTCCAGAAATTTTGAAAACCCATTAGCATGCAATTCAACGGCCAGTAACAACAATAGCAGCAGCAGTAGGAAGAGGAGGATTGAAGGTCAGTGTAGGCATTTCAGTGGCTTTTTGCTAACTGGTTGAGGCACGTCAGTTAAGAAGCAAGTAGTTGTCCTTAGGATGCCTTGAAGTATTGGAGTTCTGTGCCATGGAACACTTCCCGCTCCTGGAAGATCTGCTGTTGGCAGCGCTTCTGGGCCGCCTGCATCACTTGCCTGACCCAGGAGGGCTGTTCTTCTGCTGAGTAAACGGCACTGCTGCCCTCCAGAATTCAGAGTAGCCTGAGGGGAAGGGTGGCCCCTGAGCAGCACGACCTTCGGGACCGCACAGTCAGCACGCTTGCCTGGAGCTGCCTGGCTGGGCTGGCTTCTCCAGCATGCGCCACCAGGGTCACTTCTGGATGAAAGAAGGCAGGGCCGCCCCAAGATGTCTGCCTTTGTGGCGCAAAGAACCGTTCCATGCAGAGAAGCTGGCAGGACTGATGCCAGAACAGCCTCCTACTGGAGGCAGCAGGCTCAGGTAGAGGCCACAGTGCAACCGGCGCGGCACATGGGTCTTCCCTCCCAGCATCTGCTGCCTGAAGTGGCCGCCTCGCTCTGCCTAATGGTAGGGCCAGTCCCAGGAAGGCCTCTGGATGCCCCTTCTAGTTGCAGGATGCAACTTTTGCTTGCAGAATATCCTCTGTCCAATTTATTTAATGATGCAATGGACTCTCCTCCTTTGTTCCAGTGGCACTCAAGGTAGCTAATGGCACTCAAGTCAAGCTCATTGCCCAGATCCCACTACAGAGATCAGAGAGACTGTAGAGCCAGGTCCTCCAGGTGCTTTTTGAAATCCCGGAGAGCCACTGCCAGCCATTGTGGATCAGAGATCATAGAATCATACGACTGGAAGGAGCCTAGCAGGCCACTGGTCCAACCGCCTGCTAAGTGCAGGGGTCAAGTCACCCACCCAGATTTCCACCAGGTCTGACCCTGCTTAGCTTCCACGATTGGGCAGAATCAGGCTATTTGGAGCTCACTGGACCAAAGGGACGACTTGGTATGAGGCATGCTTCCTATTTCTGTAAGACAGACCCCAGCGAATCCCTTGATTGCCATCCCTTGAAGGCCTGATAGAAACGTTTTCAAGGAGGCTGCCCTATGAAAGATGTTGGTTCATAAGCAACTTCAGTCCGTTGTGATGAACCATGAACCCTCAGGCAGCCTAGCAGGGGTTTCCTTCATGTCACCCACTGCCTATGAACTGCACATGCAAGAGACCAGACCTGGGGCAAAGCATGTGCTCTGTTAATGACTGCTGGCCCCATCTGCTCTTGATCAGGTGAGACAGCAAAGGTGCGACATTATCCAGAGTGTCAAGGAAGCGGAGAGAGAGCAATCTTTCTCCCTCTCTCCCGCAGTGAAAGTCATCCCCTGAAGCTGAATGTTGAAATTTTCACCCTTCAGATAGAGGAACGGTCAACACAGCCTGTTACTTATTATTTATTGTCTTAATAAATGTTGTCCCATGCTGTCAAGTTGTCTCCCACTTATGCCAACCCTGCGAATGGATGCCCTCCAAAACGCTCCATCTTTCATAGCCCTGCTCAGCTCCCGTAGACTCAAGGCTGAGGATGTTCCATTATGGAGTCAATCCATCTCATATTTGGATGGTTCCCCAGCACTTGTTACACGATCAGAAGTGCTGCTGCAAGATGCAGTGAAGACCACCAGCTCTGAGGGCTTTAAAAGGGGATGAGACTAATGCATAGAGGAAAAGGCTATTGGTGGCCACTATTCATTATGACTCTATGCTGCTTTCTCAGGGTCATTGTCCATTGTTGCAGTCCATTAGCACATCCATGGCTGTCCCATGGCACCTTCCCGCAGTTGTCATGAGTCCATGAAATCCTGAGCCACCCCACACAGCGGGCCCTAAGTGAGGATGTCAATGTCCCTCAAGACCAACAAGACAGCCAATGTCCCTCTCCGTCTCAGCCAGGACAGCCTCTGTCAACTCAGGCGTGAGCAGTGCATCAGCAGAATCCCCACTCTGTCCTCCTGGCGGAGCACAAGATGCAAACACACTAGACCCACACTCAGACAGACAGCAAGCCTAGAGAGATAGAATCGCTGTAGGCCATAGCAAACCCCACTCCTTGGCTTTCCAAGCTGCCCTGATGTAGTACTAAGTACCCCAGTGGGCACAGATGGGAGAGGATAACTCTTCCCTATTCACCTACCCAGATCTCGGAGATACATGCCAGATTGGCCACCTCAGTCACTAAGTCACAGATAAGACAATATTCTGCACAAATCTGGCACTGGAGACTAAAGGACGGGCTGATATATTCAGCTCAGCATTCTGTTCAGTGTCTATCCAGTCCAGCACAGCTCTTCATACATTCTTAGATATTTACTCATCCTGAACAAATACGGATGTTTTGGCAGAATCGAACTTATCTGCATGATGTTAGCACACAACTAATTAAACTGCTTTCATGGCCATCGCTGGAAAAACAGACTTTTGTGCTTTTGGTGTACAGCAAATACAAAAATTCCCTTGTGAAATCTAAGCGTTCCTTTGCCATACCACTGTCTTGCCCAGTATCTGGAAGGACAACAAGGAAGGCGATGCCATAAAACATTACGACATCATCTCTCCTCTGTCAGTCCCTCCCAGTTTTTCTAACTGTTTCGGGGGTCTGGGGGGCATCTGGAAGATGACGTTTATATCCTCTTTTCTGCTTAATAACAGTCAGTGCCTTTCATGAGCTTGCTGAAATCCTCTTGTGGGCCATGTATATGCCAAGTTGGCTAAGCTGCACTGACACAGATGTTTCAAGCAGCTGAAAGTTGAACTGGGTGAAGATAAACTTGTAGCATCGGCAAAGCCATTAGGTCAGCAGCCTTTGAATGCTGCCGAGAAGAATACCGTGCAGCCTTCTTTATCTGAATGGCGCGTGCCAAGGGAGCAATGAAATCACATCAGTGGCTTTTAGCCACACCGATCTGAAGTCCTGTGTCATTGTCAGTGCTGGGAGCACAAGTTGAAGCCTGCCTGCTCAGAAGCAAAGATGCATCGGAAGCAGAAGCGAGCTTAGTGCCAGTAATTGTGCCTAGAACTGAAATATTAAAATGGTGAGCTTCATATTTATAGAGTTTATTTGCATTAGGGTGACTGGGTACGGCCCTAATTTGGATCAGGACCAAGATGCACCAAGAGGGGAGGATTATTCCTTCCTTTCACCTATTTTGCCCTGTAATTGCACACTCATTCACACGCACACACGTGCATACAGGGTGTGTGCCAAGGAGGGAGAACTCTCTATTTTGAAAGGACAAAAGAACAAAATGGTGGTGGAACAAAGCTAGAACGGAAAAGGTGAAACTGTATGTCCAAATCACTCTTGTTGGTGCTAAGGAACTTCATTTGTTCACACCTCTTTTATATGTTACTAACTTTAAAGAGTCTTAAAAAGGATGATCATCCTCACCATAATCACAGCTACTACCACCTTTATACCTTTATTTATTTATTTAAAGCTTTTATCTATCATCCCGTTACCTTCCCGCTCTTCCTTTTGAAAGAACTCAAGGTGGCTTTCACAGTCCTCCTCCTCTCCATTTTATCCTGACAACAACAACCCTGTGAGGTAGGTTAGGCTGAGAGTCTGTGACTCACGCCAAGTCACCCAGTAAACTTCATGGCCAAGTGGGGAGCAGACCTGGATCTCCTGGGTCCCAGGACTGCATGAGCCCTACATCACACCGACGCTGCACTCTTACTTAGAAATGGGCAGCTCACAACCAGCACTGTCCGTCGCCCCAGGTGTGCTGAACATTAATGTTGTGAATCCAGGTCCCCAGTCCAGCACCGCTCTCTCGGGCAGAGTCTAAACTTTGGGGGGCTGTCCATGGTGCTGAACGCTGTCCCCGGAGGAGCTTTGCAACTGTGGGCAGCCCCTTTAAAGTTCTCACTAATGCTCAGAATGGGCAAAGTACTGCACTGGCCTTGGACCCACCAGCCTCCACAGGGTCCCTCTCCACCCATTGGACGCACCTTTCCATCCGAATGGGAATTCCTTCTCCCATAGCTTGGGCCATTCATTGCTGCATCTAAGCATGGCTAGAGCTGGGGCGAGGTCTGTTGCTGCGAACCTTGGCACATTGGCTGGGATGTGTGTCCCACAGTCAGTTCGCTTCTGTTAGATATTTGTGTTTGCAGTTACTGCAGTCAGTATGACAGCAGTAAACTCCCTTCCCCCTTGGAGCTTGGAGCACCAGCCTCCACTGATGGGATCTAGAAGAACCGTGCTTGCACACCGCCACCACGGCAGTGCTCAGATCTCCCTTACTGGGCTGGGGTCCTGGAGCCATTCTACTCGAGGGATACACCAGGGACACAGAACCCCAGGTTTGGCAGCCACATCTGGTCCTCCAGGAGTCCCTGACCACCCTCTTGGGGTCCTGGCAAGGCCATGCCCCTCTACCCCTTCTTCTTTTCCCCAGCTGCTGGTATTTTGGTGGTTGCCTGGCTTTCGTGCATTTTCCTTCAGCCTCCTTAAACTTAGTTACTGACAGTAAGAATCTGAAGTTAAAACCATACTCACGTTTTTGGTATTTTAAGTCCTTTCCATGTCGCCTTTGGCCATGCCCACCTTTGGAGTGTGGTCCGGAGAGCATCACCAAAATGGTGCTTGCAGTAAAAGGGCTTCTGCACCCACAACATACAAAATGGCAAATAAAATGAATGCCCATAAATAGAAGGCAGAATTTAATGAATCCTGAAATGATTCCTGCAGAGGTTTGGCACCAAGGGCAAGGCCAGCAAACTCTGATTACACACTTTAAACCCTTCCATTAAAATAATTGGGAGTTAAGAGAGCTTTTATCTGGTGTTAGATTTTTACCAAAGATATTGGCTGTGGCTTTTCTTTTAATTAAAAAATGCATGAAGGAAGTGCAGAGAAAGTGGCAGCAAAATCCATGATGAACATGTGCATAGATTCAAACTGCTATATTCACTAATTCTGTCATTTGTGCTGGCTGATTATCTATATCTGCATCTCCTGTTAATGCACTCCATCAAAAAAACAAACAAAGAATATGCATTGGTAGATTTAATTACACATAATGTTCCCAATGCTTTTTGCTATTTTTAAATAAAACTTTGAGTTTTCCTAACACTTTATGCTGAAGTTTTCCAATTCATGCTTAAATATATTCACTCTCCTCCTAATCTGTGACATAAAATCACAAAATAATTACAAGGGAAACTGTTCAGTGTCAGGGGTTTGGTATTATGGGGAACATATTCTGTGTGTGTGTTGACATCCAGAGTTCTTTGTCCAGGTCCTCCGTCCTTTACCCAATGCCTCTTCACCTGCCCTCCTTGAGGATTTGTAAGTGAAAGGAGGTGGGGCAGGTGGCTACTAAGGACAGGGCCTTTTCGGTGGAGGCACCCTGGTTACGGAATGCTTTCCCAAGAGAGGACCACCTGGGGATTACATTGTAGAGATTTCAGTTCCAGGTGAAGACCCTTTGAGGGCAAGTTCTAGGGCTTATACGGTACTGAACAGGACTCGCATCTCCAGTGGTGGAACGCCAAAAGCTGAACCCCCATGCCCTGCCCCCTCACAGCTGATGTGGAAAGACCCGCCTTCCTCCCTGAGGTTGCAAAGCAACCATGCAGAGGAGGGCCAAAGGACATGCCAGGGGGCTGGAAGGGAAGGGGGCTGCGGCCAATGTCTTAAGCTCTGTCCCCACAGTGTCGTCATCCTCCACAGCAATGACTCTAGAAGGCCAAAACCGGCTCCCTGAGAAAATGCAGGGCACAAGGCCAGTGCACCTTTCTCTGTGCACCGGATGCTCATAAGCCCCCAGGTTTGGAGACCTGCATGCATCAGCATCTGGGGGAGAGGACTGAGTCCTTATTTTACCAGACTTTTTAGTCCTATCATTTTAAAAACTCTGCTTTTGGGTCGCTGCAATGCTTCTGGCTTTTATGCTGGATTGTGGTGCTTTAGGCTGCAAAGGAAGCTCTGCCTGCTTGAATGGTTGGTTTCCCCGTGAAAACCAAGCGGTGCCGCCCTCACTGCACTGGCATGCCTGGAGAGGGCTGTCCCACAGGACCTTGCTGAATGCATGACCCTTCACTCTCCCTGTTGTGTGTGTGCCTGGTTTTTTAAACTCTTAGACAAATATTTTATTTAAGAAATACCAGGAAACCATGATAGAGTAACAAACTGTCAATGCACAAAGCATGTTTTACATTATTCATCACAGGTTCTGTACATAATTTAGGGTTATTGCCCCTGAACCTTGCAGTGTGCATTTTAAAGTCTCGTAGTATACATTTTACAATTGCTCTTAGTTATACTAATGGAAGTGCAAGCTTTTTTCTTGTTTTTAACCAAAAGCAGCTTGAAGAGTAATGCAATAGGTGGGGGAGAGCATTAATCTTGACCCCAAACTTGGCTGGTTTCCCAAAAGCAAATTATCCTTCTGGAGCTTCTACTAGCAATAGATGAGAAACATGAATCACACATGCTGGGTGTGCATGCTTTCTCCATCATCATCATCATCATCATCATCATCATCATCATCTCTGTATGATCCCATGGCTGGAGCTCTTTGAGCACTTTATAAGTTCTTTGGGGTAGGTAAGTGAGGACCCTCACTCACCACAAACTCAGTACAAATATTTTGAGTTTGAGAAGTTTGAGATGATCTGTTTGTTTTTCCACTTGATAAATAATGTTTAAAACTGTTCTGCATTGAGCAATATCAGAGCCCTGTACAATAAATTAAAACACAAACTACAGACAGTTACCAAAATCTTGACTCTTCCCCAGCTCACCACATGTCACATCTAGTTTGGCTCATGTTTTGACAGTTTAAGTAGTTGATTTGCACTCAAGTGCAACAAGAACTCGCCCACTTTCTTTTTAAAATACTGGAAATGTGACAGAGGCATGACAAAGCTGAGTGAATTGTTACAACAGTTGCTATCATGTTGGGCCTGTGATAGTTTTGTCAACAGGGTTGGATCTCTTGGATCTGAATGAACCTGTTTCCCAAACCCAAAGCAAAGCGAAAAAGCTGGAAAACTCCACAAGAGGGGAAAGCTTAAAGGCTTCAGCCCACAGAAAGAAGGCAGACAACCCAGACCTTATCAGCGTGGATGCTGAGCAGAAAATCCACCCTATCAGAGGACCTGAGAAGTCAGCACTGGATTTAGGTACTTGCTATCTCTGATCGCTGTCTATGAGCCAATGAAAATTCCCACTTGCCTTTGCTCTGTTGCCCCTCTTATTTTTATCAGGACTTAGTGGTCTTGCTCAGCCAGGGTTGAACCTGGAGGTAAACCTGGGCTATGAAAATAAAGATATGGATGTTCCTTTAGTGCTTATTAACATGCTGAACATCTCTTACCAAAGGGAGATAGTTAATGCATTTTCCTTTTAATAGTAATGTAGGAGTTGCTTTAGCATTTTCAGAGATGGTTCTACTCTAGGCTCCATCTCCTGTGGATTAGTCACTGCATCATGGAGTCTACAAGGAGCAGAGCCTTTTCTTTTGTAGCCCCAGTGTTCTGAAACTCTCCTGAGAGGGACTTGTTCTGCTGCCTCCCTTCATACAAAATGTATGGGTAATTCTTATACATTTTCTCTGGTGCCCACTGTAACACTGCACTATGACAAGAATGCCATACAGCTTGAACTGGCTTGTTTACAGCTACTGCAATTATTTCCTCCTCACCCTTGCTTGATTCTAGAGGGAAAAGAAAATATTTCTGAATTGCACTCGTCTAGCAAGGTCATTTCCTTTCCTCCTTCTCAGTTAATATTCAGGCCCAGCTGGAAAAATGGGATGATGTCAAGTTCCGTGGAGACAGAAGCAGCAAGGGCTTCCCAGCACCTGAGAGAAAATCATCGTCCTCTAGAGCGCCATCAAAAGAATTTTTATGGTAAATTGTATTTCTTGACTTCCTGTGGGCCAGGAATTATGGGAGTTGGCAGCCCAACCCATCTAGAGGGTACCAGACTGGGCAAGACTGCTTTACAGGCGCTCCTCGCTAGGCAAGGATGTTAAAGATCACCAGGAAAGGTGTCACAGAAGCTCCTGAAGTAAACAGACAGGCATGCTGGAAGCTAAGGAAAAGCAATGCTTTTATTAGAACGGCACTGCAGAAACACACGCGTGCGTGTCAGACTGCAAGAGAGATCCCTTAACACCCTTCCAGAAATGTATGCATGTCAGAAAGCATAGTACAAAAGGGTCGCCAAACACACAGTGCTTCTCCAAATTGCTTCCTCCTGTTTTCTCTTCTAAAGAAACCTTGCCACTAAGAGCAATAAGCAGCTTATCTCAAGCACAGAGGTTACAGCGCTGAGTCGGAGCAATGGGTGCAGCATTCAGGCAAAGACAACCCTCGGGCTTCTCTTCTCTGCTCCTCCTATACTGTTTAATGCCATTCTGACCTCATGTCTTCCCTGTCACTGACTCCTGGCACTGTGAGAAGCGATGTCCAAAATGCCGAAAGCTGTAATTATGGGTTGTTTTTGCTACTACTGCTGTTGTGATGCCTGTATCTCAGCATATAGTCCGATTTGCCATTTCATAAGCAATGCAAAACAATCATCATCATATTTTTATCCCACCTGTTTTCCTCTTGAGTGCAAGAGGCCTTCCTCACAACAACCCTGTGAGGTAGGCTAGGCTGAGAGTCACTGTCGGACCCAAACTCACCCAGTGAGCTCCAGGGCTGAGTGGGGACTGGAACCCAGATCTCCTGCATCCCAGTCCAGCACTCTAACCACTACCCCAGCCTGGCTCTATGAAATAATGAGAAAGTAAACTGAGGTGCATGGGCCAAAGTGCTTTTGCGAAAATGAGTTTCCACTTTTAAGGAGGTGGTTTTAATGGGACAATCATTTTATTATTATTTCATTATGATGGTTATTGCTGTTATATTCTGTGGAACACTGCTTTGGAGAGGCCATTGGGCACCCTGAAAGGCAGAATATAAATATGGGAAGACACCAACACCCCACTCCATTTTCATGGCACAAGCCGAGGAGCCAAGGGATGCCAAATCTCCATATTAGGGGACAGACTTCTCTATCCATTTCCTTTTCTCCCACATCTATATTTTTAAAGCTGAACATCTTTCTCAATTGCTTATGAATGACACTGTGATTTTTGATAAATTCTTACAAGCTGAAATGTTCTAGCTGATTTCAAAAGGCAGTTATTTCCAGCACAAAGAACGGCATGATATACCTGCATCTTAAAGATAAGGAGCTTCTCAGAGAAAAAGAAGCAGCAACTTCAATTTGGCACTAACATGGTTAAATACAGAGGGGTTCAAACCAAGACTGTTAGCAGCAAAATAGTCCAAGGCCAGAGCCTGGATGGATAGCATTGTCCACCTCTGTTTCTCCCATATTCAGTTTTTTCCAGTTTCAAGACTGTTTTGCAAAGTTCAGAACCTTCTTGTCAAAACTACACTGACATGAAATTCTCGGGTATCCCCAGCTTGCATGCACACCTGTGAACAAGTTTCACTTCCTTGTCACGATTCAGTTTCCTGGCCAGTTCCATGTGAGCAAATATCATGTGAGAATAGTTTCCTTTCTTCCCTTGGGAGCTCTCCGTGCATACGAAGTGGAGCCTCCACATTGCAAAGCATCCCTGCGAATCTTCAAAGGCAATTGAGAGGCGCCACGCTAAGTTGTGTTTATAGTCTTTGATTCTGTCTGCATTCAGGCACCACTATTCTTGCTGCTACTGTTACCCATTCTGCAGCCACCCCCTGGCCTGGTCATTATAATCCATTGTGCTGAAAATATATGAAATGGTCTTTTTTCACTGCTTTGCACCTTACAAGAATCAGTGGAAGCCAAATGCACAGGTGCATTTCTGCTTCTGCTTCTTGGAGGATGGAAAAGGGGGATTGGTGCATCTTCCCTATCAGGAAATACATCATGATCCTCACGAATATCTGGAGCCACATGCCTGGTATCAGGAGATGCATGAATTTGCCTTTTTTGCATTGCTAGAAGTTATAGGAAGCAGAGATGCAAAGGCATGTGTGCATCTGCTATTCAGTTCTGTGTGGCTGTGTGGAGGTTCTTGAGGCCTGTGTCTTGGAAGCAGGCGAGACTCAATATATTTACATCTCAAAGAGTATTTGGTTCACTCTCTGCTGCTGTGCTGCACTCTTTGTAGGTCTGCAGAGAACAGATCCCAGGTGGAGCTGGGCAGCACCAAAACTGCACTGGAATCTGATCCAGCTTCAGATATAGAATTAGCACCTGCATCAAAGGTAAGAGATCACCTTGGCCAAGAGTCATTTGGCCAAGTGCTCTGTAAGAGACAACTGAGAATTGCCTTCCTACTCATCTGCAAAAGACAGATATCGGGCGGGGCGGGGGGGGGGGGCTGAGCAGGTCTGGCAAGGACAGGACATTCTGCAGAGTGTTCAATTCATGGGGCCGCCATAAGATGGGGAAGACTTGATGGCATGGAACAACCACATAATTTAAAGTGTGTTGAAGAGTCCATGCAGAGTTCCCTGATTCTCCAAATGTGAGATGCTGTGCTAGCATGAACTCCCTTCATTCTCCACAGCTGTTTTCCTCCCAGGAGAGTTTTGGGACAAGGAACAAGCCTTCCCAGGGAAAGAAGGAAAAGCAAAGTGCAGGTTTGTTTCTTGGTGGGGAGAGAGAGTTTTCCCATCCTTCTCAAGCCCTGCTCTCTGCTTTAGGCTGCCTCCTCATCCCTGCTCGACACCAGATTGCAACATCGGTATTTTGACAAACAGCAGCGCATTTAAAACATAGCAATGGTTGAATTGCATACAAGGCATGCTAAAAGGTCAGTTAGCCATGTCCAGTACCAGTGACATCAACATAATACCCACACTGAGCAATGCATTCAGCAGTTCCCACTAAGTGACCAAACATCTAGTCCAAATCGAAGTAGCGATGGAAGTGGAAAAATAAAGCGGACAACACTGAACTGCTCTGTGCAGCAGTCCCAGGCCAGTGGGGCAGAATATGCGATTTCCCTGTGCAGCAGGGGTGGGCGACTTCAGGGGGTCTGGGCCACCCCCCCGGCTCTCCTCCCCCCCCCCCGCCCAACACTCTGCACAGCATCACACACTCCGTAGGGCACCCACAAGAAGAATGGCTCTGTTGCCAGCAACAATCAGCAGCCAAGTGCTATGGTGCTCTGCAAGGGTCAAGTTTAGCTCATGCTGAAGTTACCTCTGGCACTTTCATGGCTTCGCAGTGCTCACGCGGCCAGGCCTGAAGAAAGGCCATATTAAAATTTCTGTTGCTGCCGCTGTGCAGCCCATGTGACCGGTGTTGCCCGGCTGACGCAAGCCAAATATTCGACTAAGGAGCCCCTCTCTCCTGTTAGATGAGCCCCCCGCCAACTCTCTCGGGCCCTAAATATAACTCCAAAAGAGAAGACATCGCAGCAACAGCAAGGTACCTCGGAGAAGCATCCTCCATTCCCCATGGCAGGGCGGCCTCGTCCGTGCTCACAGAACGTTGGACTGCAACCACAGCACAAGGGTGCCTGCCACCCCGGGAGCCCAGAGGTGGGCCTTGACACCGCTAGTGAAATCCCAGTGCAGTGCCATTGGAGGCCGCATGGGGGACAAGCGACTTCCCTTGGAACAGGGAAGGATAGTTGGAGAGCATTCCCCTGCCAGCGAAATCTGGGAGGAGACCAGGCACTGTCATGCTGCTTTTGCTGTTATTATTTGTGTGCTTCAGCTTAAGCTCCAGAAGATCATTCAAGGAAATCTTTGGCCTGTCAAGAGGAAATAGATCAACAAACAAAGCAGCGGCAGTTGGAAAAATACGAGTTATTTCTACAACACTTTCTTGTCATAAATACTCTTCCTGGCAGACATTCCAGCAGATCAATATGGCAATAAAAATACTGTGCTAAAAAGCCAAAAACCAACTCAGAGGCAGGCACATATCCAAAGTGAGGCATTTTTTAACTCCCAGTACTTAAATAAATGGTTGTGCCCCGGTGTGCGTTGGTGGCTATTAATAACAAATTCAGCCAGCTTATCTCACATATCTCCAGGAGCTTTGGGCAGTCACGGCAACGCAGCAGCTGTCTCCAGGGGATGACACTCGGTTCATTGCTCTAAAGCAGGGCTGGACAGAAAATACACTTCAACTCCCAGCATTTCTGAATATTGGCAGTACTAACAGGGGCTACTGGAAGTAGAAATCCCAAACATCTGGAGGTCCACCTTCTGGCCTGATGAAAAAGAAACTTCAAAGCTTTTTTCTGGCCAGGGTGGTATGAAAATGTATTTTGAGGTCTAAGGCTATGATCCCATGTACTCCTACTTGGGTGAAAATCTCACTGAATGCAGTGGAACTTACTGAGTAATATACAGGATTGCACTGCTAAACCTCCAAAGGCCATTCTCTCCATCTTGCCTGGCCATTCTCTCCATCTTGCCTTTCCATCCATCCATCCATCCATCCATCCTTTCTTCACCTGTTCCATATCATCAGGGAGCAAAATTATACATGGTATGCTTCCACCATACCCATGTGTAGTAGTCAGCAACACATGACAGCAATGACTGTCTCCGTTCTTTGTCCCCAGGTTCATCTGTTAAAGGATGGAGTGACTCTGAATACACATGTGGCATTTGGGTGCCAAAACTAATAAATGCTGATAGGCCTAACTTCCATGATAGGCCAAACTTCTGTCCAGGTCCAGAAACATTTCTAGGATAAAGTTATCCTTGCTAAAATGTCCACCGCTCTTTTCTTGCAAACTATACACTGCAGTGGATCAGTGCATGCATTGGATGCTTTAGATCTCAGTACTTGGCATTTTCAATTGAAAAGGTCAGGTAGTGTGACTGGGTACAAGGCACTTGTTAAAGACATAAGAAGATCTTGCTGGATCAGGCTTTTTGAAAAAAGGTGCATTCACTAAGATATGTATCTTTTGTGGGTTGAGTGGACAAAAAAGCTTTATTTAAAGAGGAAATACCTTGCCAAAAAAACAAGCAAAGCAAAGCAAAAAGCAAAACAAAGCAAAGCATTGAAACATTGTGCAGAAGTGTATATTTTCCAAAACATGCACAATTTTTATTTAATACAGCAAAATCACTAGAAAAATGAGTAAGTTTTGAAAAAATACATACAAAGGTATATACATTTTGAAAAAAGTGTACAAAAATACATATTTTCATACATACACAAAAGTACATGTCCATTTTCATGCAGTCTCCAAAAAAAATCATTCCATATCTGATGCAAAAACTGAATGTCAGACATCTAAAAAGGAAAACTCAGAACCTGAATGAAATTAAGTTCAACACATTTGCCCATCCTGAGATGGTAGTTGTAATGCAAGAACATCTGGAGGTCCAGAAGGTCTCCAACTTGGTACCCTCCGGAAGTGTTAAATGGCAACTCCCAGCATGCCGCAGCCTTTCAGGAATGACTCACCCAGCAAGTGTTTGGCCGTGCCAAATCTAAGCTGGGGACCAGCTGCCTCTTTGGGACCGTGCGTGCAGCTTACCCATATTCAAAGCAGCCAGGCTGGTTGAAGAGACTATGAAGATGGCTCTTGCCTTCTCCCTGTAAAGAAGAGCTGCCAGCCCATCCCTGTAGCTCAGAAGTCCTAATTACTGGGCTTTATTCCATGTTCTGCTGTAGAACAGAAACCAAGTTCCGAAATCAATCTGTTAGGCTCTGAGACTAACAAGTACTCCTGTTCAGATGGCCATAAAGGCAACAGGTTGTGTGCTTAGGTGGCATGGTTCAGCCACAAAACCATATGACCCTTGATCACGCCTGCTGTCATCGTGTTCAGTTCGATGGGCTGCAGGCTGAGAAATACACCCTTTGTCTCCTCTGACAACTTCTCCTTTCAGCATCACTCTACACAAGACTAGACCGCATCACACACCACCAGCACCGTGAATCACAGTAGCTTCAGCCCTTAATTCTGATGCAACGGAAATTATATCCAGTATGACGATAGCTCACTGCAAGTGAATAATCCCAAGGATAATAATAATCAAAATTTAATGCTGGAAGTTGATGCGGTTGCCGTCTGCCGTTGGGCAGACATCTGGCTAATGAGTTTAACCTCAGACAAGTGTGAGGTCAAGAGCTTTTAGGCCACTGTGTGACTTTGCCTTGCCTTGAGCAGAGACATTTCATTTTGTAACTTCAGAAGGGTTGATATTATGAAAGGGTGCTTACAAATGTGAATTCTACTTCCCCGTGGGGAGAATAACAGGAAGGAGGCTGAACCAAAGAAGGAGCCCACCGATCATTATTCATAGGCTGCCACCAGACAGATCAGCCACCTGGCATGTCTTCATGCTGGGTTCTTGGGGCCCATGAGGTCCAGTGTCCCTGCAACAACTCTTTGCAGCCATCTGTTTGTCTGCCCTTCCTGATCTGTTGATGATGATGATGCTGTTGTTTCTCATGAAACGCAAACGGCACTTTTTGACTGGGAGGCTCACATGCTGCAAAGGAACTGTCTTCTCGCAACATCTTTATTTGGGTGTGTAAGAGTGCTTTGGTGTATTTGGCCCTCATGTCTGTCTTGTCCTTAGATTTGGGGCAAATGGCTTTCCTTTTAGACTCAGCACTTGGCTTTCTGGGAAGTGAGTGTTTTGTGGTTGGCCACGCTCCCCGCAACAGTCGTTTGACGATGGGCACCCCTCTCATGGAGGTCATTGTGTGAGCACACCTGCAACATTCTTCCAAAAATCAAAATGCTTCCACCACTTTGGCTGGCAGGTCAACAGTTTGGCACGTTGCAGCCACATCTGCCAAGAACTTTGCTGGGCGCTCAACCCTGTGAAACATGGAGGCAGAAAAGAATAACATTTTCTTGTCAACTCATTTAAGAAAAGTTATTGCAGCCAACCCACAAACACGGACATAGCGCTTACCCTTTTGCAGCATCATTCTAAGTGGCCATCGTCCAATGCATCTTGGGGATGGGCTGGCTATGGAAGAATAAGCCGTGCTCAACTTCCAGGCCACTGTGGGTAGCATGAATTTGTTAAAAAAATCCATCAAAAAGTGAGAGGGGGAAGAAGAGTTACAGAAAATTGTTCAGTGTTAGGTATTTATTTTGACATGCATTTTTTCCTTTTCAGCAAGGAGTGCAATGCATTGGCTACAATTCCAGAACCCATTATGCAGTGCATTGACAAAAAATGCTTTGCATGCCCAATTGGGAATCTGCTAATCTGTGGAGTTGCTCATACAGAGTCTGGAGATGTTCTTTTAATTCCTGTTTGCTTCTACATTGCAAGATCAAAATAGTGACTTGTACAGTTTGTATGGGGGTCAACCACAATCTGGGCCAGTTTCAGGGTGGGCATAGCTGGACACCTTCCGAGGACCCACCCACAGCATACAAGTGCCCCCTGCAGTTGTGCTGTTGCATAGTTGCCTCTTGCTCCAGCCCAGACAAGTTTTGGTCGTGAGAAGGTAGACACCATTGCCTACCCAGCAAGCAAATGGCCACAGTGATGAAGAAGTTGGAAGCCGTAACAGCTGGTGGCAATGCTGGTGAGGAGAAGGTGGAGTCGGTGGGAGAGGGCCCCACTGAGGGCGACTTAGCCCAGGGCCCTGAAGGACCTGCATTGCTGTAGCAGTCAAGTGGGTTTCATGGCAAAGGCTGAAGACCAGGCAGCTGTCTGTTGCGTGCCTTTGCACATTCCATCGGGAACTGGGCTTCATTGGGGGTGGCTTCCATTGAAAGCAGCCTGTGGTCTGGACAGTCGATCTTGTCCTACTATGGGCGTGGGATTTTCTTCTCTAATATAGAACCACAGCTGCATTTTTGGCATACTGGGAACAGGTGGGTGATGTTTTTGCATTGGATATGCCCATACTAGTAGACACCTCTGATGCAACGGAGGATTCATGGGAGAAATCCACGCTCTCAGAGAATGAGGCATCTTTTCCTGAGGCATTGCAGTCAGCTTCCTTCCAAGCACTAAGTATTCTAGAATGAAGATGCGTCGGGTGGTCTCCTCTAAGGTCAGGGGATTTCACTCTCGTGTAATCTAAGATCAACCTTTGAGAGGGAGATGAGCAGGTCTACCTTACCAACTGGAAATGAGACATGTATACTAAGAACTGAGACCAAGAGTGCAATGGCAAATTCATCCAAGTGCATTCATGTAAGAGTTCACACTTCTCCCCATTGTCCGTTTCTGTGAGCATCCACCACTTACTGTATTTTATTTTATTTTATTTTATTTTATTTTAGGCGCGATCTACCAAAGAGCAACGTTGGGGCAGTGCTCTCCTCACACGAAATCATTCCTTGGAGGAAGAATTTGAAAGAGCCAAAGCTGCTGTTGAGGTATTGTTTTGATGTTTGAAGTCTGCCCAAAAATCGTCTTAGTTAAGCAATCTCCTCCTGTGACAGGCCAGTGACTTTCAGATTAACTCAGTAAATCAATTAAAAATAGAAGCTAAGATAAAGAAGCAAGAGTGAATCCACTGTAGGATTAACACATTCATATTTTAAAGGAAGCATCTCACTGGGGGTTTACTTCCGGGTAGACAAGCTTAGGGGTGTTTCCAAAGGAGAGCTCGTAACACAAATGGTGTAAAGACACAGAAGTGTTCTTGCTGCGTTGTTTGACAAATGTTTCCTGAAAGATATTCGGGCAGAATCCAACACGGCTGCTACGCTTGCATGTCGAAGGTCTGTAGCACCCTGTCCGCTGGGTTTTCCAGGTCAAGCTCGCCGTGCATCACAGCAGCTTGCACCATTGGTAAGCGTAGTCCAGCACAGTGTCAAGGGCACAAGTGAAATGGCAGCACTGGATGCTGCCCTGCATCTGCATCTGCACCCATCTATTTATTAGATTTATATCCCACCTTTTTTCTGACAAAGAACTCAAAGCGGCTGCCATCATTCTTCTCCTGCTGCTCTCCATCTTATCCCCACAACAACAACCCTGTGAGGTTGGTTGGGCTGGGAGTCTGTGCCTGGCCCAAAGTCACTCGGTTGGCTCCATGGCTGAGCAGGCACTAGAACCCAGATCGCCTGAGTGCCAGACATGTGCTGTTAACCACTACACCACACTGGCTTTCTGTATGAAAGAACCATAGAGCAAATTCAAGTCATGTAAAAGCATATTTAGGGATAAAGGCGTCTGCCTTTGTCAGTAGCTGTGATGCATACCAAGAACAGCTTTTCCGATTGCTGGAAGATGAACATTCCTAAGAATGAAAAAGCAGATGCATGAGTAGAATCAGGCTTACAAATTAGCTTCTAGATGAAGGCCATATGGATGACATTCTGAGTCAGTAGATCCATCAGTTTTCCGTTCTGTCAAGCACCTCCGTGCCTTTTGTCTGTTCAGTTGGAAGCAATTGAAAGTTGGAGAGACTTACAACGGTCCACTTCAGAGAGGTTTTGTTTTGGTTTTTCGTAAGAATTTTAGATTTGCAGTTTTAGTATCTTGTTCTCAAATCCTTGTCATTCTTCTTACCTAACACGTACAGCATAGTTCGGTTTTTGTTTCTTCCTTCAGTTATATAAATCACATTGATGGAAGCCCATCTTGCTGAAAAAGAACAGAGTTTTAAGAGCACAGTAAAGTAAACACAACAAGCTGATTTTTATATCAGGAATGCAACAAGTTGCTTTTTATATCTATCTGTATCCATGTAGATTCAACAGAACTACAGAAGACCTAATCACAGGCATGCCTCTCTCTCTTGTCATACTATCAGACACCTACACAACTGTTAGAAAATATCAATTGTCATTTAGCTTGTAAAGCAGACTCGTCAACCAGCACCTTTTGAGGGCAGCAAATTAGGAAAGGCTGCACTAAAGATTTTGATGGTATTGATGCCTCTGAAATCATATTGTAGAACTTTCTCTATGTCACAATGAATAGAGCACCAAAAAGTTGCCTGGCAACCACTGGTTGAGCTGCTTCAGCTGCCGACCAATGAGGATGCCCACAGGCCTCTGAACACAGAAGGTTATGGGAGGGGCATGAAGGTGAAGGTCCTTTGCTCCGCCCACTCTGCAAATCAGCGGTCTCACTGCAGCACCGCAGAGGGGGAAAGGCGGCGGCTGTGGCCCCAGCAGGATGAGTTGTGTTTTGAGAGCACCAGCGTCCTCCCCTCTCCACCCGAAATACCTTCTCTGAGGTTGCCCTGATGACCCTGCAGAATCAGGCAGTTCATCCATCCATCCATCCATCCATTTATTTATATAAATATGTTATATCCCGCCCTTCACAATGTCACATTGTTCTTTCTGTGCCTGCTGGAAAGGGAGGATCCAAGGCAGATCCCGGATCCGAGGCTGGAGCTGTTTTCCAGCCTCTGATCTGGGAATCCAAAAACTCCTTCGGCCCTCTAGACACTGTCTAGATCTGTTAGCCCCTGTGTGGGGCAAGACAGGTGGAAGTGAAAACACAAGAAGCTTTGGGCAAAGGAAGGCGGGAGCCAGAGCTCGAGAATGACCCAGTTCGAGGCAACTAAGAAGGCTTTGGAAGAGAGAATGGCTTCAGTTACACTTGAGGAGAAGCATTCTTGAAAATTAGCACTCTAATTTTTAATTGATTAATCAGCCTTTTTCTCCAATCAATTGCGCAGCAGGTTTTTTAAAATAAAGTTTTGCTATAAGTATCTATAAAACCTACAAGAGATAAGTAGAATCTTGTCTCTCTCTCTTTCTCCCTATCTTAGAGAAAAAGATATCTCTCTACAGGCCAGTGACTTCAGGACTGCTGTCCCATAAAAATACAAATTTGCGCATGCATAGAGGGCCATAGGATTCTTTGGAGTCCCAGCTTCAGACTCCTGTGATCTCAGAACTCGGACTCCAAAGGCCAAGTTCTCATGCTGCCCCATTGCAGTTGTTTTGGAACAACCATGTCAGCTGATGGCCACCACCTCAAGGGCCTTCTTTCCCTTCCCCTTCCCCAAGAACTTCCTCCCAAGAGATATATTTCTGGTTCTCTTTGTTGTTTTAAAGACTATATAAAATATATTTGTTTATTTTGTGTTTTAATTCAAAGGGTTTGCTTAACTATGCTGCTTCTGTTACAGGTTCAATTCTCTGTTGTTCTTAACTTTAATTTATGATTTGTGAATTTGGTGCAGTGATACAGAATCATTTGTTTGACATTCAAAGCCACCTTGGGAAGACTGTATTCTACAAAGGTGACTAAGAGATGTAGCAAAGAAACAAAAGAATTGCATTGTTTGGGATCTCCCAGGACTGTTTGCAAATATATGGAAAACGTCCATTTTTAATTTATGCGGGGCATGGTGATGTCCAGTTTAATGCAATGGTACAGCTATAGATCATTGGCTCATTTGGACAGAAGCACATCTGTGAAGTCACCAAATCATTTTTAAATGGGTTTGCCGTTCTGCATTGGGGCAACCCCACACACAGCCTACAGGCCAAAAGTTTCCCTGCCTCCACCCCCTCTGCCCACTGCTGTGCCATCAAAACTCACGGAGACAAAGAAATTACTATTTTACCAAAGATTTTCAGCAGCAAACTGCTATGGAGGCCTAGAACTGCCAACTTCTGCTTCAGTTTTTCCTGAAATCAGTTTTGTCTAAAGCAAGCAAAATTTGCTGAACAGATTTGTCATTAGACCTCCATAGAGGTTTGTCGAAAAATTGGTTGTGGGATGCCATGGTTATGCTGCTGCCACCTCTGCTGATTTCACTGGCATAGCAGAGGCAGGTCTGTGGTCCATGGGCATAACAAGAGGGGCAAACCTGGCCCCAGGACCCCCTGAAATTGCCCACTTCTGCTCTAGTATAAAAGATGTGTCTGACTTTTAGAGCAACAGAGACTTGAGTAAAGCTGTTCAACATTTCTCAAGATTTATCTTCCTGTGTTGCTGGGGTTGTTAGTCATGAGGTCACATCCGACCCATCGTGGCCCCATGGACAACGTTCCTCCAGGCCTTCCTGTCCTTCACCATCCCCCGGAGTCCACCCAACCCCACAGCCACTGCCCCAGTGACTCCATCCAGCCACCTCATCCTCTGCCGTCCCCTCCTTCTTTTGCCCTCAGTTGTTCCCAGCATCAGGATCTTCTCCAGGGAGTCCTTCCTTCTCATTAGGTGGCCAAAGTATTTGAGTTTCATCTTCAGTATCTGGCCTTCTAAAGAGCAGTCAGGGTTGATCTCCTCTAGGACTGACCGGTTTGATCTCCCTGCAGTTCAAGGGAGTCGCAGGAGTTTCCTCCAGCACTACATTTTTCTCCTGAACGAGCATCACTGCCTTTTGGCTCCGCGGAAACACAGCGCACCTTCGTGCCTCTCTCCTCACCCTGGTCAGCACCCCATGCCCATGGACCCACGCTGCCCCCACAGAACCACAGTCCTGCCTCCAGCACAATCCAGGGCTGTGATGTGTTTCCGTCGATGTGCGTTACATAATGGGGAGAGTGGCAGGATGTGCTACAGCTCCTTTTTTCTCCTTTCTTCTCATTCCCACAGAGTAAATAGACAACCTCGGCAAATTTAATGGGCACATCCTGGCTTAGTCCCGATGGGCTCCCTCATTAGGGAAAATTATACATAGTCTGCTGTTCAGAACCAGGGTGAAGGTTACTGAGACTGCATTCTCCTTGCAGATTAATGTATTGTAAACAAATGGTGCTGCCTGAATCATAAATGAAGGAATAAGGTGTTATCGAGATAATTCATGTGGAGTGCCTCAAATGTGCTGTATAAATGCTAAGTATTTATTATTATTCCATAGACCCACAATTATTTTCTAGTCTAGATTTTGCGATATTGTGTATTTTTCCCAGACTGTTTAGAAATGGGGGTGCTGAGGGCAAAGCTTTTTCTTTCTGAATAAAACTCAGGCTTCGAAGATGTATGAAATGCTTACAGCTCTCCTAGTCAATTATGAGACATACCGCTGAACTCTCTTTTCTAATGGGATCCATACTCCAAAATACTTTGCCTAAAGAGATAATTAAAACAACTTCAAATCATAGTGAGTTGGGGCAGGGAAAAAGAAGCCACGATTCACAAAGAATGGAATTAAAAGACTGCTTAGGTAAATTTTTGACTAGGGTAAAAAGTGAAAAGAAGGCATGTTGGGTGTAATTGTTGATATTTTTAAAGAGGATTTTCTTTTCTTTTGTACCTAGTTGCAGGAGAAAAAATATCCCATTAAATTATCAGTGCAGGTAGAAAGGGCGGTTGAGGGGCTGAGAATATAAGCAGATGGAGTGGTGGAGGGAGGGTTCTATAGTCCAATCTTCCTCCCTCCTTCACAATTTTTTATAGTGGAGGGGAACTCCGGTCAATGTTGCCTTCCGCTGCAACCCTTCCATATTTTTCACCATTTCACCCCTTTCTTCTCTCCCTGAAAAATCTATCAAGAAGGAAAAGGAGGAATAGCTGTACAGTGTCTTTTGATTGGGGGCGTTCAGTCCAGAAGCAGAAACACCTGGTCCCCAAGAGTTCAGGCCTCCAAAGAGCCACCTTTTGAGAAGGTGCAGCAGCTTGTGAAGCACAGAGTCCCTTGTGAGGTGTCCACATGACAGTTTTGAACAGGTTGCATATCAGGGGTGCCCTGGGCAAGCTATTGGGGGCCACAGTCCAAAATGGGCTATGCCCAGATCCGAAGGGGGGAGTTGCCATCCAGCATATCTGGAGGCTGCCAGGTTGTGGAATTAGAGAGTCCTCTCAGACCCATCACTGCTCAGCAGGGATGCTAACTTCTCAGCAAGAAGCTCTCAGCAGCCATGCCCCTGTACTGGGTAGGACTGAAGGCAAAACAGGCAGGACCAAAATTGCCAAAAAAATACCTGGGTAAAGTTTCCCTGTAAAGGTTTTATTGTAAGTATCTTAGGAAAGGTATTTCAACTTTCTAAGATGGCAGGTTTGAGTGAAAACAGCCATGCAAAAACATCTGGAGAACATCAGAAGGCCAAATTAGTACCCCAGCTGGTCTGGATTGGGCCCATGAGCCTGAGGTTCCTCACCTGTGTATTTATTTCTTAATTCTCTGAAATGGATAGCTACATCTGTACAGCCCCAGTGTTCCTGTCTGCCTTGGTTCCTTCTTTTGGCCAATTGCTCTTAAACGTTGTTAGATATATTGCCCCCAAATGTGTTTGGATAGACAACTTTTGATTCTCTGTTGTGGCCGCTGTGGATCAGGATAGCATAAAGATCTGGGAAAACCATGAGCCACCCCATCTGACCACAGTCATCAAAGAACGCAACCCTGTGGCCTCTCGACAGCCTTAATCTTCAGCTCCGAGGTTTGCCCTGCCTCCTCACAGCTGATGTTGAAAGATAATGTGCCAGCGTCCTCTTCAAGGCCAGGAACACAACCTTGGGGGATGCAAAAGGAATGCTTTGGCGGGTGGGGAGGGGGCAAGAATGAGCGGACAAGAGATGAGGTATCCTGCAACCCCCTTCCCCCCCTCATGGAGATGCTCCAGCTAGATGGGCTACAAGACAATCTAGTAAAAATGCAGAGTGAATGGACAGGGAGGTGAAGATCCCTCCCTCTCTCTCTCTCCCCCACCCACAGGAAGGCTGCAAGCTCTGCCTTCAGGAGCTAAAGGGCATCATGTGCCAAAAGAGACCTTTGAGCACCATAATGGCTAATACATTCAGCAAAAGCAAAACCTTTTGTGAACCACAGCCCACTCCACCAGGCCGTTTTAACAATGCCAAGCTCATGCGGCTACCTTTCTTTCTTAACATATGATGAGGTGGTTAAGTGTGCAGTACCTCTTGTGCACTGAAAATCCAAGAGTGCATCCCTTACCTTCTCTGAAGCAGAAGCCACCAATCTCCTGGACTCTTAAGCAGACCCAGAATTTCGCGGAATTTGCTATGAATGCAAAACTTTAATGGCTAAACAGCTGATTTTAAATATCGACCCTGCTGATTATCCTTGGAGCTTCAGCTGAAAATTTGGAACAATCATGTTTATGAATCGGCTTTTTCATTTTGCATCTGGGAAAAGCAGAATGCTGCAAACCGAAGACACAATAACTTCACATTGTTCCCCAAAGAGCATGCATAAAATTCTTATTGCTTGGGCTTTATTAAGCAAAAGCTTGGGGGCATCTACCAGTTTTACTTGAAGACGCACTCTGGCAGCTCCCAGGAAGACTGCTATTGAGCGGCAGAGTCCAAGCCAAGAACGCCCTGCGCAGCCACCTCGGGAAGCTGGATTTGGTTTAGGTGATGTCAACACGTCCCAAATGCTGAGGCTGCACCAGTACATTTCTCACTATTGCTATTGGTGTAATTCTGTATTTCAGAAATGAAAACAGCTCAAGATGCATGTATTTGTTTTATTACTATTTAAGCGACTTATAGTCCACTTGATATAAGATTTGTAAGTGATTTAGATAAGAAATGGTTAATAATTTATCCCTCACTAAGGAATAAAGTGAGATATAAATGCAATATATTATCATCATCATCATCGTCGTCAATATAGATACCAATGTAAAAAATGCAGTCAGAATGTTACAGAAACAGCAAAAAGGAACAATGCAATTATATATGGGGAAGAGCATGCATAGGGAGGGCATCTTTAAGAAGGGGCTAAAGTTCCCTCCCCCACCACCACCGCCACCACCTCCAAATTGGACTGATCTATCTGAGCAACCTGTACCATGCGAGAGCTGTGTCCCCTCTCTACCCAGAGTTGTTTTGAGCTTTGAATATGAACAACACCTGCAACATGGTTCTGTAGGTAACAGGCAAAATGTCCAGCCATTTGTTTTTGCCGAGTTTGTATCCCACCTTTCCACCAAACGATGCTCAAAGAACTGAGTGGGAGATTCTTCTGACATGCATTAGGTTATCCTGTGAGAGAAGAGCACAGTATCCCTGGGCCAGGCCCTGACAACATGAATGCCATTTAATGTCCAAGTTCTGCTCTTCTGAGAAATAGTCAAAACAGGAAATTTTGAAATTAGGAAAACTTGTCAGAAGATACAATACAGTTGAGGGAAGTTTCTCTTCCTTTTTCTTTTAATTCTGTCTTTTTACCCCTTCCTGTCTTTCTTTTGCTTTCTCTTCTCCCTAGTCAGACACAGAGTTTTGGGATAAGATGCAAGCAGAATGGGAAGAAATGGCGCGCAGAAACTGGATTTCCGAAAGCCAAGAAGCACAAGGCCAAGCAACGGTCTCCATTAATGAGAAGGTATTATGGATGCTGTGGAGAAGGGAAACTTTGGTCATAGGTCCTCATGGCTGCTGGGAGCAACAGTGGACGCTTGACTAAGAGCTTGCCCTTTCTGGTAGCTGGCAGAAGGGCTGAAAACATCTCCAGTGCCATTCCAGTTTGAGTTGGTTTGCCTAGCTGGTTTAGCCAGCAAGATTTCGCATCTCTGCACAGGATTTCAGGATGTTCTTAGAGCAGGTGTGCAAGCAAGGGCAACTGCTTGGCTACCAAGGAAATCAGTGGCCCCATGGGGCTACCCACACGCTTCTCCCATCATGTGCAGCCAGGAAAAATGCACTTTGTACCACTGCAATGTGGTGCTCCATGCCCTGCTCCCCGCCTGTTGCAGAACTAAAACTCAGAAGATGAAGAAGCAGAGGGGAAGATGCATGTGATTCCTTTAGTAGCATGTGATTCCTTTAGTAGCATGCGATTCCTTTAGTAGCATGCGATTCCAAGTAGTGATGTGTGAGGAATCGATGGGATGGGAGGTTGCAAGTCTGAGAAATCCCAAGCCATCTGCACAGAAATCCCAAGCCAGTGGACAGATCTCAGTTTTGACAATCAGCCATGGTCTGTGTGTGTGTGTGTGTGCGCGCGCGCGCATTTTTAAGCTCAGGAAATGTGTGCAGATTATATCACTCCATATTTTCATGCATTTGCTGAGCTTTTGAAAAGAAATCTAAACAAAATTGGCACTGGTAAGTTCTTTCTGAAGTATGGAATGTGGCTAGCTAAGTACAAAGTTGTGAGAAGATGAAACCGACAAGGATATTTATGAGGGGAATATGCAGTGCCTGCAGTTGCATGAGTACCTTGCAAATGATTAAAAACAGCATGGGGCCATTTACACAGATTTAAAGATTCCGAGCCCATTTGTGCAAAAGCCCCGAGCTTTACAAAACTGCCTAAATGGCACGAAAGATATGCAGAGCTCATTTCTCAGCGTGTGCAACTATTTCACACACATTTTTGGAAGCAGGAAAAATAATCCAGCATGCGTTGCTTCTTATTGCCAGATCAGAATGCTGCAGAAGTCCACTGGGCTCAAACAAAATGGGTTTCCAAACATCACGCATTCCTAGTTCCAAGTTTATCCACTCAGTGTATTAGGAGCGCGGCCAGCATGTTTGAAGAAAAGATTAGTAAGAAGAAAGTGTGTCTATTCACCAATCCCCAGAAATACTGTTGAAAATAAGCTACTATGTGACCTTATATAGATAGGAAGGTCACCAATACCTGGGTCCAGTAGAGCATCTGCCAAGGGAGCATGACCCTTGCCAAGGAACCCCTGGAGCTGCTGCTCTTCTCCTCCACGGCAACTGCTTGCTCTCCTGCCTCTCCCACTCTGGACCAGGCAATGGTGGCGGCGAGAGGAAGGAGCAGCAGAGACCACTGCCTACTTGCTCTTTGGTTCTTTCTTCGTCAAGCAAACAAGTGGTGTCAGTGACTGGAAAGAGGGTGAGGAGCAGGAGCAGCTGGTGGGGAGAAGGTCAACTTCTTAAGGAGAGGCCACTGAGGGTATGTTACCCAAAGGCCCTCAAAAACATGGAGCTGCTCATGAAACCTTCGTGTGTAAGTAGCAGATAATGGGCAATTTAATTTGAGATAGCTTGAGGTGCAGGCCTACACTTGCTTTCTTGGAACAAGGCTCAGGACTTTCTTCTAAGTAGACATGATCAGGATTGTGCCATGAAAACCCCTTGGATCTGCATCTCACTTTCTGTTTCAGGGCTATTATTTCCACACAGAAAACCCTTTCAAAGACTGGCCTGGTGCTTTCGAGGAAGGACTGAAAAAGCTGAAGGAGGGGAACTTGCCCCTCACCATCCTCTACCTGGAAGCCGCTATTCTCCAAGATCCTCATGATGCCGAGGTATCTGCCCCGATTCTTATTCTGGGACTAGGAGGCATTCACTTGATATCATTTGTGAATAACTGAGAGATAATCTTTAGTAACCCTGAGTAATTCAATACATGGTTTGTGATATTTCCAGTATAATCAAGTTGTGGGCAATGTACCATCATATTGAAAGGAAGGATTTCACAGTTTGGGATAAACCAACTTTTTGCATTCAAAGCAAAGCCTACAATATCTATTCAATAACATCACATGTTTAGCTTTGAGATATTCTTGAACTCTAGATATTCTAAGACTCAAGAATTGTGGACTTGGGTGACTCTCATATTGGCATATTTCAAGGAAACCATAATAAATACTAACCAGAGTTTGTCAGTTGGAACAGTCCACAAAGTGGTTAATAATGATTTTTAGAAAACCTGAAGCCAAGCTAGGAAGGCTGCAAGCCTGGGCCTTGCTGAAGCTCATTCTTGTCCATAAACAAGGCTTCCCCAACTGGGTGCTCTTCCAATGTGTTAGACTACAACTCCCATCATGTTAAAGCCAAGCTTAAACAGGAGTTGTAGTCCAACCCATGTAGAGTAAGATGTGAATTAGCATGATATTGGGATTGGATCAGTCAAGTCCGAATTATATATAATTCATGGGGGGGGGGGGGTTCTTAGATGTGATTTGTTACAAGGTAACAGTCAAGGTTGCAATCTTAAATGGAGAATTAGAACCCTTGCTGGTCTTCTACTCAGAATGGTCTTCAAAGTTCTTCTCTCCCATATCTGTTCCTTAGCAGTGGTAATACAGATAAGGGTTAGCTGGCTGTTGGTCAGACCTCTACTCAGCATTATAGGTTTCAGACCTGCTTCTGCTTCTGGAACAAGACTAAGTTCAGGATTCAGGAATACACAGAACTAAGCACCACTTGTAGGTTAGTTTGAAGCTGGCTCAAAATGGCATCAGCTGGAATTAAGAGTAATGAGGGTTCTACCACTCCTCCAATTTTAGATGACATTTCAGCTTGCACCAGTCCAGCTCCTGTTTGCACTGTTGTGTCTTGGATCCCTCTGCAGAATTAGGTTGATGCAGGTGGATGGGAAGGAGAGCATAAGGAGGATGTGGGTTGCAAGGATCAATGCTATATGGAGCTGGTTTGTTATGAAAGCAGTGCCAAAGTGGAAGCCCTACATCATGTTAAGCAATGGTGCAAGCTCTCTGGCTACTCATTCCATGGACATGGGGTGTAGTGACCCCATTACATTTTAGGAACTGCTGGCCAGCAGGACGAAGAGTATTTCATCAACCAAGCATTTTTGGCCTGGCCTTTCCTTTCCAGAGGTGTGTGCTGGTCCCTCTGTGCTACAGGATGAAGAATAAATTGGTTTGCCCCAAGGAAGGCTTGAAGGTTTCGGAAGCAGCACTGCAGAATGTTTGAGGACCAGGCATCACATGGTGTCAGGAGAGGGATACAACCCCTCCCCAACCTGTGGAGACCATCAAGTGGCCCTGACTCAGTGGCCAAGCATTTGCTTTACACGCAGAAGGTCCCAGACTCAATCCCTGGCACCACCAGATAGAGAGGGCTGGAAAAACTGCCTGGAACCCTGGGAGAGCCACTCCTGGCCAGCTGACTGTGCCACATGGACACTGGGCAAACTGAGTCTATGTTGCTCTGTGCCCACAATCTTGTAAGGCTCCGGGGCACTTCCTGCTCTTGCTTTTCGATTTGTTTTGTTTATGGGACTCACTGCTGTCAAAGAGTTTTGCTGAAAACTCTTTATCCAGCTGCAGGATTCGTTCTGCCAACACACAGCAGTGTAATAAACCTACCTCTAACTATGTTGCAGGCTTGGCAGTTTCTCGGGATAACACAAGCAGAGAATGAAAATGAGCAGGGAGCCATTGTCGCCCTCCAAAGGTAGGCAGTATAAACTGCAGTGGATTCCCCGTTCGGTGCTGTGCATGGGATAACTGATTGGTTGCCCTCTTGGTTCCATGAAAGATAAGGAGAGCGTCTCAATAGAAGATAAAATAAGATCCAGACATTGTTTTGGTATCTTGTCCTTTACCGCACAGGGCTGCTTTCAAGTTCCTGTTTTAGACCAGGAGGCCAGATTCATCCCAGAGCACCATTAGGCAACTAGCAGTCCTGCAAATGTTTTGACCCCATCTTTCCAGCTCACACAGCCAGTGCTAAGGAGTGATGGCAGTTGTAGCGAAAACATCTGGAAAGCCACAAGTTGCCCACACCTGACTAGATATGGGGAGAGCTGTACAGCTTGGAAACTTGCTATTTACACTGTCACTTGATCCTACCAAGGTTGGCCATACCATGAAAAATGCGAAGCAATAGCTTCAGACAGCACCTTATAATGGAGTGCCATTTTCTGCTTCATCAAAAAAAGAACAGACACGGTTTCCAGAACACTGGTTTGCATACTGAATTCTCCCTTCCAGTTCAGAAATGTCTAATGCCACCCCAATGCATGATCCAAATCATTCTGATCTTGCTGAACACCTGTTGTTATTTAACATCATGTCTTTGGATGGATTTTCAGCTCCGTGGGATGTAATGTTGTTGAGGGGGCAGAATTCCTCTCCTGGGGTGCATACAATAGAAAGATCGTGCTGCTGCATTAGTGCCTCTAACCCTGCTCTGGTGTTCTTGCTCCTGTGCAGAGCACAGGTGTGGGACCACAAGAACTAACGTCGTCCCCACTGTACACGCAGTTCTCCCTCCATCTGGCACCTGGATACACAACGCAAACATCTAGGAAGTGGGAGTTAGTGGGTACGGCTTCACACATGAAGGCTTTCATGTAACCTGCAGCACTGCACAATCTGAGTATTGCAAATACCTACACCTGGCAAATGCCTGCACTGTAAATGCAGACACTCAGGGAAGGAGCTACTTGACATATACAACATCAGGGATGGGTCTCTTTGGTGCTGCTCTACCTGCAGTGAGACTTTATATGGGAGTAAAAGCACCAAAATAAGAGCTTCCATGGTGTGTCCGGCCAAGGAAGATCTCAGAAGCTGGGTGGCGAAGAAAAATCCGATGGATTTCCACTACTCCAAGAGCATGACTTGCGTACCCACCATCTCTCCTGGCCCCTTCACATCCATAATGCAAGCTGAATGAATTATGCAGTGTATGCAAGTTGGCTTTGATTGGCATAATTGCTATGTGGTGACATTTTTTGAAAAATTGGAGCCACCTCGGTGCAGAAAGAAGAATACTTTTTCTAGCTCTCACAGCCTGCAAGATCTGATTTAGTATGTTACTGTATCAGACAGGAACAAGCAGAGCTGGCCTTGTCCAGCAAACATGAACAAGGAACTCTGCAAACAAGAGAACTCTTTGGTATTCCTGGCACTTGCACAGCTTCTAAGAGTGTATCTCTTCATTAGAAGTGCTCCTTAACTGAGATGAACTTGCTCTGACAGCCACATGTTAAGTATATGCTGATCTTTGTTGCAGTGTAATCCAGTGTAAAGCCACAATAGCAGCAGATTAACACGAATGGCTCGTGTTGTAGGCCGACACATCTGCAGGGAACCAGACTGGAGGAGGCGGCCCTGTTCTAAGCCATGGCAGACAAAATCAATCCTGATCTTGCTGCCTCAAGGGAGGTAGCAGTGTGACACGAATCCCCTCACTGCTGCTGTGCCCACTCCCTGCTGCCCACCTAGTTTCTCCTGCCTCGAGTCTACTCCCAGCCTTGGGAACCCATGAGAGGTCGGTCAAACCCTTGGAATGGCTTGGGTGACCTTGCCCAGTACACCTGCACCAGGTGCTTGGTGTCTGCCCACCATGGTAAGTGCAAGGCACCCAGCAGGTTGCCCCTAATTTCTGGCAGCCATCCTTTGCAGCAAACATCCTGGTGGAAGAACAGCTGTGGGGCCCCCAAAGCAGCCCTGGAGGTATCAAGGCTTCCTGGCTGGGGCCCTCCTGAGCTTCCTGAATGGATGGACACATGCAAGGCCAACAGCTATTATGCAAAACTCTCTGCTGGCAATCAGGGCCGGATGTCTTTGGGAACAAGAAGGAATTGTTCAGTGGTGCTTAGTGGTTAGCAATGAGGCCAAATTCCTGTACACATTTACTTAATCTCAATGAACTCCGCAGCACTTACTACCGAGCCCACATGCACAGAATTGCATCAGCAGCTAAAACCGAAAAAATTAAATACATTCCTCGGCAGGCTTTGTTTGCATCTCCAGCATTGCATTCCAATCCACAGGCCTCTTGCCCTCACACAGAGAAGAATTCAGTTAACAGGTTTCCTTTATTCTGCTCAGGTGCTTAGAGCTTCAGCCAAACAACTTGAAGGCTTTGATGGCCTTGGCTGTCAGCTTCACAAACACTGGCCATCAGCAGGAGGCCTACGGAGCCCTGAGGAGCTGGATCATGCAGAATCCCAAATACAAGTACGATGTGCGGAGCAAGAAAGGATCCCCGGCCCTTACCAGGAGAACGTCCAAGACCACAGACGAAAGGTGACAGCAGTGGTCGGCATAATGGTGTTGGGAAGCTAGACTTGGGATGGGGAAGTCTAGGGAGCAGGGGACAACAGGATGGCGTTCAAGGTGGGTGAGTGCAAGGTCTTGCACTTGGGGCATAGGAATGGGTGTCATAAGTACAGGTTGGGGGACAAGAGGCTGGAGAGCAGCGCTTGTGAAAGGGACCTTGGGGTGCTGGTTGACTGCAGGCTAAACATGAGTCAGCAGTGTGATGCGGTGGTCAAGAGGCCGAACGCCACCCTTGGTTGCATAGCCAGAAGTGTGGCTTCTAGATCGAGAGAGGTATTACTACCACTCTGTACGATTCTGGTGTGCCTGCAACTGGAGTACTGTGTTCAGTTTTGGGCCCCTCATTACAGAAAGGATATAGCCAGGTTGGAGTGAGTGCAGCGCAGGGCCACAAGGTTGGTGGCCAGTTTGCAGGGGATGCTGTATGAGGCGAGACTGAGGGAACTGGGTCTTTTCAGCCTGGAGGAGATTCCGAGGGGATCTGTTGGTGATATATAGGTATGTGAGGGGGTGTCACACGGGTGGGTAGAGATCTGTTCTCCCCTGCAGTATGTCTTGACAGTTAGGACCCCTAGGATATGGAATGGGCTTCCTCGGGAGGTGGTTGAAGCCTCATCAGTGAGAGTGTTCAAGGATAGGCTGGACATGCATATGGTAGGCATGTCATGAGCCAGCTGGAGCCAGGGGTCAGACTAGATGATCCAGGAGACCCCTTCTGACTCGCTCTGTTTGTATGTTTCTAAGTACCAGCCCTCTGAGCTCACAACTAAATCATGTGCTCTTTGAAGAATGAAAACTAGGGGTAGGCCTGTACTGCTAGTTTGCAGCATTGAAGCCTCAAATTTCAGTTTACAGTGAAGGCTTCTGGCAGAATGCAGGAACTCCGGCTGAATGCCTGTGGTTTTACCATGCACATTGTAGACATGTTGTGAGTGGAGTCGGCTGGAGCCGGGGGTCAGACTAGATGGCCTGGGAGACCCCTTCTGACTTGCTCTGTTTCTAAGTCATGTGGGTGCACCCCCTCCCAGTCTTTTGAAAGAGATATATGGTGGTGGTGGTGGGGGGGGTGTGTTGGTCGTATCACAGAGGCTAGCCGATAGATGCCCAGAAAAAGTCCGCATGTCACTTGTTCCTGCCAGATTAGTACCGTCCTGTCAGGTTGGTTTTGGCAGAGTTTGGACAGGAAGATGTAGCTTGTTTGAGGACAGGAATGTTACTTCCACTCTCAAAATATTGCACTCTCTGCACTGCTCTGCTCTCTTTCAGTTCGTTGCTGGAAGAGGTGAAGGAACTATATCTGGAAGGAGCTCACCAGAATGGTGAGATGATAGACCCGGACCTGCAAACAGGGCTAGGTGTGCTCTTCCACCTGAGCGGGGAATTCAACAGAGCCATAGATGCATTCAGTGCTGCCCTCACTGTAAGGCCAGAGGTACGTTTTACATCTGTGCATTAACGATTTGCACTCTGCTCTCCTGCACGTTCTCATTTCTTTGAAAGCTGGCCTGCATGAAGAGCCTGCCACTCCAGTGGCAGCTATTAATACTTTAAAGCCTGAAATGGAAAAGTTAATTGTGAAGAGAATCCCATTTTCAAGTAGTTTTATTTCTGTCCACTTTCTGGCCAGCCTGCAAATGAATCAAAGTAATTTTTATAGGAAGCTATCCATAACTCTCGGTCATGTTCACAAGTTCTGTGTCAGTTAATTGGGAGGACAGTGACTTTACTTTTATACCAATCATTAATCTAAAGCTGTGGGCAGAAAATAGAAGGCTGTCTGCACAAGGATTGCGCTGGTACTAGGAAACTGTCATTGTGTTGCCAGGATTATTCATTGTGGAACCGTCTAGGTGCAACTTTAGCAAATGGGGATCGAAGTGAGGAAGCTGTTGAAGCCTACACCAGAGCTTTGGAGATCCAGCCGGGCTTCATCAGGTCCAGGTACAACCTAGGAATAAGCTGCATCAACCTAGGAGCATACAGGTGAGATGGATGGCTTCAGCATTTCGGCACACAAAAAAGCCCATTCTTCCCATCATTCTGCTGTACCAGGTTGGGCATTCAGGGACTTGGATCACCAAGTGCACACTTTTCCAAGGTGGTGGACTGCACAGCCCGTCATTCCCTCTCCACATGGTCAGTACAGCTCTCCATCCCCTTGTGAGAAGATCCGAACTGTGGTTTGGAGCAGGTCGGCTAGCTTGATCCAAATGATATTCCCTGAGCATAGAGCATTGTTGTCTTTCATGCAGAGTGAATGGCGGCTGGTTAAGGACAATATTTACTCCTCTGCCTATAGCAGGTGTGCAGAACGTTTCAGTCAAAGGGCCAAATCCCATTGCACAGAAGCTCTTGAGCTGCATTCCAGTGGTGAGATGGGCTCATGACGAAAGGGATGGTGTCAAAAATTACCAGTCTAACTTGGTTTTCAGCTCCTAATAACCCGAGGCGAGGCATATCAGTTAGTTAGAATTGGGGGTGTGGAGAAATGGGGAAAAGCCATGAAGCCACCTCATAATTGGCTTAGGGATGAGTTGTGAGCATCTCAGAAATCCTGTAGGGATGGACTGGCTCTCTGGAATGCTGGATCTGCTCCGGCTTTGCTCATCTGACTTATATCCTAACTGCTGCAATGCAAGCCATTTTGCTAGTTCCCAGTTGAATGTTGTCGTTTAGTCACAAAGTTGTGCCCGACCTATCACGACCCCATGGACAACATTCCTCCAGGCTCTACTGTCCTCCATCATCCCTCGGAGTCCACCCAAACCCACACCCACTACCCCAGTCACTCCATCCAGCCACCTCATCCTCTGCTGTCCCCTTGGCTTTTGCCATCAATTGTTCCCAGCATCAGGGTCTTCTCCAGTGAGTTGTTCCTTCTCATTAGGTGGCCAAAGTATTTGGGTTTTATCTTTAGTATCTGGCCTTCTAAAGATCAGCCAGGGTTGATATCCTTTGAAATTGACAGGTTTGATGGCCATGCAGTCCAAGGGACTCACAGGAGTCTCCGCCAGCACCACAATTCAAAGGCCTCAGTTCTTCGGCGCTCAGCCTTTCTTATGGTGCAGCTTTCACAGCCATACATTGCAACTGGGAAAACCATAGCCTTGACTATATGCACTTTTTCCCAGTTGAATACTTCTTTGTAAATGAGAACATTTCTAACCCTTTTTCTGGATATTTATAAAGATGGACCTGGTGAAACAGGGCAATGTGTGTCAGAGGTTCTGAAGATTGTAGATTACGCCCCACTTCTCTCTTCTGCCAGGTTTATTTCTGTAGATAAGACCACAAGAAGGCCCTTTCCAACAGATCTCCATGACATCTGCGTTTATGCAGAGAAGGGCTTGTCGTTAACTAAATAAGGGATTGGCAAGGTTTGGCCTTCCAGATGTTTTGGCTTATAACACTTGTCAGCTCCAGGCAGCAGATCCAGTGGTAGGGTGAGATGGGAGTTGTAGGCCAAACCATCTAGAAGGCCACAACTTGCCTGTCTCCCAAAGATAAACAAATGAGAGATGATTTGCCAGTGTACTTAATGGAAGTCTGCAGGTCAGACTGTGTCTCCAGGTAGTGGTGGAACCGAGTAAACCATGAGAAGTAGAGACCATCCCATCCCCTGGGAAGAATGAGCCCCTTTCCAAACAGTTCTGGGGTGGTGGTGTCATTTTTAGTGCATGCCATTGCTCTACAAAGTCTCTACACCAATAAATGACCTGGGTTTGCTCAGTCTGATGATGGTGGGCCAACTGTGATTAATTGTTCTTAAATGCATTCCAGCTGTAATGCAGAATCCTTTGAATGCCCAGGTTTATAAATCAGGGATTCTCACATGGCAGCAGTGTTGGTCTCAATTTTTACACCCATTCTTCTCTTCCACCCCATAGAGAGGCAGTCAGCAATTTCCTCACCGCTCTCAATTTGCAAAGAAAGAGTCGAAATCAGCAACACATTCCCCACCCTGCAATTTCAGGGAATATCTGGGCAGCTCTTCGGATTGCTTTGTCTATGATGGACCAGCCAGAACTTTTTCAAGCTGCTAATGTAGGTGACCTGGATGTTCTGCTAAAAGCTTTCAGCATTGAGCCCTAAACCACACACGCATGCTTTCTTCCTCACTTGCATAGACTTATGCGCATACACACAAGCCTTCCAAAAAAAGGAAACCATCTCATTCATTCTATACAGGAATAGAAATATCTTTAACTTCCCGATTTCAACAGAGACAACTTGGACACTTTCCAGCCGAAAAGGTTCTGTGGAATTCCACTCAACCTGCAGAAGAGAAGTTAAAAAGCACAACACTGTGTAAATATTGCTTTGCTCAAATATTCACAATAGATTCCAGGGAATAACAGCTACCAACCCGCACATGGACGTTGGATGAAATCACCTCCCTTGACTGTTCCTTGGGACGCGTGCCTGTGCAAAGAACACGTTACATATGGCGAAGAGCAGACAAGTGTCTGGCAACATCCCTAAGGTAGCCTTCCTCAATGTGCTAGAAGCATTGGACTACAATAACTATCATTCCCAGCCAGCAGTACTGTGCTGGCTAGGAAAGGGGGCTGTTGCAGTCCAGTACATGTATGTGGCGTCCAAGAGCTACTGCACCTACTGCGCTTGAAACCCAGTGCAGATGATGGGCGGCTCGCCCGAAAGTCCTCTTCCCACCAACACGGCCATCGCTATGTGCATGTCAGAGTGGCTGTGCTTTCACTATCAACAGACATAGCATGCAACCATCTCGAGCCTCCCATTAAATTAACTGGATTTTTATTCTGGAGTTTGATCCTGTGAAGCCTTCCAAGGCAGAAATCTCATGAGAAGATATGCAGGTCAAATCATAGATGCGTGTGTGTGTGGCTGTGCACGTGTGTGTGCGTGCGCGTGCAGGACTGCATTGTGCAAACATACGTTGCAATTTGCACTAGAGTTTTGGGTAGGTGGGAGTAGGGCTGGCCCTAAATGGGTGTACCTCCACCCATTCCTCCTTTCCAGATTCGCGTCTTGTCTTGCAAACCCCCAAACTCACTTAACTCTGAGAGCTGGTGTTTTGCTGCGCTTTTGCTTTCGACAGTTCGGCAGGACTGTGGTGGTAGGGCCCATGTGCTGTTACCTAGCAATGCTGGAATGTACTTGAAAGCACTTCTGAGAGGTCTCCCAAAGTGGCCAGAGAGTGTTTTATGCAGTTGCTAGGCAACTGCAACATACCCTTCTCCATCACAACTAATGAACAGATCTGGCATCACCAAACAGAAGTGCCAGGGGTGTCCGGCAGCTGGCTGCACTGTGCCCTGGACAGATGTCCACTGTGCCTGCCAAACACTGTTTTGAGCAGAGCGTATGAAGGTATATGCACTTTAATCAAGCTTTTCTGCTTTTATGTCTAAGGGGAAGCATGCCGGACTTTTAAGCCTTTTTTACTTGAGTGGCAAAAGAGGCATACAGGACCAAAGAAGGACCACTTGACACAAAGCAAAGCTTTCTTCTGGGCAACTGTTTAAAAATGCAAGTGGAAGGAATCAATTGCAGTCTGGTATGGAGGGGATATTGCGTAGCTGTTAACAGGAGGCAAATGTCAGCACTGAAAGAACGTACATCTGCTCCCTTTCCCTTCCACAAGAAAATGAACAGATGGGCACTGCCCCTGCATTAGCAAATAAGGGGGGAAAGCTTCAATTTTTGAGACAAGTTGCAAAAGCCCAGCCTCAGACTTACTGGTTGATGAATATGAGTCGCAATCTGCATATTCCATTGGTGCTTCAATTGGCCAGGAAGTGGATACTTAAGCCCCATTAAAATGAATACGCAGTATCAGGTGTGAGGACAGACTGCCACTGTTGATGTCAGTGGGGCTCACTCAGGGGATCTGCCAATCCACGGCACCCCAGGGCAAAAAAGTGCCTCGAGCATCCCTTGATTCGCATTAATTTCAGTGGCAGTAAACAAGTGTGTTCTAGACGTTTAGTTGAATAGGACATAATTCTTCAAGGATCACACACTGAAGAAGGATGTCCCCTATTTCATCCAACATGGCAGAACCTCATGCGTGCAAGATGGATTATTCAGAAATTCTTATTTTTTTGATCACCCGTGGTTTTTAATTTGCTAAAACCAACTATGAGCAAGAGCAATGACCAAAAAATGGCATGTTGTGTTTCACGTACGAGAATAAAGCACAGAGGACCGGTTGCCATTCGGGAGCCAGAACCTGCGATTCCTTGCTTGTCTCTTCTGGTTTAAAGCACAGTTTGTTATGTTGCTTTGGCTTGGAACAGTCTTCAATCCCATACCAATCGTTACTTTGTTGGTATGATGAATCTCTGGATTAAGAGTTCAGACTGGACATTTCCCAAATATAAAAATGTTCTTTTAATAATCCACCAGAGCTCTACCCATTAAGTGTTGCTTTGCGGTGAAAGTTTCTTCAAACACAGCCTCTGGCTAGTGAGTCCTTTCCTCTATTTATGTAAGTGTCATTGCTTATGTGGCCAAAGGGTATCATCTGTGCACAAGTGGAAAGTTTCAGTTGGCCTGGAGCAAGTCCAAGCTTTGCAAAAGTAAAAACGTTCTGGAAGTAGGGAGAATCCCAAACAGCCCCACAAGAATGGAGCATACAGAGCATCCACTGAAAGTAAACAATCCAGTAGTCATAAGCCAAGTATCTGCACAGCCAGTAATAAACCATGGATGAAAATGTGCCAATTCATCTTGCTGCTTTCTTTCTCTTTGCATCCATTGATACCAGTTTATCAATGTGTGCTTGGTGAAAAAAGCCATCTATGTCTATGGTTTGCAAACACACACCTCTGCTGCCTCATTTATGGCTCACAAAGTCAACACGCAACAGTTCATTGACACAATAGAAAACTGTCTGGAATAGCTTGCTATGGAATGCCAAAATGGTAGATCAGGGTAGGAGAAAATGGAGGCCCACGCATGCCTGGAGCCCAAGGACACACTCCAGCAAAGCATGTTCCTGAACCAGCCCCACTGAATTGGGCAGGAGTTGTGTAAGGGCTCAGCTGTCTGGATCAAGTGGGTTTGCTACCCTGGACAAGACTGGTCTGATCTAGCATGGTTTTTTGTAGGTTGTTCAGTTGCACGCAATATTCAACCCAGCACTTTAAGTAGAACATTTCTTTTAAGAACTATAAAGAAATGTTGGGGTCAGGCGATGATTTTCATCTGGACTATGGATGGAGGGTTAATCCTTCCCCCACTGTAGTCCCAGTAAAATTGCTCCTCCACAGCTGCCCAAGAGGGCAACTCTTGCAAAATCTCCCATTCTCAGCTTTCAGAATGCATACTAAAAGGGGCACTTTTAGCATAATGTGCAGGTAATGGGTCCATCTTACTCAGGATTGTGGAAGGTGAGGAGGAATTGGACCATCGTTCTGGGCAGCAGCCAGAGCATCCTATATAGGTTCACATTAATGGATCTCAGTTATGGCTACTTCCTGCGATTTGGCAGCCTAGTTAAAAGTAGCCTCACAATATCCACAGAGCCTTCTGTTCCTATAATTTCCAAGGCTCCTTTTGATTATTTCTTTATTGAGAAGCAGGTCAATTTCATAAGCTTTGGTTTCCTTTCTTCCCACTGAAGACACAATTTCTATGGTAGCTGAAATATATAAATTGATGTTTCTCTCTCTCTCTCCTTCCCTCCCTCTCTTTCCATATATATATTAAGAGTATTTTTTTTCTAATAGTAGTAAAACTTTGCAAACTATTTGAAGAAACACATAGCCTCAGGTATCAGTATATCGCATGCAGCCATATTTAACACCTAAATGTGTGCTACCAAGTATAATGCATGGGACAAGGCAAGTCCTTTTAATTGCAAGTAGATGCTATGCATGACTTAATGGTTTCTCCAAGCATTATGAGAACAAAATCAATATGCCAAGCAGTAGTTTGCTTTCATGAGATGGCTGGGCTTTGAAAGGTACGCCAAGTTGGATAAACCATCTTAAAATAAGGGATCTGAGTTGTGTGAGTTGGTTGATATAGAAAAGTCACGCAGATGCCAAGAAATACTCCTTGGCCCTATCCTGTCATTCAGAAGAATTAGGTGAACACCTCAGGTAGCAACCTTTGGAAGCCATTAAAGGATGGCCACCCTGCCCCATTACTAGTTTCTCTGCCGTATCAAGCAGTGCCATTTTGGATTTCCCATCTCAGGCATTAAATAGTCATGACTCCACCCACATCTGCAGAATCCTTGTTTTCTGCATGGCTTAGGAACTAGAGCAGAGACTAAAACTGCAGACATTACAGAGGTTGGGGGCAAAGACTGCCAAGAAGAAAGGAACCAAAAGTGGGATACATTAGCCATTACCAGTAGGGTTGGGGCTAGCTGGACCGGCAGCCCTTTGCCGACATAGAAAGGAGTAGCTGAGGATAAAGATAAAGGCCTGAGCAAACCACATTTGAACTGACCTTTAACAGCTGCTTCTTTTGCATCTGTTTGCAGATCATGTTTATGGACCTAGGAACACAGGATGTTGTTTTATACCGAGTCGGACATTGGTCCATCTGCCCCAGTCTTCTCAGCACTGGCCAGCAGCAGCTCTCCAGGGTGTAGAGTTCTTCCAGCCCTACCTGGACATACCAGGGCTTGAAGTTAGGAGCTTTACAGGCAGGGCAGTGCTGGGCCATGGCCATGGCCATGCAAATGAAGAAGCCACTTTATACCAGGCACAGCCATTTGTCCATCTACTCAGTACTGCCTTCCCTGGTTGGCAGCAATTCTCTAGGGTCTTGGGCAAAAAGCATCTTCCATACCATTGGCCGTGTATGTGACTCTTCCACAGGGAGCTGTGGCATCTCCCTTTACTGTCACTTGCTAGTTCCTACAAACTGAACAGGCATTAAAGGCACTTCAGCAGGCAGGATTACTTGTTTTTTGCTCAGTTGGCAACCCTGACTAAGCCAAAACAATAGAAAACTGGAAACATGGTCCCACTCATGGCTGGGGCCTTTGCGAGTCCACCTACTGCTCTTTGCTATGTAAGACTATAGAACACAGAGGCCCCCAGTAAATGTCATAGACCAAGCTAGCTCCATCTGCCAGAAGGGCAGCAGGGCAAGGATATTTATATGGAACAATAACACCTGTTACATTGGTCTGTGCAAAATAGATGTTTGGCTATATGTGCTCCTCTGTAAAAGTACCTGTCTTCACACCTGCTCTCTGCTCCTCTCCTTTAAAGCAGTCATGAGCAGTACATAGATAGGGATCTTCTGGTAATTGCCTGGGTGATGTGTGCTAGGTCAGCAAGGAAATAGCCCTTCTCCACATGGCTAGATTGTATATTTCACAGCGTCCATCTTTTGGAATTTTGCATTGGATTTCCTGAAATGAAGTAACTCAGATATACATTGGTGATTGCCTATGTGGTCCGCCCCAGTGGAGAAGTTGTGGGATGCAGAGGAAAAAGCCCCTTGGTCTCTTGAGATGCCATGTTGCATCTGGCACCTGACTGCAAGTGGGTGGATCTTAGCAGTCTAGCGAGGAAAGAAATGGAAAGGAATGGAACAGTTCCACTGGGCTGAAATATGTCCACCGCTTTTTTAAAGCATTCCCTTCAGTTTAATACATGGCAGCTATTCCTTCCAAACAGTTTTCACTTTCCCGAGTGTAGAAAGAGAGCCAGCTAAAGTGTTGGACTGGTTAGATCCAGGTTCTAGTCCACACTCAACCATGAATCTCACTGGGCAACTTTGGGCCAGCCACTGACTCTCAGCCTAGCCCACCTCACAGGGTTGTTTCTGTGAGGATAAATTGGGCTGGAGGAGGACTATGTAACGCATCTTGGGTTCCTCACAAGGGGAAAAACAGGATGGATATAAACACAATGTAATAACAACAGAACAAATAGCTTGTACAGATTGAGATACACAATAATGGTGCAAGTCTTGCCATGCAGAATAAGGGCCAGCAGTTAAAATGCTTCTAAGGCTTAAGCAGAAAGCTAAAATTGTGGTAATTTTGGCCTTATGGCACATGAACCACTTGTGCATGTAAGATTACCTCTGCAATGCAGGGAAAAGAAAGCAGCATGAGGTAGGGACCAGAGCAATGTTCCTCAACCTGGTTTTCTCCAGATGGTTTGGACTACAACTCTCAAGATTCCTGATTTCTGGGAGTTGGTCCTGGCAGGCACCAACCAGGCTGGGAAACATGGGGGCCAGAGGATCTTCCAAAATGTAACAAAGCATACAAATTTCATATTCATCAATTCAGCACTACAAAGGTAGCTTGCACTGTGTTCATACCTCAGAGAGGTTGAACTTTATAGTTCCCTCCAAAGAACAGGAGGGAACAGGTCTAAAAGTTTTGATAGCAATAAGAGGTCTAGCTGTTTCACTGATCCACAACCCCACTGAGATATTTTTTTGCAGGGGGGCAATGGAACCATGAAGGTTAACCTCACTTTGAGCACATGCTGGTCGTAGGGTCAATGCTTTGAGAATTGTAGGAGAACTGGCACGTTGATCGGTTGGAGGAGGAGGGCAGGCCAGGTACAAGGTTGTGTTCTCATGCAAAAATCCACACAGCAGAAGTGCTGAGCAGCCTTCCCCAGTCTGGCGCAGTCCTAAGGCTAGTTCTGCCTGCAATGGTTGGGGCAATCGGGACTGCAATCCAAACTATCTGGAAGACATGTGGTTGGGGAAGGCTTGTCCTGGAGGCTGTGCAGATCTGTTCTGAGGAATGTGAGGGGTTGCCATGCAGGCACGGAAACATGCAGGGAGGGAAAGGGACTGCACCTGAGGGTGAGGAAATACCATTTTTAATTGGTCTGAGCGTTTCGCCAAGAGTGTGCGCGCACGTGTGTGTACATATGTGTAGACACACACATGCACATGACTCTACTGCAGAGAAGGGACTGAGGTCAAGGTGCTCAAGAGCCTCTTCAGTACTCCTTTCACTGCTGTGCGAAGGAACAAGTGTGTGAGGGCAGGTTTGTGTATTCCTGTTCATCACTGCAGCATCAAGCACTGGCTTGCCCAGGGGAAGGTTCTACCACAGATCCAACACCATGGAGAGGACTTTAGCATCATCTTGAACAAAATATTCTCTACCACCACCATTGGAGGCAGTGCAGACGCTCAGCTGCAAGTCATGGATGGACTGGAGTGGCCATGGAAAGATGCCCTTGCATGTGAATCATCTCCCAGCCCTGCAAACACAAATCCATGCTTAGAGGCTTTGAAAAGACCTTGGCCTTAATATGCTTTCTTTTCCTCTGTTTGCATAATTTTCTAGACGTTCATCATGGGTGAACTGAATGTTGCATTTTATGTTAGCAGCTTTTTAAAATACCTGTACTCTTTATCAATTGTAAATTTAGGGGAAATGTTTATAAATATACATATATATTTTATATATCAAATATAAGGTATCTATATAAAACTAAGAGCATATAGTTTTGAACAGATTCTTATGCTGCCTCTGCTACATGATATTGAAAATTTGCAGTTGAATTTAGCATTATCAAGTTTGGAGACGTCTTTAAAGCCCAAATATATTAATATGAGGAAAAAATTTGGACAGCCTCCTCCCCCCACCTGGGGTGCGCCAGATGTTTTGAACTGACCACTGAGTATACTGGCTGGGACTGCAGGAAGTTGAATTCCTCAACATCTGGAGGACACCCAGCTGAGGAAGGAGGTTTTAGGGTCTGCCCCTTTTCACCTCTCAGTGGAGGGAATTTGCGAGGTGTAGAAAACAGCCCTGCAATTACTTACAGATTACTTGAGCTAATTACTGTACCAAGGAGTAAAGGAAGGAGATCTATGAACCCCAATTGACCTTATTTTCACCTTCTATTTAAAGCAGTCGGAGGACAGTCCTCTGCTGTAAGCCATCCTTTGCTTGAGAGGCTGCCTGGCCCAGGTCAGATAAAAAGACAGAGAAGCTTGGAGAACTTCGTGGAGAAGCACTTGGATAACAGACTGAATGAGCACAGCTTTCTCCTGCTCAGAGCCTTACCCATTAGGGTGGGATATATTGCCTTTTCATGGCTGGCATCCTCAAATGGAGCACTGCATGCCTGTTTTCCTGTAATCTCAAAGCATGGCTCGAGTTGCCAGAGGGGAGCCCAATCGCCAGGTTTCTCCTGAGACAGGTCACATCTTGCATCACCTTGCTAGCAGCTCCACCTTTTCAGATGGGCGCGATCTTTCTTCCCCAGGTGGAGGCAGCATTGCCAATGCCAATTATCAAGTCGTATCTCGCAGGATCACTTCCTTTCTTGCCAGTTTGCTACAGCTCGACTTCCACAGTGCATTTTAATCTGGTCTGCATGGCAGACTATCCCTGGGTTTATATTTATCTTCAGCTTCTCCCCTTAGGGCGTTACATGCACACTTCTCAGTGCTGACTCTGCCCAGTTTCTGAACAATAACCACCAGGATTACTTGATTAGTCTCTTTTGTACCTGAAGTGGGTATTCAACACAACTTACACTTTTAACAATCAAAATGAAATATTAAAAGAAACAGGACACAGAGCACATTTAATACATACTATTTTAGCTTTAGTAGGATGGAATTACTTGCTACATGCTGCTGAAAAGAATGGTTCTTTTCAGTTTTTCCCCATTATGTATGATTTGTCTCACTCATGAACTCAAAGCCTGTGTTTTTCCTGCTCCAGTAAACTGGGACAGGGAAAATACACACAACATATTACATCACAGAAGGCATAACCAACCCTTTACACTTAGGAGGAAGAATACAACATGGGAATAACAGTTTTGGCAGTTTTCCTGCACTGAGTGGAACTGGGCAAATTTGGAGGGTGTTCCTTGCTCCTGCCTCAACCAACCTTCCCTCATGGCCTCCTCCTACACACACATATACACAAAAACATTTGCATCTACCCCTCAAGGTGCTCTTGGCATCTCATGAAGGCAATATTCAGCAGGACATGAATGTCTCACTTTGATCAGGATGGGAAGCTGTCTGCTGTTTCTGTAAGCTGGCTGGGAGTGGTGGAGGTTACAGACCCAACCATCTGGAGAAGACTATCTTAAATGTGATAAGATTAAGCATATTTTTAAAGTAAGAACAATGGAATAGCTAAATGGAGAAAGAGTTCAGAACAAGATTTTTATCAAAACTTTGTCCAAAAGCTCCTGAATCCCAAATTATAAAGTATTTGAATATATGGTTGAGGTATAATATTGACATCCTCAGTCTCTGTTAGTGCCAAAATTTGTGAAGATGAAGACAGGTATGAGAATGTCTTCACCAAATTGGAATTTTAGAATATAAAAGAGAGTGCAAGTAATATGAAGCCCAGATCTGAATGTTTACATTCATTTTCAAAGGCTCAAAGCAAACCCAGACTGGGAAAATCTCTAAGCAAATTAGGGATTTAAAGTCAGTTTCCAAACAATAAATCTTGCCTTTATATATTTAGTGCATTATGAGCTGCATATAAAAAAACCCAGTTCTATAGTTTACTGAAGATTTAAAGTGACAATTTTGTGCTCCGCTCTTTAACGTAACTTATGCTTTTAACCTGGAACTGTATGGGTATTTAGTGTGTTTAATTTATAAGGCTGATAAAATTTGCAGAGCACCACAGTAAATGTATTTTTGTACGGTAATGGAAGCATGCCTTCCTTTGATTCTTTTTCCACTTATGAAATTGTATTTATTTTCCTGTATTTATATAAAATTGTGGAATTTTTAAATATGTCTTAAAATAAACTTTTGTCTGTGGCTTCAAGTTAATTGCTAGCTGGAGATTTATCTGACCGATTTCTGCTAAGGGTAAAGAGAGGATGGAGTTTTCTTAGTCCCCGAAGCAAATTTATTTTCATTTTTTTAAAGGGGCAGGTAAGATTTGCCGCTTTCCCAAATAATGCCAGGGTTTTACAGATGATCCAAGCATGTCAATTCATTTGAAAATAGTGACCACAAAAAAGGCACTCTGAACCAATCAATGTGAGCTTTTTTTAATTTAAAACAGTTGCAACAATACCTCATTCATATCCCTTCATGTGGCAGACAATTCCTCTCCAGAACATTAAAAGTATTTCAAGTGAGCAGTGCAAAACTCATCGAAACGTCAAATGCTTCCAAGATACAGTAGCTGACTTCAAGTGGTGAGAAAGGCCTTGCATATTGATCCAATCCAGTTTGAGAAGTAGGGAAGGGGAGATCAAAAGGCACATCTAGTTCTGTAATTCTGCATAGTCATTTAATGCCCCACAATTCATATAAACTAGGAAAACTGCAACAAAAGCGGAAAACTAAAGCTGGTGATCCAGTTCGGAATACTGCAATCGGCATCTAATGCTTTTGTCTTGAGAGTGTTTAACACAACAGGCCAATTCAGATGCTTTAAAACACATCACATTCAGTGATACTGGCGTAAGTGCAGGGGGACTATTTTCAAGCCCCACAATTCACCTGTGCTGCTGCTAGGAAGTGGTGTCGGTATGACAATATGATGCGACTCCTCCCATGGGGAGGATTTTAAAGCTTCTGAATCTTCATAAACTCATGCCATGAGCTAGTAATCTCATCAGTGCACTGAATGTGGAAAAGTTCTCCTGGAGTAAGCTACATATAGAGAGCCCCAACAGGATACAACAGGAATGAAGGATTTGACTCACAGGGTGGTCCTCCAGAAAAGATGTTCATAACCATCCAAGATGTAAATTTTATGCATAGGTCTGCTCCTTGTATTACTTCAACAAATTGCCCTCAGTGTACCAAATGTCAAACCATCATTACTCGGCTTCAGTTTATCACCAATTATTATGATATGGCTGGCAAATAAGAGGAACTCCACTTTATGCAATTGATATCAATTTTCATATCCAATAAACTTCCTCTGTTAGTCAAACATTAACTATACTTTCCATTCCAACCTGGCATCAGCCATATGGAGGAGGATGATTTTTAAAAAATGGACATCAATATTTTCAAAAGTTTGGAGGGTCTTCCTCCTCAGTTTGGACATGTAAAATAATTTCCATTTTTTTTTGTCAGCAAAGTGAATATTAAGCCTGGATTGCATAGGAACCCATGAGTCAAAGACCCGTTTGCTTTGGTACAGATGGTCTAGATTGGGGGGTGGGGGGGGGGTGAAGGAACATATCTGCCAAGTCATACATGCTTCAGATGCATATATATTCCTCCAAAATGTCAGCTAAACATATGATGCTCCAAGTCCCAAAAAGTGGGCAAGCACTGGAAACCAACTATTACCAGCAGTACAGAGTGGGATAAGGCTGAATATCCTCTGTGAGTAATGGGGTACAAGGGACCCTCACCTGGAGGAAAAGGACTACCAAAATTCCCATAATAAGGAAATCCAAAGCTCAGTCTCACTCCCCCCACAAACACCCCAATTCTCCATAATCCAGAGGGAAAGAACATTCCCAAGTGTTTAAACTCAGTCTAAAGTCACTCAAAGTCTTCACAAGGAAGGTATGTTGGACCACAACTCTCATCATCCCCAGTTAGACACATCTGGAAGGCACCAGGTTGAGGATGGTTGCCCTAAGCTGTCACCTCAGATGTGTATAAGGGCGGTGCCCTCATGGTAAGCATGAATATCTTGCCCATACCTGAGCAGCAGCTGCTGCTCCCCACGCACTATGCCAGTTCAGGTGGGGAGGGAAGGCATCTTAAAGGGAAGTCTTGCCTTCATCCTCAAAACCACTAACCTTCTGTCAGCTTTATTTATGATACAGCAAGATCATGATTCAAATAATAACAGGCAAAATGGGGCTCAAGTCAAGTTCACAGGCCTTGAGTGTACCATTCTGTCCTTAAAAAATGGAATGATCCATCAATACCCCTCTGAACAGTGTTCCAATGAAGGGGGAGTTGATCACGGGAGTAACCTGTACTCTTGTAAACACCCCATTTCATTTCCACGGGGCTTTTATTCAGAACACATTCCTAATGGATTGGGTCCAAGGTTTGTCTTCAACCAGATTGTAGGCCTTACCATGGCAAGTTCATTCCACCCCATATTCAGAACAGGAAGATACACATTAATCATACTGTGGTGAAGTTTGGGATTTGGAGGAAATGTGCTTGAACAAGCAGCATCAAGAGTCACTGAATGCTGCTGTATTCTGCTTCCTACCCTGCATTCTTTATGGTACTAAATCCCAAACACCACTTAGGCAAAATGGCGCCGCAATTTGCTCTAAAACAAATGCAGAAGTCAATGCAATGAGTACATGTCTGACAAATGACCCATCACCCTTCTTTCTCTCATTCACACAGCCGTTTTAGATAGCAGCATCCTATCTTAGTTTGCTGAGATCTCACTATTTTAATCTAAATACAGGAAGGCAGCCAATCAGATCTCACCTCCTTTGAAATAGCCTTTTAGGTCAAAAGGCCATTTTGCTTCAGTTTCCAAGGCAAAACAGATCTTAGTTAAATGAAATTAACTAAGAACACGGTAAGACAAACCCAGGTTCTATTTAAACTGTCAGATGAACTTTCCTGCAAGTCGTGCGTGCAAAGCAGAGGAGTGGAGGAGAAGCCAGAAGATTTTGATTGTGTGCATAATGATTGGGAAGCTGTAATTGAAGAAAGACCCAGACAAGGCTGTGAAACAGATCAGCGTTTTAATATGCAGCAGCAGTGCTTCGGTGAAGCCACAGTGTGTGTGAGCGCATGTGTCAGAGTGGAGGCTTGGACAGAAACTGCTCCTAAGGTAAAGGCTACAGATTCACCACTGACAGTACTTTTGTACTGGAATGCATTATTTTGTCTTTTCTGGCCACCTGATTTCAGGAATCTGACTTGATACACAAGGCCTTAAGTTGCAGCTTGTTTGTCTCCAGCGATACGAACTTCAAGTAAAAATAGTAACAACTCAGACCGATCTGTGCAGGAGCTGCCTACATCTCTCTCTCGCGCGCGCGCTCTCTCTCTCTCTCTTGCGCTCTCTCATGCACACACATGCACCCACTTTATAATGGCTCCTGAACTTCTGGCAAATGGAGCTTGCCAGAAGTTCAGAAAGACAGTCGGAGAAAGTAAAAACTGGAAGGGTCTTTTGGAAAGAGTGGCCTGGGAATGGAACATCTAAACTTTATTCAGGCTTGCTTGCTAACTGCTAATGCTAGCAGTTGAATTGGCTCCATCAAGTTAATTAGACATCCCCATATTAACTTTTGTAAGTCTCTATCAAGTGATTTAACAATGGCAAGAAAAGCAGGAGAAAAAATTTTCAGGGCCTTGAATTCACATAATAATGCAGAACAAGACTGAAACCCCTCCTAAGATGTTAATAAGTTCAGAAAGACAGTGGGAAGAAGTAAAAAAAGGAAGAGGTCTTTTGGAAAGAGTGGCCTGGGAATGGAATATCAGATGACCAGCTCCTTTGCAAATACTTACAGGTCAATATGATTTTAGAAATAAAATAGAAAGATCAGTCCATCAGCATTTTTACCAAGCTATATCCTCTACTCAAGAAAAGTTTTTTAAAAATGTAACAGCCTCTGCTAGAAAGCAGGGCAGTGCATTCTTGATTGCCAGAAAGTCATTTACTCCAGGACTGTCACTGTCAATGGATTTTTTAAGTTTCTACTTAAAGGGCCATTGCCCCCCTTTTAAAAATTTGTGAGAAGTGTTCAACAGGCACTCTTGAGTGGCATACAACTGAAAAAACAAACAGGTGTAAATTCAGTTCAGGAAACATATGGCCGAAATGGCTGTCCCATTGGAAAAGCTACTGACTGGCAGCCCCCTGTGAGCTCTAATGCCCACCCAAAGCTCTTGCACATAAGAACACTGATCGTGTGATGAGAGGTGCAGATGTACGCACACATACAGGTGTGTATACAGATCCACTGAAATGAACGAAAGAAGCACTTTCTTATATGAAGTGAACCATCAGCAACTGCTGGATCAAGGCATAGAAATACAAGATATGTTTTCAAACCAATCGAAGCACCAATTGAAAAAAAGAATATCCAGGTCTTCTATTTGGCAACACTACAAGCTCCCTTAGCTTGAGTAATTAACCTTAATTTCAAGCACTGACATTCACAAAATACCTTGGGCTATTACATTCTTTTTTGTGTAGATCTATTCATTTTTTTTTCTAACCGTAGAGATACAGAGCTCACAGCTAAGCAACTTTTCATGACAGCAAAAAGATCCTTCACCAAAACTTTAATCACTTCTATTGCAGTGAACTCCCCAGCCAAGGGCAGTGGCTGGCTACCATCCCCAATTCCAGAAGATTCATTCAGGGGCTTTCAAGCTGCAAGGTACGTATGAAGTGGGTTTGGGAGCAGCCTTCTGTTCTCCAAGTACTTGTTGTAAATTCCACCAGTAATCAGAACAGTCTTACGGTCTCCACAAAATGTGTATAAATTTTGAAATCCTACGATGCACTGTGATCTAACAGAAAATCTCTCCACTAAAGTTTAAGAAGGCATCAAATGACCAATCCTGATTTAAGCTATAAATGGTACCCAAATCTCTTCCTTTTTGCTTTGCTTTTTTTGGCAGTCCAAAGGCTTTGCTCATTTGAAACAATTTTTTTGGCAGAATAAAAAGGCTTATGGCTTCTTAAGGCCAAAGAACATAGCTGAGGCCTAACTTGGTATCCTGTGGTAAAAGTAAATATACCCCAACTCCCTGGGTGGTCGCTCGGAGGCACAGACTTTAAGGTCATTGTAGATTACCCACCTGAAGAGACAGAGAGAAAAGGAAGAAAGAGACAGTGAGCCCCACAAATCTTGACCCAATGCCCAATCCTAAGGGGTACTTCAAAAGGTTGCTCCTGGTCAGAATCCTATTCTTAGCATCCTGTTTTCTGCCAGGACAATTAGCAATTCTCACTTGCATCAGCGAGAATGCTCTGGGGATACTTGCGGGTAGCTCCTGGCTTACTGTTTAGCTCTGCTTACGCAAAGGTGCCATTGTGAGAACAGACCAGCTGTGCCATCCCCACATAGAGCTCCCAGTTCTCATGGGTAGCAACGGAACAGACGGCTTCATCTTGATACTGACACTGCAGTCATTTTACAATTGGATCTCAATGCCCCATGCTGAAATCCTAAGGTTTTCTGTCCTTCATCTGCATTTTCGGAGGAGTGGAGGGGCTGAATCTGGAGACCTGCTCGCACATGTTGCACCACATCCTGTTGAGATGTGCGGGCTGCTTCTGGCCAAAGGCCAGCATGAACTCCAGTGAACATGAACAGAACTGCCTTGTAGAAAGGAGCACGGCACAGTGGAAACAGCCGAGCGCAAAAGGCAGGAGCATGAAGGGAAGAAAAGACCGTGACAGAAGGTGGCTCCTGACCATTAAAAACGCGGTCCTTGTTGCCAGTCCCGCTCATTTTAAATGAACCTCGTTCCAAGGAATGCGGTTTGGACTAAGACTCACGAACTCTGGCCAACCCATGTGCATCATGTAAAACAGAACAAACATTAATGTCACTCACCTTCCCTCCTTTTTGAGATGACAAACATAATGGCCACTCATTGTAGATGTTCCCATGTGACTGATGAACCCAAAGAGTTCATATCCTGTGCAAGGAGATGCCAGAGATAATAAGGAAGGTTGTAAGAATTGTCTTTACTAAGCCAAATCTAGAAGTCAGATTTGCCTTATACCTTATACTGATTATTCATGTGTCATATTTCCAACCTGTCCTTTCTCCAAGGAGTTCAGAGTGATATAGATTTTAGATGTATATCAGTTTTGCTCCCCCCAACCAAAAAAAACTAGATTCAGGAATAAAACAGACGTTTGTAAAATGGCACAAAATTTGCTTCTACATCGTCACATGCGATAGTGCCACACATTTTTCATCAGACTCACCCCCCACCCCCAGAAGCTGCAACTCAGCATGGCTTCCTGACAGCTATACAACCTGCAAGCACATCGTGAAATACATACATGTGCACTTGTCACAAATGTTCTACTAGCTTTGATGCTATGAAGTGTTTGCCCTGAAGTAATAACATGAAGTGTTTTGATGCTACATATGAAGGCCACATTTGTCACAGTGCTCAGGACACTTAGTTTTTACTGAACTGCTGGCAGGAGATTCTCCAAATACACTTCTATATTCTGCTTATCCACACAGTTCCTTAAAAGCCTTGTGAAAAAAAAAGATGTATGTTACCCAAGAGGTCTCTGTTATATATTCCACCATTCAGCAATCTTAATTGCTGCCTAAGAGCACCATCCTGTGGTTAGTCTTAGAGTGTTCCTACAAAGATCATAGGGAACGTTCCTAATGACCTCAGGGTAAAAACTGCAGTGGTGAGTATCACAGCAAACATGAAAATGAAGGCAAATCCTCAATGTACCCAGGCAGAATCGAGAAATGCTTGCTCTCATAGGCACCTGTATCTGCAGCTGCTTTGTGTCTAGTCAGAACAATGTCCCACCTGGTCCTCTTGCAGGCTCTCTAGAATCTCAGGTAAAATCTGCTTTGCTATGCATTACTTCTGTAATGTGCACAAAAGTTTACCTTCAAGTACTCATTCCACTGGGTGCTGCACCCAGTCCTAATCCTAATCCTATATAACTATCCTAATGTCTGAAAAGGGGCAAAACAACAGCTTCCCCCATGAGGTCCTTTAAGGCACCAACACAGAGTAATACTTTTCTAGATTGCTCTGGGGCAAACCATGTCCTGCTCAAGTGACAACTTCTGGCACTGTCTGCAGAATCCTGAAATCAGTCATGACTGCTCTTCTCTCTTTTGCATTTTCCCTAATGCAGAGTTGCACCTGAGCATGTGTATCCAGACATTTGTGCTGGTCAAAATCCATTTGTTATACCTCTTCTTATACAGCCCTGCTGTGCCAGTTTTCCAGTTGCAAGAAGGCACAGGAGGGACTGAGAAGCGAAGGCCACCTTCTCTCTGAAAATCTAAATGCCAGAATCTATTTGGATAACTACACAAGGGACACATGATGCAGGTTTCTCTTTTTTTAATTAACTTTTAGATTTTCAGGGGAAGAGAGGCCATTGCAGTACTAGCTCTAACATAAGCCATTTTTCAAAGAACATGTTGAATCACTCTCTTAAGACATGGAGATACTACAGATGGAGCATTATTATGTCTTCCACCAGCCTTTGCTCTCCTACCCTTTTCCTTTAGTGTCAAGAGTACAGAAGAGTTCTCTAGTATTCAAAAGCAAATGCACTGGTCTATGGTTTTTTAGCTGGTCATAAGAAGAGCCCTTTTGGAACAGACAAGAGACTTATCTATTTTATTTTCCTGGGCTCCAAGATCACCGCAGACGATCCTGGGGATCCTGGGGAGGAAAGCTACGGCAAATCTGGACAACATACTAAAAAACAGAGACATCACCCTGCCAACAAAAGTGTGTATAGTTGAGGCTATGGTTTTCCCAGTTGCAATGTATGGCTGTGAAAGCTGGACCATAAGGAAGGCTGAGTGCTGAAGGATTGAGGCCTTTGAATTGTGGTGCTGAGGGAGACTCCTGCGAGTCCCTTGGACCGCAAGGCGATCAAACCAATCAGTTCTAGAGATCAACCCTGACTGCTCTTTAGAAGGCCAGATAGTGAAGATGAAACTCAAATACTTTGGCCACCTAATCAGAAGGAAGGACTCCCTGAAGAAGAGCCTAATGCTGAGAACAATAGATGGCAAAAGAAGAAGGGGATGGCAGAGGATGAGGTGGCCAGATGGAGTCACAGAAGCAGTCGGCGTGGGCTTAGGTGGACTCCGGGGGAGGTGGAGGACAGGAAGGCCTGAAGGAATGTTGTCCATGGGGTCGCGATGGGTCGAACATGACTTCGCGACTAACATCAACAACAATATGGCTGCCTGCAATAGTTGCCTACTCTTATTCAAGATGGGACTAATAACCTTCTCTGACAGTTAAAACATATCATATGCAACTCTCCATAGAGTTTGGTCTGCAAGATATAAAAACTGAGTGCAAGGAGGACAGCTTTTTTGTGGCGATGCCATAAGTTCAGAATACCCTCACACGAGGGAGGCCCACCACATGGCTATCAGTTTGTAGCCATGTTCTTTTTTGTTTGCAGTTTTACTGAATTTACTTTGCCAGCAATTGTTTTAAAATTCTTTGGTAACTGAACATTTTATACATAGCTGCATGTCACTTCCACTGCAAGTCAAGAAACAATTCATAAACATAGCAAATATACTGGGGGAAATGAGTAAGATATACACAGCAACTTATGCAGAGAATCCAGCAAAAACATACGTCCAGATCCATCTTTGATCCTGGGCCCTTCTGGATCAGATTCTTCGAGGATGTTGGCGTTCATGTGGTTTTCTATGTCCATGGCATCTGTAAGAGTTTCATTCTCCTCCTCTGCCTCTGGGTGGCTGAAGATCCAATCCAATGCATGTTCCAAGTTATTATTCTGTAAGACAAAGTAGTATACAAAAATAAAACAGCTAAGAGCATCCAGCATCTCTGCCACTATCATGGTTTGCACATCTTTTAATGAGCAGAAAGAGTAAAAACAATGCAGGGAAACATGATTTGATGGTCTAGCTTCTGCTGCTGATGCAGATATTTCCACCATAGCAGAGATGGAAGTCTGATGCTCAGATAAGCCACGGTGGAAAATATTTCAGACAACGGCAAACGGCAACAGGGCATCTGTACTGCATTGCAGCAACGTGGTTGCAAGCGTCCCGTGTCTGCTTGCAGGCCTTTGCCAGGAACATATTCAACAGCTGCCCACACAGTTCAGGCAGCACGTACAAGTGACGCGCCAAGCTAATGATACACTCCCTCACCTGGGCAGGTACCACCATGCACGCTTACCTGTCTGGAGGGCAGGTGTTCCATATTTTGCTATGCTGCCATGGACAACATAAGAATGGGCACTCAGTCACTTGTGGATCAAAAGGACAGAGAGGCACTGGGACACCATGAATGCAAACTAAAGGACTTTTGCATTAGCATTTGGAAGCAACAGCCCACTTCATCCACTTATCATTTATTTGTTATTTCAGATTTTCTTTTTTAACCTACTCTTCATTCTAAGATATCAGACTGCCATACAAGAGACATAAAGGCCACCATGAAAACATAAAACAGCCTAACAATGAGAAGAAATCAGAGGTGTAAAAAGCAGAGCATCCTAAAAGCAAGTCAACACCACACTTTTAAGTGCTTGGGCAAATAGATTTTTATTCTGGTATGGAAAGAAGAGCAGCAGCAACACCGGTTTGTGTCAATGGGGAGGGAGTGTTACGAATATGCGCCGATATTTTGTTTGGACATGGTGTGACTTTAAGCTCTTTCTCTGGGTATGTAATGCTGCCACCAGGAATTTAATTCCAATTTTATTAATTAACCTCTCCCACAGTACTGCTGCCAACCCCCATATGCCCTCATGCAGCAGCTCCACAGAGGCGTGGAGAAGACAGAACCTTGCTTGACTGCACAGCATATGTATCATGGAGCTGAGCAGACCCTGCCCCACACTGCTATTTTCGCAACCACAGTAATTACTCTGCTTCCTCCTTCCATCCCACAGAGCTGTTTCAGCAAAACACCACAGCTGGCAGTATCAAGAGGCATGGAGAGATCAATGAATTGGATCACTCTCTGCCTGTCCTCCTTCCAATGGAGCCCATCCATCATGGGCAATGCAGCTGCTTCAGTGCCAGACCTGGGCCTCGGTTCACTCTGAAACAGGCCCAATTATTCCACTCCATCCAAGCTGAACTGCCACACCCTCTCCAGCCCTCATCTGCACCCAATGAGGCAGATATTTTCATGTGTGTTCCAGGCCCAAATTACTTGAGTGTTAGCATCTATAAGCCTCCCGTTCAGTCCAAAATTTCTCAGACTGCAAGCTTCTGAATTTCCTTCCCTGACACCTCGAACTGAGGATAGCTCATCCCATCAACCTGCCTGCTAGTTCAGTCATGTTCAGCCTTAGCGAGAACAGCTGTAGCCACAGATGAGCCTCCCTGAAAAATGCTTGTCTACCAGCGTGTTGGTGCCCAGTTTACCCTCTGCAGGTCAGAAGAGATTAACTGCTCCGGCTAAGGTCTGAGTTCCATTTAAGAAGCCCAGGGGGCAAGATCAGCAGCCAGCAGGCATGGATTTGTCTTCTGCAGTTCTGCCTACCTGCCACAGAGGGTCAAGCGTGAGACACAAGAGGCTAAGCCAGCACGCCATCTGGATCAGAGATGTACCCAACTGCCTAGATGCCCCCTCACAGCAAACATTCAAGGCTTTGTGTCAGATGGGGATGGGAAGAGGTTCAATGAAGTTTCCCTCCTTCTGGGCTGGAGAATTTCCCTCCAGCTCCACTGCAAACCTCCCACTATGCATGACAGACAGCGCTCCCTGCAAGTGCCTTTTCTCTTCCTCCAAGACCTGAAAATGCAAACTGCACCCTTTGCTATTCCCTAAGGAACCATCTTAGCAAGATTGCAGACCATAATTCTGCAAATCTAGTTTGAAACTGCAAACTAAGAAATATTATTTGAGGGGTAAATCGAGGCACCGTTTTGCCTGTATTTGGTTTTCCATTTTCTATGCCTGCCTCCCCATTCTTCACCACATTGTTCCCCTTTACACACATACTTTCCTTTTTTCCTATGCCCGAAATGTTCTTTTCTCCAAAAACAGCCACCTTCTCCATTTTTAAAGACATTTCCTTGACTCCCAAGAGATCCCTGTTAAGCAATATTCTGTAGCCAACCAACATTTTCTCCTGACCTATACCTATAGCAGAACACAACATCAACTTAATTCTCCACAGCAAAACTAACTCAAGGTCTTTCTTCATCAAATTTACTGCTGCTGACAAAAGGCCCTGCACTGCACTGATTAATGACGTGCATTTATTATACCAGCTTGTGAATGTCATGTCTGAGGGTCTGGAGGTGGAAAATGTCTGTATCTGTGCCATAATCAGGCCCTAAATAATTTGCTGGACAACTCACCGTGGCCCGTAGTGCCTGAAGAGCTATATTCCGCTGGAAGCCCATAGAGGCAATGATGGCAACCATCTCTTCTGGTGGCTGATTGTCCAGCCCAGCAACACCTGGTCCACCTGCCCCAGGAAAAGCAGCTCCCCCGTAACCAGGGATGGCTAATGGCTCTGCAAAATCTAGAACAGAAGTGGCATTTTCAAAACTACGAAAACAGATTGGCTTGGCATTTCTAGCCAGTGCACTTCCTTTTAGGAAATACTGTTCCTCCTATGCACACACCATTAAAAGTGGGAAGTGGCCCTTTATGTAAACAAGCACAGTGTGGCAAATTTGAGCAATGCTGATGGGAAGGAGAATGTAGCAGACTAATGTACTTGCACCAGTCTACGGGCCTCCTGTTGACAGAGATCTGTCTAGTTATCTCTGGTGAACAGAAATGTTGTCTAGGTGATCAGAAGTTTGTGAACTAGAAGGCAGAGCGCTCTCTCTCTCTCTCTCTCTTCCTCTCTCTCTCTCTCTCTCTCTCAGGGAGCAATGAATCACAAATTAGCATGTGAACTAATACATATTTGGGGGAACTGTTGGAGAGAAGCAACAAGAGAGATTTGTTTTGGTTTATCTGGTTAGCCACTGAGAAAAACAGGATGCTGGATTAGATGAGGCCTTTGGTCTGATCTAGCTGGGCTTTTACATTATAGCTGGATTTGCAAGACTGCACACTACTGTGTACATTCCACATCTCTGATAAACCAACTTAGGACTGGGTTGCACAAGAAGTGATGAAGCTGAGGCTTGTTTCTAAATTAAGCAGAAGCATGAGAAGCACAGAACTGCTCTAGCGAGCAGTAAGTTCCTTGTTGCACGCACATCCACTGGAATTACAGACCTGGTTCTTCCATGTGCGCAATGATCCAGTTGAAAGCCACCTCGGCACCCATGTTGCCAGTATAGTAGACAGCTTTTCGGCACGCTTCCAGTGGAAAACCCATCTCGGCTAGCTGCATCACGGAGGATTCATCAATGTCTGGTGCTAAGAGAGGATATTCCAAATGTGAAAGCTGTAAAAGCTTATCCTCCATCAAGGGGCAAGGCCATTTCTGTCTTCTCTGTGCAATTTACATGGAACTGAGAATCTGCATAATGCTAGTACAGATTATTGTAAAAGGTCTGGAGGCAGCATCTATTAGAGACTCAAATTAGAACAAGGTCTAATTTCAAGAGAGAGAGACTGTGCACTTGATAATTCTGTATTCTTTCCTTTGACCACTGCACAAAACAGCACTCTGTATATTGAACTGACATTCAATTTTGCACTGGCTAAAAACAGTGGAAAAACTGGATTTTAACATTAAAAGGAAGATCTGTGCAGATTCTTACAAAGGTTTAGCATTTAGTTAGTGCCAGTGTTGGTCTGAAGAATACCAAAGTGTTTAACAAACATTATTCAGAAAATTCTGGTCCCACATCACTGAAAGGCAGGCTTGACAACAGTTGTTAGCTTCTAGTTGTTCTGAGCTAAGTCCTCTGCCACTCCCCATGCAAGACAAAAAGATGGTAAAAGTAGCTACAGTGTTTTTCTAGATTTGAAGGGGTGTTTACACAACTGACAGGAGGCTAGCAAAGAATCTATCACTCAGGATTAGCAAAAAGGGGAGCTAGTGGCAACAGCCCCAGTCTTTAGATATTCAAGGTCAGACAAGCTTGCAAACAGTATTACTCATAACCCACTTAAGTCTGCAATTATGTTTCTGGACAGAATCTGTCATAGGCACAGCATTCAAAGAACCTCAGCTTTTTAAAAGTTTCTAGTCCTTATGAGCATGAAGCAAGCCTTGAATGTGTGAGCCAAGCAAGATGTTCCTCCTCCCTCCTTCCCTTTTTCTTTTGTGTCATGACTTTTACATTGTAAGTCTAGGGAAAAGGATTATCTTGTGTTTTACAAAATGAAACAAAGGGCAAAATGATGAGAGCTTTCAGTTGAGAGCTTTCAGTACAGCCCTCAAGTACAAGAAGTCCCACTCCCTGGGCATCATCCTTTAGCAATGAAATGCATAACGGTTTTGGACAAACTGGCAAACAGAATACAGAATGAAGACTGGCATGTGGTCACGAGCACAGCAGTATGTCTATGTAGACCAGACACTGCTCCCACGTCTCGTTTACGGGTTCCTGTGGGCAGCTGGCTGGCCACTGTGTGAACAGACTCTGGACGAGAGAGACTCTGTTCCAGTGCAGTTATTTTTTTAGATGAGCTGCCTTTAATGCTCTGTATCTACAAAGATGGAAGCCCCTCCCTCACACAACAGAATTTCATATGCAACAACAGCCTAACATTGATAGCAATTACCCTTGCTACTACAAAGGTGTGCATTCCAAACTGATTTGATCCCAGGACTTGTTTAAAAAAAAGGCAAAGCAGAACTATTCCAAACTACCTGAGTCAGTTCTTTCTATTCTCATCTGACATGACAGACCAGAGGTCAGAAGAGACCAGTGCACAGATAACAGGTCTGCCAATGGCTTTTAGGCCAAAATGGCTAATCAGATCCCCTACATTCCGAGGCATTATGCCTCAGAAAACTAGCTCCTGGGAAGGAAACGGTGAAGAGGGCTGTCACCACCATGCCCTGTTTGTAGGCACTCCAGGACTATTTGGCTGGTGACAATCAGAAACAAAGTACTAGTCTCTTTTTTGCTCCTCTCATGCCAATTAATCTAATATATTGCCCACTGTTGAAATAAAGAAAGATGCCAAAGAAAATAAGCATTAACAGTTTTCAAAACAACTGTGGGAAAGGAAATTATTTCAGTGCTGAAGAGCGATCTCTGATACCTCTCCATACCATTACAAGTCCTTCATATAATCAAATACACACAATGCAATGGTATGTTGGAGGACATATAAAACCACAATACAATTAAAGCCCCCAAAGAAGAGCTTCCATGCATCTCTCTGCAGACATGGCACCACCCTGGATAGCAATAAATTATGCCTCTACAGCAGCCATTTTTAAAAAATCATACATGGTACCAATAAAATGAAAAAAGATACATACGCTCCATGAAATGGTTCATCATGCCATCTGGAAGTTAAGAAAGCAAAGTGAGGGAAGGTGAAGTGAGCCCTGGAATGGCATGAGAGGGGAAGCTGGCCAGTTCTGCATGGGGTGGGAACACTGGGTCCTATTACGGCTATAGGTCTGGGTCTTCCTCACACTTTAGAGGCGCCTGCTTCCTTGAGATCTGGAGGTAGAGTCCTTTGTTTTTGGCTAAACTGCCCAGCTTGCATTACGCACAGTCTACCTTTCTCTGCCCTTTTGCCACTCTACCCCCATTGCAGCTGGTCTCCTGGGGAGCTAGATGCCCCACACATGTATCCCCTCTGAATCAGGTCACATCTCAGTCCTGACGATTCCTCTTTGTGGCACAGCAGGGCTACTACACTGTCCCTGTGGAAGCAGTCTTCCTGACCCACGGCTCCCCTTCCCTCTCGCCAGCTCCTTCTCTTACTGCCAGGCTGCCTCGGCAGAGTTCAGTTACCACCCCTGCCCCAGTGGCCCACAGAACATGCCAAACACCCCACAAAGCAAGCTTGGCAAATGAATCTATCTGTGGATACCAGAGAATCAGGTCTAGCTCCCGCTCCAGGCCAACTCTGTTATGGACCAACAAACCCCTTGTGCAATGGTTTCTGTGCAAAGGACATGCCATGGATATGTGGAAGCTGATCATCCAAGAAGATGCTCCATGCCAATGAGCACAGAGCAACAGTGAGAAAGGAAAAAAGGAAGATCAACTAACAGTTGTGGTGGAGAATGGCGGGGAGGTAGAGATCCTCGTGGTAGCAGGCAATACCTTTGGGGTCATCAGGAATGATAATGGGTGGAGAGATGTCTGGAAGCTCCTCCTCTCCTGGTTGAAGGCCTGTAGCACGGAGGTGACTGATGTCTAGAAGATCTGGCATGTCTATGGAAACATCTGCAAGCACAGCAGGGAAAATAAACCTACTGAAACATAGCAAATGCATTACAGCAGAGGAGGGCCATTTCTGGCCTGCCAAATGTTTTGGCCTAGCATTCCCATCACTCTTGGCTATGCTAGTCAGGGCTGATGGGAGTTCTAGGTTGAAGCATCTGGAAGAGGTCTGCCCCACATTACAGGTACATTAAAGGATGCTTCCATAAACCGTTGCCCACAGCCTGTGCTTTACTGCTAAACAAAAGAAGTTTGGGAAATGCCCTTTCTAGCTTTTGTCTCAGGGGATGCTGGGATTCTCCATGAGAAGAAGAGCAGTAGTGTGCAAACCTTCCTGAAAGGCAGCTTGCACAACTCTAACACTCTTCCCCACAACATATGGGTGCACTGGAGTTTCTGGTTTTTCGAAGAGGGTGTGCCCCTTCATGCGGAATGACAGCAAGGCCTAACAGGCGTGGCTTTACTACAAATCAATGGAGCGCATACCCTACAATTTGTCCCCAAAACCTTGGGCAATGCACAGAGAAGCACGGGTGCCCATGGCAAAAGGGGAATCGGGTGCACTGAATGCCTGGCTCCAACCCCCTTTAAATGCAGGCACCCCTCATTATAGCCCAGCACATACTATGGCTCAAACAGCTTCTCATATGACCAAAGCAATCTTCACATGCTGCCATCAGCATAGTTTATTTAAATAAAGAATACCCAGTTTGTGCTTTCTTAATTTTACATCTATGGCAACGAGCAGCGGTTTCCAGCAAGGACCACTCCCAGCTGGCTGTAGGGCAGCAAGATATTCACATGTAGTCTGAGTTATGGAGAAATGAAGAGATTTCAAGTGGGAGGGGGTGGATTTATGGCAGGACAAGTCCATAATGACAAGAGGAGAAAGAGATGATAAAAACTCCTCAGAGGAATGGGAAATCTAGGGCTTGTCAGCAATAATGGAAAATTGGTTGGCATGGCATCTTGAGTCACCAGCTTTTATCACTGATGAGCAAACCCTTCACTTATATTGCTGCTGATGCTCAGCATTATCCTAGATGAACACATCAAATTGCTTGACTATCATTACACAGAGGCCAACAGGGTCAGTTTCCTCCCTAATGCCAATGACAAACAAAATTCCTTTACTAGGATGCCAGTGAAAACAGAGTTTTTGGTACTTCCCTTAAAAATCGAGGGGAAGAAGGAGTAAGAAAATACTCACCATAAAATCCCCTGAAAAATAAACCCAAATGCAACAGCAAGGTTAAGAAACACCTACCAGTTTCATACACATTTTACTGTTATGGCCCCCAACCAAGGAATCATGAGAAATGTAAAGGGAACAGGGAGAATTCAGAGAATGTGATCCCACCCCTTCACAATGCTACAATTCCCATGGTTCTCTAAGGGAAAGGGGCAAGTAAACCAGAATTAAAAATAGGTTGATTACTAACACTCCCGAATCCCTAATTTTCTAGGTCACATCTGATTTGCCATTCTCTTCCTCCAAAAGGAAGGGGAAGTTCCCTGGCTGTCTGAGGATCAAGATTCTTTTCAACTAACCCCTACCCACCTAAAAAAAATTATTGGAGTACATCCCCACATAAATAAGCTTACAAAAGGACCCCAAGCAATTCAACACGGAAGAGCATATTCACGCTACATACCAAGTTTTTTGGGTATCCAGTCAAGGCCAAACGTGAACTTCTTTATCTGCATTACAAGGTACTCAGGAAACGAAGCAAAGCGAGAGGTTCTAGAGAAAAAGCAATCTTACGTGAATGAAGCTCAGCTGCTGGAACTCAAGATCAAAAGTGAACATAACCATAGTCCTTTTAAAAGATCCAAAGAACTGTCCCTCTTGGATCAGATGCAGGATCCCTCTAGCCCAGCACTGTTTCCAATACAGGCCAGCAAGTTAACAAAAACTTTTGTTAACAGCCTGGGCAGTATAAAATGAAACAAACAAACAAACAAACAAGAGCTTCTGGAAAGTACACAAGTTGCTTTATAACATAAGACCTTTTCTGTTTATATTGTCAAACTACTCAGGAGGCTGCAGAGGAATACCTTGAGAAGGCCAAGCCCCAACCTGGCCCCTGCTATGACAGATCACATTCAATGCAGTGCGCTGCTCTACTCCCTCAGCCTGTAGGGCCGTGGCTTTGCTCACCCACGTACTCACTTAACGCCAGCAGACTTGGCTTGAAGGGCACTGCTCCAGAAGTCATTCACATTCTCTGGTTCAGAAAAGGCCTGCAGGCAAGCACTAAAAGGGATCCTGGCACGTACAAGCTCTGGAGGGGGTCTCCTGGCCAGTTCTGCTTCTCTCCTCTTCAGCTCGTAAGCAATCAACTCATCTAGCCAGAAGCAGAAGCAACAATGAAGAAACACCATATTTCAAGAAGCAGATTCACGTAAAGAACCAAACCACTTGGAAAATAAGCAAACGAACAACCAAAACAAAACAAAACCCTCACCCAAAGAACTGCTGCCCCTTTAAATGCAGACACCCCACATTATAGCTCAGCACATACTATGGCTCAAACAGCTTCTGATATGACCAAAGCAATCTTCACACCTTAGCATTAATTTGTTATTTTGAAATGCAGGAATTAAAATTAAGGATGGAGCTGCTTATAAATCCATGTTTAGAGTTAACCCTGGTAATAACAATGAACTGGAAATAAGGGGAGGTGATTAACATGATGAAGAGGGGCTACAGCTGCCTCTCCATTCTATCTTGAAGCTGGATTTTATCACAAATTGCTAAGAGTCCGTTGGATTTAAACAAACTGGAAAAGAGGAATTCTTAAATTTTGCAGAAACAAGGGAACACATATCCAGCAGCCAGAGTCTTAAAGTACAACAGTGGTTTTCAGACTGTCTTCCATGGGATACTGTTACTCATCTACCCCTGTAATGCAGACACTCAGGGGAATGCGGGTTCTGTTCAAGTCAGTCAGCTGCAACATGGATGAACTATGTGGACCCCTGAATCCTCTGTGCTACTTTGCGGTTCCACGGCATATGAGGTCTGACTCTAAGGAATTTAACCCAGAATTTTATTTGAATACTATGACCACCGAGTGCCATCTCTGTGCCTGCCCTACCTTTGTTCGTTGCAGCTTCCATCGCCACAGGTAACTGCATGAGATAGTCCACCCTCTGCGTGTATCGGACCTTCCTAGATTGGCAGCACTGTGTACGCTCTTCCACCAAGAATCGGAAGACATCACTTGGGTTTTCTGAACCAATACGGTTCCTCTGGAGGGAGAGATCAGTTCCAACAACTTGGGAAATCGTGGCAACACAGGAAGCCCTAAACCATGGGGAAAGACCCCAGGCGGTATCTGCGTGAAGTTCGGAGAGGGGTGATGCCTGCTTGGGGAGGAGCTGCAAGGAAGGAGCCATGCTAAAGCAGGTCCTACACCACTGAGCTAACAAGAAGAAAGGGGCCTTAACGAGCCAGGCAATTAAAGAAAGGCCCTCTCCAATACCTTTTTATTTAAACGTCATTTTAATTGTTCGCTTATTTATTGATTTTATATCTTTGGCCAGGACGTCTCCAATTATTTTTATTTATTTATTTTTATTTATTAAAACATTTTTATGCCGCCCCATTCGCCGAAGCCTCGGGGCGGCTTACAACAAAAAATTAAAATAACATTTTAAAATATATACAGTAAAATACAAATATATAATATAAACCATACAATATAAAACAAGCCGCCCTGGCCAAATAAAATTCAATAATATTAACATTTAAAATACCGCTTAAATAAAAAGGTCTTCGCCTGGCGCCGAAAAACAAATAACGACGGCGCCAGGTGGAATTATATTGTTTTTATATGTTTAATATGTATTTATTTATTGTTGTAAGCCGCCCCAAGGCTTCGGCGAATGGGGCGGCATAGAAGTTTACTAAATAAATAAATAAAAATTCATTGCCATAGCCTTCCCCAACCTGTTCCCCTGTAGATATGCTAGGCAATGAACAGTCAGCATCCTCCGGCAAGCACTGCCACTTCCACATGCACATTAACAGTTGCGTTAAAGACTCACAGTCATCAAGATTGGAACCTGTATTTTCATCCATTCATTCAGTTCTACTTCTCTGCCACCCCATAACCCAATGGTTCTCTGGGTGGCTTATAAATAAAAATTTGCAACACAAAATAAAGTATTTGTGTCCAAAAAAAGCCCTTCACATGGGACACAAGACAGACGAAATAAAACAACTGCCATCCCCAAGGGAAATATGCAGTTCCTCAGCATCCTTTGCTTTCTTTTCAATCCCTTCAATAGTAACATTAGCACTTCAGAGCAGTGCCTGAGTCGCACTGAGCACCAACACATCAACACTTCCACAAAACATGACCATAAATAAACTTTATGCATATACTTGGATAGAAGTTAAGCACTTGAAGCCTCGTTGATTTCAACTGGATAATTACACAGTGCTTAAGTTTCCCATACTGGAAAGAACAGTAAAAAGGCTTTAAATGGGCTGGAGTCCTGCCCTGTATTCACAGCATGTTTATATAAGAATGTTACATCTTGTAAACAGCCACTTTACTTTCAACATCAGAGGCTCTCTGTGTGTATGAATGATTGCAAGAGACCGAGGTGTATTATTTATTTAAAACATTTGTATGCCACCCAGTTGAGCCACAGCACCTCTGGGTGGCTCGCAATAATGAACTCAAGTGGATTTGAATTTCTGGAAATGCAAACATTTTGTCCCGACATTTGCTCCTAATTAAAAGGACACACAACTTGTTGGTCGGTGTGTAGGCAGATCAGTTTTTAACTTCACACACAGTAAGGGGAAGGGGGTTGGATATTACTCCAGTTACTGCCATGATCAACTGCAGTTTTGAAAAATCTGCAGTTTTGAAAAATCCTGTTATTATGCATTCCTAACCGTTAAGAATTTACAAAGCTCATTTCTGAAAAAGGAAAATGCAGGGGAGCAAAATACAGAGGGGCAGAGAAGATAAGCAGCCTTATGGACCTACACATTCATAGAAGGCATGCTGCCCAGTCTAGTTAAAATTAGAGCATTTCAGGATGCAGGCCACTGGGTGCTCCCCGCATCAGTCGCCTCCTGTCTTTTTTGCACACCCAGTCTAGTCCAAAGAGGATATATACCAAATCTTTGCTTTTTTCTTGCAATGTGCAGATTAGTTCTCTCACTGCTTTTGGACACCAACTTCCAGCAGAGACTACTTGTGTTGACAGGCAACCTGGCTCTGAAATTGGGTGACAGGACCTCTTTGGTGTGATGCCTCCAACTGCAAACATTTCAGCTACCCAAAGTAGAACAAAATGTAGTATTTTGCCTCTTCTCAGTGCAAAATAGAAAGTGGAGGGGCCAAGACACGAGGGAAAAGAATCATACAGATGAATGGTCTGTTTAAAGATCCCTACATGGAAGGATACTCAGAAGAAGGATGGGTTGCTATTGTTTTTTAAAGGTGAAGGTGATGAAGTTGCTCTCAAGTTTTAATGATTATCAAATCAGGTGGAGAACGCCAAATACATCAATGTCAGTGTCACATGGGCATGTGCTTACACTTCATCTCAGTAAAATAGCATCATTTATGAAAGATGAAAAGAAGGGGGTTAGAGATCTTTCCTTATAAGGAGAGGCTAAGGTGGAGATTTTATGAGGAATACCTTAGAGATTTATAACATTATGCAAGATATGGAAGAGGAAAAAATGTGACATTTTGTCTTCTCATAAGAATATGAAAGCAGGCATGCCAGATGCCAAATCAAAGGCCTGTCTGGTCCAGTATCCAGTTACCCACAGTGGCCAAACAGATGCTTTGCAACTCCTGCAAGCTGTATATGAATGTAATAGCATCCTCCTGCCTGAGTGGTTGGATCATGGCACCTGATAACTCAGAGGCATGTAGTACTAGAACTCGAGAGTCATCCAATAGTGACCTCAATAACTGCTTTTGGAGGGCGACATGAAGCAGCACACTTTGACTAATGGTGGGTGGAGCCAGGAGACTTCTGGATTTCACTGAGCCTTGCCCACTTCCTGTCTCCCCAGCCCAGCCCAGCCCAGCCCACAATGTAAGTATTGACTGCCACCAGATTTAGGACAGATGAAAAGCAACTACCGTTTTGCACAAAACAAGAACTTATGAAATTTGTTTCCACAAGATGTGGTCGTGTTTATTAGCTTAGACAGGTTTAAAAGGTAGATTAACCAAATTCCTGGAGGAGGAATTCTTCCTGCAGCTACTAACCAAGACTACAAAATGTAGCATCCAGGCTCAGAGCGTTAGGCAGTGGAGAGGGCTGCTATGTTTATTCTGCACTTGTGACTTTTCTGGAGGCAACTGCTGAAAGCTGGGCTGCTTAGATCCATTCATACTCTTATTATAAAAACTCTGCTGAACTTATTAGGACTCAGGAACATAACTGACCCAAAGAAGGCACTGAGATGGGCTAGGAATAGGCTCACGTTTTCTATGCCAACTTCCATCCCTCTATAAAGCAGGAACACTTAATATTTTAAGAGCAACCCATTAGCTAGTTTTGTGAATGAACAACTCTGGGACCACAGAGAGCAGATACTTAGATCTTTTGCCTGTGATGATCTTAGCCTTTGGTATCCATAACTATGATATATCTTCATACTACTGGATGCTTGCATGTCTCAGCTGGCAGTGCAGGCTCCAGGTTTTGGAGGAACTTTGGGGGTAAGGCTTGAAAACCTTTCTTAATGGGATCCCTCCCTGTTCACTGCCGCTGTCACCAGATGCTGCTTCTCTCATCTCTGCTACCATGTGCTTGTTTGACAAGCAGAGAGGCAGTGAGGAGGCAGGCCTGTGGCACCTGCTGGTCAGCCTTCTCACCTCCACCATTGTCAGGGTCAGAGTGGGAGGCCAGTAAATAAGAAGGCTGCTATGGTGGAAGAGAAGCAAGTCCAGGAGGCCTCCTGCTAGGATGCGGGCTCTGAGCAAGCGCCCAGGCACATTGACTGAGTACCACTGCTAGTTATTTTGAAGTATTATGCACTACATGCACGATTTGCCATCAAAGTCCATGCAACACGCCTTATTAAATAAGCAATCTCCTTCATCAATATGGAAAATTCAGTTATCAGACTCTTGCATTGATTTTCGTTCAATTTAGGCCATGACATTATAAAGGTAAAATATGATGATGCACTCAAGACTGTTCATCCAATTGATTTCTTCTTTTAAAAATGGATTGATTTAGTTAAGTTGGTCACTTGAAATGAGTCCAGCTAAATCGGCAGTGTTTTCTTGGTAAGGCTTAAAAGGTTTTTTCCTTTTCCTCTGTCTCCCCTGCTTCCAAATTTTCATTATAAGCCTGAAGAGTCAACGACACATCTTTCTTACTTAGGTACAACTGTAAAGGAATTGTTGAAACTACACTGACATGCAAAGAAAAGAATGGCAAACTTCTGCTTGTTTCCTAATGTAAAAGAAGGCAGAATGCTCTGCTCACCTCTATTAAGTTTATAAGGTGCAAGAAGAACTCTTGTGCATCTTGTTGCCGATTGGAGGAGAATTCAGGGTGCCCTTTGCTGACAAAGGCTTTGAACATGCGAGGAGAAATACCATTGTGCTGCGGCTAAAGACAGAAGCGAGAAGAAAATAGGTCAAATGCGTATGGTAATAAACGTTGGTTTCATTTCTATACCAGCCACTAGCCAAGCTCTCTGGGAGGCTCACAACACAATGGATGCAACCAGACAAATGTCTATTATCGTGGCCCTTTCCTCAATTTTCCCAGTAACCTTAAAAAGGGTCCTACTGTTCCCTTTTTATTAAGTTTGGGGGTACAAGGAGACAGAAGATCTGTCTGGCTGAGCTTGTATGACATAACTATCCATTATGGGTTGCTGCCTTCATGGGCTATTATGTTGTGTGAACCTGGACCAATTTTCCCAAGGCGGCTTGTTCCTGGGTAACAAACCACACCATGGGTTGTTTCAGGGATTGTTATATACACGAAAGCTTTTCGTGATGTCTGGGCCAGGGCATTGTGGAGACAGAGAACCAGCTACTGAGCCACTTGCAAGAGAGGCAAAGAGCCATGGGTGTCCTTTCCCAGGCAACCACCAGTGCCAGCTGCCCCAAAGGTACCAAAGCCGCACTTGGTGGCAGCTAGCACCAGTTCCTCATGAACATCCCTCCCAAAATTGCCTAGTCCATTCCTTGCAACAATACATCATTCACACCAGAACATCATTCACACCAGAACATCATTCATGCCAGATATACATAAGCACAGAGAACACCTTTGCCTGTGCATTCATTCATTGTGACAGTGTGGGAACATGTCCTGCAGAGAATTTACACAGAGGCTCTCAAGACTGAGGTTCACACCTGTGCAATATTTAGGGGGGTCCAAACTACACTTGAATTTAACTGAAATTCCAGTGCTCCTTTCCCACCACAATCCACACTACAAAAAGCCGTACTGAGTAGCACTTTGTTTTTCAGTGCAAATTACAATCGCAGGCCCTCCCCTGCTGTGGTCAGGGCCACAGCATAGGCGCGTGTGTTAAAAGTTGCCCCGCTCTTCATATTTGGGTCCAGATCAGAAGCCCATGTTGGAAGACTGCCCTGCACTCCAGGCAGTGAATATGTGTGCAAGGCACTGTACAACCTCCATCAACCCTTCTTTTTTTCCTACCATTCTCCTTCTCAATTTTCGGTCACAACCCCCAGTGAGGTGGCTGCAAGCACCGCATTTTGGTAAAGTTTGCTCTAAGGAACTTCTTCCTGATGCCAAACTAATCTACTGCACTGCAGATTACAGGGTGTATTTATACACACAGTGGGAGAAAATTCTGGGCATGCTTTCCACATCAACTGTTGCAAAACACTTTCGCTAAAAATAAGCTGGGCCAGATCATTCAATCTCTCAAGTGAATGCTTTAGACAGAAGGCACCCAGTGATGTCCAATGGTGGATGGATTCCAAAGATGCAAGAAATTAAAAGGCACAGCAGCTCTCTACACAGCATGTTACTGAGGGTAATGGGACCATTACCCATATAACAAACAAGTGTGCCTGTGCACAAGTCAGGCAAAACATTCTTTACGCAAATTTGCCCAAGATAAGACCGGAAGCAAAACCAAAGTAAATCATCCTTATTATTCTTGTTTCACAAGGGGAGAACTAAAGGTGAAAACTGATCACCTGATGGGTTTCCTGGATGAGCAGGACTTGAACCTTCCATGATCAGTAAGAAAGCTCCAGAGGGGTAAAGACAGACGGTTGCCAAAGCCTTTTGACAAGCAAGGGCCCTCACTGTGATGACAGGAGGCTGGACAAAAGTCAAAGAGGAGGCTGGACAACAGAAGTACCTTTGCTGTCAAGAAGCAAAAGCACCTTTGCTCTCCCTACATCTCAATCAGGTTTGCCCAGAGTGTTATTCTGAATTGATGCAGAATAAAAAGAGGGTATTTCTGTTCAGGTAGCCCAAGGGTTGAGAGGTACAATACTGCTTGTGGGCCCAACAAATATGAAAAATGAAGCTCCTGTTTAAGAGATGGACAGTAAAAAAGAAGCAGCGGCAGTGTGGCTTGTTTTGCTTCCAGAAATAATCTGAGCAGAGGCCACTGGGCTCCACAGCATGGCCCTCATTGGTTAAGAGCCTCTTGCCCTGCTCAGCCCACTCCTCGAAAACCCCAAATCAGTACTGCAGATTTTCCAAGTGTAAATAATTTGCCCAACGACTGCATCACTCACTGGCTTCCAGGCTATGCTCCAAAATGTTCTAAAATTTATTTGCTAACTGGGCTATTGCAAACACAGTCCAGATTCAACTCAGATTAGCAGCGGCAAAAATGGTTCTGCGTATCTGTTACATTTGCATACGGTCCAATAGCCAAAGATCTCTGGATGATTCCCAAAATAAAACACAAAGCCATATAGAATGCAAATATTACAAAACATACTATAAACATCTAAAAGGTTAACACAGAATAAAACAAATGTAAAATCCAGCGGCAGTGTGAAATCTAAAAAAGTACTAATGTATGAATGCAACTAAAACACCTGGGAGAATGGGAAGATCTTAATAGTCAAAGGGCTACAGCATAGCTGCCATGCAAGCCCTTGTGGGGAGTGAGTTCCACAACTGGAGGGCCACCACTGAAAAGACCCTTTCCTTTGTAGCCCCACACTTCACTGCATTTGCCGGGGCCACTCAGAGGAAGGCCTAGGAAGAACATGTTCAGGTCTGAGAAAGTATAAGGACTATACTTCAAGAAGCCTGACTCAGAACTCCGAATAGTAGCCCTTCACACAAATTCCAGAAACAGTCTGGAAGCCAGTGCAGGTTACGAAGCACTAGCATAGAATGATCCCATTCCTGTTAGCATTCTTGCTGCCACAGTTTGCACCAGCTGAAGTTTCTGAAACCATTTCAAGGCCTTCCCCATTTCTGCTGCCTTAAATTGAAGTAATCCAAACAAGATAATTCTAGAGCAAGTAGCTAGGCTATTTCTGCCCAGGCCAGGTCACAGTTGGTGCAGCAGCCAAGGCTGATCAAAAGTGCGCCGTGTCATGCAGTCCACTTGTGTCTCCCATGATGATGCTGGATCTGAGAGCACCCCCAGACCACCAACCTGATCCTTTCAGGAGAGTGGAGAGTGCAGAGTGCCTACAAGCAAAGCAGACAACTTAGGAGGAAAACCGAACTCCATCGTATCTGGACTGACTCTCCATTTACTGGTGGTGGAAAGTGACTGTATTCAGGACGGTCACCACCACGGCACATTAAAGCCCATTTAATTCAGGAGCTCACCCGTTATGCTTGGAAAGAACTCTGTGGGCCACGCTGGGTGTGCCGGTACGGCAGCAGATCCTGCAATCAACAGAAAGCTGTTCGCGCTTTCCTCCCTCAAGTTGTGGGAGGCTCCCAGCCACAGCAAAGATCCAGCACTACTATATGTTCAAAAAGTGTCTAAGTAATTCTGATCATTCCACATGTCTGTGTGGATGAATTCCTGGGACTCCAACTCCTAAGGGACAGCAACTGGCTTCCACCTGGTTAGGTAGAACGCTGACAGTCAAAGAAATGGAAAGGGGAGACACATGGGCTGAGGTAGTTTCTGAGCCTTTGCCCAGCTCCCTGGGAGACAGCAGCCATCTTTCAGTTCAATGTCGACTATATAATTATTGTGAAAACAAATGCAGTTCTAAACACAAGACACAACTAGACTTTTAGCACAGCAAGCAAAAGCTGTCTGCCTGTGTACACCAGTCCCTTGCGGGCTTGGGCAGGAGGGAGTTCCTGTATTTATCTTGCTTGAGGGATCCTGCAGTCAGATCATCTGCCTCTGAGTGAACAGAACGCCAGACTAGATGGACCATTAGTCTAATCCAGAATGGCTTTCCTTAGGCTTGTAAAGAGCACGTATGTCTCTTTAGCATCCTCCAGATGTACTTGGGGGACGCCAACATGAGGACAACTCCTTTCATAGATCTGTAACAGTGAAAGAGGATGTCAGTTCAGCTTCTCCCACTCTACCTGCCATCCATGCCACCATCATTTTGTGTGTGAGTGTGTATGAAAAGAGGAATACAGCTTTGTTTCGCTAGGCACAAATGGAGGATGGCATGTGGATAGCAGGCAGAGAGAGGGCAAAGAAAGAATGGTGGACAGGGCAAAGAAAGCTCTCCCCGGCTGGCTCCTGGCCTAGTCTGAGCCAGTCGCCCTTTATATGCTGGCAGAGGGACCTGACTGGCTCTCCATACAACTAACTTGTGCTAGTCATGTGGGTAAGCTTCAGTTCTCTCATCTTATCAGAGCCATCTTCTTGAGCAATCATTATCTATAAACTAGGACTATCAACTGATTAAAGGATTATTCAAAATTAATTCATTAGTGTGGCAATTGATCAATTATATTTAAATATCAGTATAATTGATTTATAATTATGCATATAGCAAAGCATCCACAGAAGACCTTTTTGACGTACTAAGAAAAGCCTGTGGCATTTTATAATTTAAGGAAGGAAGGAAGGAAGGAAGGAAGGAAGGAAGGAAGGAAGGAAGGACGGAAGGAAGGAAGGACAGACTGCTACTTCCCATTATTAAAAGGAAATACTACCTACAAAATGTGATCTTGAACCTTCCATTACAGAAGCCACACAATAGAAGCCAAATAAGCTCCAGAAAGACAGACAGACAGACAGAGCATCTTTTAAAATTACAATTAAAATCTGCTTTATTTGACTAAAGCCAGTCTTGGCCAATCACTCAACTCAGAAATTAGCTGAAACTGTTAATGGTTAAATTTGCAACCCTACTCTAAATATACCCCTCTGTTTACCCCAAGCAGTTCTTCCAGGAATTAAAATTCTTCTCCAGCTACAGCATCTCCTGTATCTATTACACACTGACCTTTCCTTTCCAAATTCACCACTTTAGAGGGAGAGGCCAGAAGTGGGGTAGAAGGTCTCTTTTAGGACTTCCCACATTTTAGGAAGATAAAAGATCTGCTGTGACACTAATGCTAACTAGACACGAGCTGAACTGTGTCAGACAGTGTCCTAGTAAACCAAGCTTATATAGTAGAGCAGACATAAATATCCTTTTCTCCTCTAGCCAGACAAAAGTATATATTCTTCATAATAGCTTAAAAAATTGCTTCCAAAACACAAGCTCTCCCCACCAAAGGAAAAACAAAGAAGGCTATGCCTCAGCCTTCCAGAGATACCAAAAAGAAGCCTGTACCAGACCCCTTGGCATGGTTCTAAAATGTTCCAGTATTATTAATGTATTACATTTATAAATACAATAAAGACCTAAGGGCACCTTTCTTTCAGTGTGAAACTCACAGTGGCTATGTGGTCCCCAAGTGATTTCCCCTCCAAACACAGACCAGCCCTAAACTCGCTTAGCTTCAGCAAGGTGGCTGCCTGAAGCACCTTCACAGCATTATACACTGTTTCTGTGTAAACTTGCTCTGCTCAGGACTTGGCAGCTCTTTAGATACATCATCAACAGCTGTTTCCACATTTTCTACCTTCAAGGAATTCTTTCCACACTGAGCCTTCTGCTGAGGAATCTCCACAGATTTGCTATGGTCTGCCTATGACCCACCAGCAGGCTTCAGGTGAGCAGCCAGTTGGCCACTGTGGGAGCGGAATACTGGATTCAATGGACACTTGGTCTGAAAAGGATGGCTATCCTTACGTTCTTATCTCTACAGCTTGTTCAAGAAGGCATGCTCGATTCAAGCAGTGTGCAAACCAGGCCTGTTGGGGCTCATCTCTAACCAGCTTGAGTGAGAGTCAAACGAAATGAGACTTTGGAGATCTGTGAGTGGATCTCCCAACACTTCCATTCTTTACTTGAAGGAGCTCCAGTTTCAACTAGAGCAGTGGTACCAGAGGTAAGAGTGGGGAAAACCCATTCCCGCTCATGCCATTTTGCTGATCTAAATGGTTCCCTTTTTGAAACTGCTATTAGTCCCATGGCAAGTATTAATCTGCTACATGACTAATAGCAGCCTCCAGCAAGCAAGGCAGAGGACTTCCAAGATGGAGATGTCTTGGTGCCGCCGATGAACAAGCATTGCTCAACTATTCGGCATTTCCCCCCAAAAATGACTTTGTTTCCTGGTAAAAAAAAAAGACAGAAGCAGCACTGAAAAATGACAGAGGGTTACAAATGGAAGTCAACATCTGGGCCTCCTGTAAATTCCATGAATGAGGCAGAAGAAATTGCACAATCCAAGTCTCATCTGGAAACACTAGCAAAATGGTATGGAGAGTGAAAGGACTAATGTTCATCCCTCAGTGCCTTACTCTAACCAAAACTGGAGCTCTAGATTTAAGGAAAATCACAGAAGTGGCAACCAGGGATCTTCCATGTTGTGTGTCTTTTGGCCATGAAAGTGAATTCTAGTAGGCCATGATTGTGGATGAACACTGTAAGGAAAGACCACCCTAACTTCACTGACCTTCTCGGGGCCGGAGGGACCTCCTGATAATTATCTGAGATTTCCTCAGTCAAGTTGGAAAGGGCTCTGCTATGCTCTGGCCTCACGGTTAAGCTGCAGTTTTCTATGCTCCCCTGCTCTCCCCTCCCCAGTCATGGTTGTGAACCTGCAAGGAGGATATCAGCAGCTACTACTTCCATTTTTAACTAACTGCAGTTTAGTGTTAAATCCAAATCCAAATGTGGTTACTGCTAATTCCACTTTGTTGGAACAATTGGAACTTATGGAGCTGTTGTTTTAATAAACCATACCTAACATTAACCACAGTTTAGGGCTCGGAGGCAATTCAACTCTCGGTAATTGAAAATGGAAATGTAAGTGTCCAATATCTCCTTTGTTGCAATGCTAGAGGAGAAGAGAGTGAAGGCATGAGCTCAAGGGTTATTCACATACTGCTAAACAACATTTTAGTGTTTTGTCTGATTCAAACCACCTGGTTTGCACATAACAATAACTCAAAGTGTTAATGAACCCAGTTTACCCATGATTTGTCTGAAAGTAATAGCACAAAACACAGGTTGTTTTTTTAATAGCTGAGTTGATTCCCTGCTCCTTCTTTTACTCCCTCCCTGTATCCCAAAGGCCTTTGCAGCACTGTCGTACTGCTGAATGGCTGATTTTGTTACCACTCCTGGCCACCTCCTGGCAAAACAATCCCTGATCAACCCATGGTTCTAGATAGAAATGTAACATGAACCCACAGTTAAAACAACCCAGAGTTCACAACAACAAATCATGGGTTCTTTTTCTCAGTTGTTTGTGAACCCATAGTTAACCAGTAGTTTTACGTTCACACATCACAATAACCCAGGATTCAGTAACCTATACTCAACCCATAGTCTAGGTTGCAGTTACATGTGAATATATGTGTTTAGCATGACATATATCTAACAACAAAAGGAAAAAACTTACCCATATGGTTTAAAAGCAGATCAAAATCTGAACCCTTAAAATAGAGCCACATGAAGGCATCCCACAAGGCCTTCCCAAGCCTCCTGTCTTACTGCTGTACTTGGATTACAGTGGCAGTTGACTAGAACTCTTCACTGGGGAGCCTAAAGGCATAGGCAGAGGTTTCCACAAGAGAGGCCCACTTCACCATTTTGCAGAACATGTGTCACAACAGATGCAATTTTCCAAAAGACAATCATCTTGATAAAACATCACAGGTATGGTCCTTTACAATTGTTCTCCTTCTACCTACTTCTCATGCTGCACATGCTGGGTCAAATACCTTGTGTTCTTCTTTCATCACCTGTTCAATGAGCTCGGATTTCACTGGTGGTTTAGAATACTGGCCTGAAAGAAGGCCATGTCCCAATTTAGCCCTGTAGTAGAGGGTGAGGGGGAATGAAGAAAGTGAGAGAAAGCAAACAAACCATGTCCCACCAGGTTAAGAGAAGGGAAAAAAAATCCAGCAGGCTATGGTTAGATCAACCTGCCTGTTAACTCACAGTCCCCATCACCACTGTGCTTCAAATAAGCTTCCCCCTCCACCTTTGACATCCTTATTTTGGGCAATATCAGTTTAAAACATCCAGACATCCTTTCTGGGGGTAACTAATATAATGTTTTATTTATTATCAACAATAATTACAACATTCCAGGGAAGTCTAGTGCAGGTTCCTGAGCTCAGAGTCACCTAATTTACATCCTTACTTATAATTTATTCATATTGTTGTCCTTAATACCAAGAATACTTCGTATATTTAATAAGAAGAAAGGACGGGCAACTTTGATTAGCATAGGCCCAGGCTGTGGCCCTCAGCCTTTCAAATGCCCTCTGAGAGTGACTAGTTCAGGCCTTCAGCAGAGTGATCCACTGCACCCCTGGCAGCTTGCTGGGCAGGAAGGGAAAGGACAGAAGGAGAGATGACGGGACAGAAGGAGAGATGACGGGGCTGGCCAGACCAGCTCCTTGATAGGCAAGAGGTCTCGCCATGGCTGTTTTAGACGCTTCCAGGAAATCCACCTTGGAAGCAACTCTCCAAACAGAAGGGGTTCTATGTAGTTTAGCATTTAGTGGGAAAAATGCTGCACTGCAGGGTGATGCACTACTGGAAGTATAGAGGTTATGATGTTACAGGAGATCCGGGTTGTAATTCCCACCTGGCCATGAAGCTTGGTTGGTGACTTTGGGCCCTCACCCTACCCTACCTCACGGCATCGTTGTTGTGAAGAGAAACATGGGGAGGGATTGTATAAGCTGCCTTGTTCCTTACAGGAAAAAGGATAGGATATACATATAATAAAGAAGAAAAGAGAAAGAAATCCCGGGGAATTGCCTCATGCCATTTTATTTCTCAGGAAGAAATGCTAAGAAATAAATTAACTCTGACCAGAGATGGTTAAAATGTTCTGAATTCACACATGAGCAATACCTGTATTGCCAAAACCTTAGGCTGGTAGCCATACAAGTTAAGTTGGCCAGGCCAAGCAGAAAATCAGCGATAGCAAAATGTTACAACGGATATATTTCCAGGATCAAACACAGCATATGCCTCAGAACACCAGTTGCTGAAGAACAACCCAAAAGGAGGCTATTGGCCTTTTCTCCTTGCTTGTGAGCCTCCCATGGGCATCTGGCAGGCCAAAATCAAAAACCAGATACTCAGCTAGGCAGTCCATAAGTCTGATCCAACAAAGCTTTTCTTGGGCTCTAACCAAAATTAACCTTCCAAGAAGGATCAAAGCCAAAGACAGGTGCTTCAGCAAGATAACCATGAATGAGCATTAAAGACACTGAGAAGTCCAGCAGAACCAAGAGGAATACACTGCCCTTCCAGTTCCCAGTGTCAACTGTCTACCAAGATGACTAAAGCATTCTCTGATAACCAAACCGGAAGTCACGTTGAAATAAGTTGATCTAGATAATTTGACTCATTCTCGAAACTGAGAAGCTACTCCGCGCTCCATTACCTCACCCCAGAATAGAATTTGGAGACTGGCTGGCTATTTTCAGGAAAGGTCGTTTTGGTTTGGTTTTTAAATAAAGTTCTTACCATTGTCACTTTTTGGCAACCTGAAATCAAACTTCACTATAAAGGGTTATTTACCACTACCTTTACCCACTCAGCCAGTCACTACCTGCCCCACCTCGGCTACCTGTTCTCAGGCTGTACAAACTGAAAAGTATCCATTGTGTATGGACAAGCAGGACCAAAGTTACATCCACCAGACCTGTATCTCCTATGGCATCCAAGCCGACTCAGATACAAGTATTTTTACCTTCAGAATGTCATGGAAGTTGGTCACAATGGCTATTGAGCAGTCCATCTTTTCTTCTCACAGGCTAGAGTATAAGAGACCTCTGACCACCTAAAAAACCCTTTGCTGGACAATTCTGCATGGCTGCAGCGGTGGCAAAAAAGTACAGTTTCTTTACCACCTCGTTGCCATGGGGAAGGCTTTACAGCTTTGTTCTCTTATTGACTCTTACATGAGACCAGTTTCCTATATCCTTGACCCAGTTGTCATTTGAGAAAATCAAGTCAAATTCAGATTCATTGCTCAGCCAATACATTACAAGGATCAGATAAAACACAATCACATACAACCAGAAGTTTTCAAACCTAAGTATGAATCAAATCAAAACAGCACATTACACCAATTACTGGCACAGTAGCATTAAGCCAGGATTCCAAGCCATGCTGCAACCATGGCTTATGATGCTGTCTAGTCGTAGGAGAGACAAGGGAGCACACCTGCTTCATTCATCATAAGCCTTCCTCATTCTCTTAGGCGTCCCACGTCTTTTAAAGTCCTTTAAAGTAGTTCTAAATATCTTAGGGTATTCACATTTTATTTTTCTTGTTCTCACAATGTGGTTTAACCTTGTATGTCTGGCATTGTATTTTATGCTGTGTCAGCACATTTATTAGTTTTACATGGTTGATTTTAGGGTGGTATTATTTCTAATATTCTCATTTTCTGTAAAATACCCAATTTTTCTGATGAGGATTTTGATAATTTCAATACATAAATAAATTCACTATGAATTTACTGTGTTGGTCAAACTAATTGCCAAACTAATTACAAAAGGAAATCTATCATTTATCTCATCTTCAAACCAAAAGAGAAAACCAATTTTTGTCAGGGTGCATCATAAAGGCTACCAAAAAAGCGAATAATATAGGCAGTTCACCCATTCAGGAAAATCTGAATTAACCCCTGGATAATATAAACTGTTCACTTACATCTGTGTGTTGAAATCTTGTGTTGGGTCCAAAGGGGAGTAGTCAAATATTCTCGGAAGGTTTCCCACGTACCTAGCCAGAGGAAATGGCAGGGGAAAAGATAAAACGTTCAAAGATTATGGACTGCTTCACATTGAAGTCTTTTGCTGAGGAAAGCTATCTTGAGACACCACCAATTGCATCTTGCAGTTGGCAGAACAAATGCCAGAACAGTCTCCTACACTGGCCAGGTGATCCCAAAGGATGTCCTTAGCCCAGCTTGGAATAAGCAGCTTTTCAGTGATGAGGAAGTCAGAGCAGATTGGTGTCTTGTTCTGGTCACCACACCTAAACTAGGTTTCTGTAGACCTGGAAAAGTTGCAGAAAGGGCAACCAAAATGATCAAGGAGCCTCTTAAAAGGAAAGGTTATGGTTTTGGGGAATATTTAGCTTAGAAAGTATGTGAATAAGAAGAGGTGAAGTAAAGAAGTTCAAAATTATGTGTTTAGGAATTGGATAGGGAGGCCTTTTTCTCCCATAATACTAGAATCTGAGGTCATTCCATACATCTGATTGGCGAGAAACTTGAGGACAGCTAAAAAGAAGTATTTTTCATGCACTGTACAGTTCAACTTTGGAATTCACCTCCACAAGAGGTAATAATGGTCACCAATCTGGCTTGCTTTAAAAAGGAACTGGACATACTGATAGAGGTGAAGGCTACTCACCCTGGTGTCTAAATGCTACCCCCAGCAGCAGATGCAGTATGTCTTGCCTGATCCTGCCTCATCTTGGCAGCTAAGCAGGGTCATGCCTGATTGAAATCTGGATGGGTGACTTAATGTTGTGAACCACCCAGAGAGCTTTGGCAATGGGCAGTATAGAAATGTAATGAATAATAGTGAGAAGAAAAAATCCAGTTGCTGGGGAACATGGGTGGGAGGTTGCTGTTGCAATCATATTCCACCTGTGGGCTTCTTGTGGACAACCAGTTGGCCACTGAGTTAGCAGAATGCTGGATGAGATGGTCTCTTGGACTGAACCAAGTGGCCCTTTCATGCTCCTACATTCTCACATCTTTTTGGTTTTGTGTTACTGTTGGCTATATAATATATTTTAACAATCTGTCTTACTATTTCTATTTTCTATCATCAACTATTTCTATTTTTAGCCATCTGCTGGGTGCTCCAGGTGCAATAATAAAAAAGCAACATGCAAATAATAAATTACTATTTCTTCTTCTTATGAGTTCTCAGAGAGTAGCACTCACAGCAGGAAGGGACTGTGTGAGACATTTGGAAGTGATGTGTAACAGTAGGACACTGGAAGCAAACTAATTGCAGGAAAATAGCCGTTGGGGATTCACTTTTGTTCAGTCTCTGCCCTGCTGAAGGATGGAGCAGCTCACCTGGAGCAGCCACACAGACCCTGTTGCCAGGCCAGAGAGTGGAGATAACACTTGGCAAGGGGTTAAAACAAAGCTTTTCATATCCATTTACTCCAAACAAGAGATTATCAGGGGATTCACAATGCTGCACACAGGAAATCTCAGCATGGTTATCCACTGAACAGAGAGCTGGCACAGAGTTGCCAAGGTGAAGGGAGAAGAAAGTGCCCCAGGAAGGTAGAATTAGTGTAGAAGAAAAGCTCACTTAAATATAAAAATAAAAATCTGCTTGAGGATGTACCTATTGGGGTCACAAGCAACATGCTTTTAAATGTACACCAAAAAAAGTAAAGTAAGAGCACAACAAATGCCTATTTTTCAACAGATAGGAATACTTATCAGAGTCCCAGTTAACAGCACAAACTCAATGAATTTCCCAGCATGTATGAACCTCCCCTTCATCCTATGTTTTTTTAAGAAAGCAAGTGAAATGCTACTCATAACTGAGTGAACAGAAATCCAAACACCAGTCTGCCCTCTTGCAGGCAAACAACTACCAAGTAAACGTACATGAAGACTTTGCAGTGATCCGCAACAAGTCCCCCCGGAAATAACTTACGCTCGCTGGAATTCAGGGATGCTGAAAATTGCCTGCAGGACAGTGTTGACATAGGAGCTATTCCCCAGATTTTTCATGCCAGTGTATCCTGGACCATACATTGGCTTTAGCTTCATGCCAGATTCCTGGATCACTTCCCATTCAGAGACTCGGGGTTTGATATCATTATCCCTCAGGCCATTCTCTATCTGAACGCAAGAGAGACTTTTAAGAAGAAGCATTTTTCCCTTTCCTTTCCTTTTTATTTGTTTGTTTGTTTTCAATTTGTATGCCATCCCATTAGCCATAGGCTCTCTGGGCCATAAAATCCATAATGTACGAACATAATATACAAGACAATATCCAACACAGCAAAATTCACAGTTCACAATAAAACCGATAAACAATAAAAATCCATGAGAAAAAGCTACTGAAATTAAGTAAAACAAAATAAGGAAGATAAAACATATAAATAAGATAAATATTTAAAGACCCTTTCAGAGCCAAGGACATGTTTAAAAAGTGGGGAAAAGAAGAAATCTTTTCTGATCATGACAATAGCATTCTCGGATGAAATAACATCCTTCAGCATGAAAAGAGCTCATTTTCCACTTCTCCAGATATAGATGTGGTGATGTCTCCCCCTGCTGAATCATCCAAGCAGCTGTCATCAGCAAACTGCGATCACAGCTCGAATCAGGCTGTACGGTTGTAGCACAAAAGGATGCTTTGAGAGGAGGCCTTTACTGTGCAAATGCCCTTCCCTGCTCACACAATGCGGGGAGGTGAAGCCCCTTCTAGCTAAGGCATTTGCCTGTTGCCTCTCTCTGCCATCATCCACTCCCACTTAATCCAAACCAAGCACCCAGTGAACTTTCCCAACTTTCAAGGTATTTACTCAGGAGTAGGGAGACACTGAGACACTCCCAGTCTCTGCTGGGCAAGCAGTCAGCCCTTCTTCCTTTCCCTCCCTCCATGCAATCACTTACTACATGCATTTGAAGCATATCTATTCCAAAATGTGCTAAGTGTTTGGCTATGTGAGGGTCCAAAACCGCCTCCTCTTCATCAAAGGAATAGACATCTGCAAAAATAAAAACAGAAGAAGAACTTCAAGAATGGTTAGCAATCACTATTATGTAATAAGACTAGCTATGGCGTACATTTTCATTGCTCACATGGAAGCCCAGTTATTAAGAAAATACAGTGATTCCGTAGAATTTGTTTGTTACCAAATTACAAGGCGTCATGGGCAACTGGGAGATACCGACTCTACGATACCATTCAGACATTACAGTTGTGAGGAGAGCCATTACCCTGGACAGAGCAGGGATGAGTGGGAGCTATGGACACACAAAACCGGCCTCAACCTCACAGCAAAGTCAGTAGGAGGGTTGTGGCTCAGCAACACGCTTTGTACACAGAAGGTCTCAGTTCAGTCTCTGAAATCTGAAGTTGAAAGGATCAGAGAGCACATGATGTGAAAGCACTGGGGAGCCAGAGCTGCTCAGAGTAATCAGTACCGGGATGCATGAACCGAAGGTTTGGGTAAGCACACTCTGGACTACAGAAGTAAAACTACCAGAAATTTTGAAAGTTCTTTTTACTCTGGAGGGATGTCACCATTTTTAATAGCAATCTGGGAAAATGTTCAAAAGTATGCAATATTTATTTAGGATTCTTTACTGATCTGAAGTCACTTTGTTACTTTAGAAACCTAAAATCTATTATGTATGACTTAGGTTGCTCATAAAATTACTATTACAATTAAAATAGCCTAAAAGTAAACTTGATCAGTAAATTTGCACTACTGCCTGATTAAACCATGCTGTTAAATATATTTTATTATTATTACATTTATGCATGCTGGTTTTATGAGCAAACAAAATTTTACGCAATAATTTTATTTTATGCCTGGAAAGTAGGCATAATTCAGCAAGTCACAGAATCTTATGAATCATGATAGAAGCCAGAAGAAGCAAGAAGAGTTGAAGGCAAAGGAAAACTGATGTTCAGCATCTGTTTCTGTTTGTGAGGAACTGGCTAGAATGGGGTTTAAAAGTAAGTGGTCCAAAGCAAAAGCTACTGAGAGCTTATTTAGATATTTAGAAATACTCTCTTAACTGTAAGGAATGGTAAGCAACCTCAGACTATTATCTTCAGAGTGACTTTTTATCCCTATTTGCAAATAATTCCTTTTAATAGGCATCTTATTTTTTGTTCATTTTAAGAACAGATTCATTTTTTCAACTGGTGGTGTTGGGTGTTACTCCCATCAAACACCAGAAGAACCATAGGCTACAGAGTTTCTCTTAGGAATAAGCAGAGATACAGAACCTCACAGACCTATTCGACATCCTCAGGTCAGATATCCTTGGGTTCCTTCACGGAGGATCTCGGAGGTTTCTAGTCCCTGCTCCCTGGAGGAATTCCCTCACCTCCAACACGGGAGACTCCTCCTCCTCCTCTTTCTCCTAAATGCAGCTGAGAGTGGTGAGGAGACATCTTGGATGGGGACTACACCTGAATGGTACAAGGCTCCCACTGCACCCTCCTAAAACCTGCTTCTTGATGTTGGAGAAATGGAAATGGGGGAAGGTAGCAAGTACCCCCTTCCCGCCATGTGAAGGAAGGGAAAACCTAGATATTGAAATAGGACCACTATGTTGCCCAAAGTCAGTTGTCTCCTAGAGTCTCGCCTCTTAATGAATGTATTACCAACTGTTAATGATAGTGTTTTGCATGAAGAAATTTAGTTATTTTTCCATTCTGTTTAAAAAAAATAATAATACTAATGATGATTCTCAGAGGATCAGTTTCCCAAGGAAACCTAAATTTAAATGAATTTTAGATCTCTTGTGGTATTTTATATGTAGTTGCTGTCATTAATGACTCACATTGTGAGTCCATTTGTTCAAATTGCAGAATACCAATGTTTTATTATCTATATAAAGATATTATCCCCCCCTTTAATTTTTGGCCTCTTAATTTCTGCCCCGCAAAATCAGCAGTAATATTTCCGTTTGTCAGTTTATGGTTTATCAGCACTTCACTCCAGTTCATTAATTAATGCAGTTTGATAAGAACGTTTACAATCGCTTTAAGGAAGATGTTTTGCTTGATGCCGGAATGACCTCTTTCAGTTATGCTGCCAAAGACTTATCAAGCCCAACATTCTTCTGCCAGTATCTGCCAATGATGACCCCACTGGCATTCATGAAAACACAGTGTGCCCTTCTGCTGGCATTCAATGTTAAGGCAGCCTCTGTTTCTCAGTACATGTTATTGTTCCCCTCTATAAACATGAGCTCAGAGAACTCTCATACTTTTCCAGTTGAGTCACACAATGCAGCTTGACACCTGGAAAAAGTTTCTGTGTTCATCAGAGTGGCCTTACATGGGCTTGAGGGCCATTCTCTTCATCAGTAATGCATGCCTGATTAGAGAGAAGCAAGCAAATAAGGATCACAGACTTTGGTGCCTTTAAAAAATTAAAAAGGGTGACAAGAATCCTAATCCCTGTTATTTGTTATATACACACACGCACGCGCACACCCATGGACACGCACACATGCACACACACACGCCATCTTTGTTCCAAAGGCTCCAAGGACCCCAAGACACTGTATATGACCCTACTTCTCGCCAAGTTATCTTCCTAACACCCATGTGAGGTTGATTGGTCTGAGACTCAGTGACCCAACCAACTATGCCACGCTATAACAGATCCCTAACACAGCAATACAGACTTATTTTATTCTTACACTGCATTTATATCACTCTTTTTTTCTTCTTACAAGGAACCCAAGGGAACTACATAGCTCCATTTTATCCTCACAACAACAACCTTGTATGGAAGATTGGGCTAAGAGGCTGTGATTGGCCCAAAGTCACCCAGTGTTGCAAACTGCCCAGTGTATTTAGTTTCTGGGCAGTTTGCAACACTTTTAACCAACACTTAAAAGCCACTTGTCTCTTCGGGGATCTAGCTAAGGTGACTGTGTAAGTCTCAACCTTTATCTACCACAGTCTTCCCCAACCTGCCACCTCTTATTACACGAGATCATAATTCTCCAAGCTGAAACAGCTTAATCTAGGGACACTTCAGTGCAAATCCTGGTTCAGTCAAGACACTTAACTGAGTGAACTTGGGCTAGTCATCTTCTCTGGGTTCAACTTACCCCACGGGGCTTTTGGGGGAAAGCGAGCAGGAATCCTGAGTGAGCCATACTGAGCTTCTTTGGAGGAAGAGCTCAGTGCAAGCGCAGCTAACAGAGTTGTGACTCTTTGGGCTATAAGTGTCACTTGATTTGAGTAATACAACCCAGTTTTAAAATCACAGTTGACAGATTGGCTGCCCAGTTAAGCAATGAAACTGAACACAGGCAAAGAAGAGCTCGCTCCCATGAAAACTACACAAGAGATGTACCAACTTCTTCTTCAGATGAAACAGTTAAGAACAAATCTGAATTTCCAACCCTGCTGACTGCAAACTTGTTTCACAGTTTATTTTTGAAGTCCTTTTGCCACCCAATTAGTCCTAAATTAGCTGAAACAGAACATATTAAGGAGAAGCAAAATGCTCCCTATTACCATGTGAAGGGATGAAATATAATGCATGGGCTGCTGTCTTGGAGGGAACAGGATTACAGAGAGATATATCACTGCTGCTGCTTTCCCCACCTTGCTTACAGGGTTGTTTAAGGTGTCGTCGTTAACATATTAATCCCTGAATGGCTTGGGACCAAGTTACTGTAGGAAGTGTCTCGCTCCACATGTCCCTGCCTGATCTTTGCAATCATCAGAGAAAGCACTGCTGAGGATACAGCATACTCCTGAGCTTTGCTGGACATTAGAGAAGCCCCCACCCCCAGTTCTGATGTTTACATATCTTTTCAAAATCCATTTCAGTCATCGAGAAATTGGGCAGCCATCTGAGTGGGATGGTGTGAACTGGTGTCCTGCAACAGCAGGAGGTTGGACCTGTTGGCCTTCCTGGCCCTTTCCAATGCTGCTATTCTATGATTCTGTGACCTCTTCACCCGGGCTTTTCCCTGAAGTAGAACCAGGCAGTTATAGCCTGTAGTACACACTAGACTGTGGAGCTTTATTGATGATTAACGTGTCTTTGTAACTGTGTGGTTTAATTGCTTTATTGCTCTTTTGATGGCAAGTGAGCTGTATGTTCATCCCTTGGAAAACTCTGAGAAAAAAGGCAGGTTGCTTACCTGTAACTGTCGTTCTTCAAGCGGTCATTTGTGCATTTACATCTATGGACTTTATGGAAGTGTTTGTCTCCAGTCTAGACCAGTAAGTGTGATTGCACAGAGAACATGAAGAACTGTATGATTCCAGGTAAGAAACCAAGAAAGTAAGGCTGAACTAGAAGGTTTGTAAAAGTAACGCTTGGAATGCTATCTGTAGGCATTAATGGAAAAACACTCTTCTTTTATTAAGCATTTAAAACCCATACTTTTACAGCAAGTCCCAGTCCAATCTGTTGTTCTCCTGAATAGCCTGCTTTGGCTCCCGTGGGGCATAGGTGACCTCAGGGCAGGTTCTCTGATCAGCTCCTAGCCAAATGGACACTCTCCAGAGCAGTATGACCCCAGGAGATCACTATGGCTACAGGAGCCTCACCAGCTTCTCTTACGCTAATAAATTTATTCCCTGTGTGCTCGATGCACAACCATCAACAATGACAGAGGCCACTCTGCCCTTTTCAGTTGCAGCCAGGGCTTCCAATGATTTATTAGCTTCCAGACACAACACTAACTCTACAGTAGAAGTATGAGACATGGAGGGACAGTACTTAGCTGCTGGCCAGCTCAGCCAGAGGGCCCTTGGGAGCTGCGTGACAAATGCCACAGTACTAAAGGGACCCGCAAAGCCTTTTGTTCTAAATTTGCAGCATTGCAAGGATGTGGCAGGCTTGAGATGATCACCAAATCTGTCTGGGCAAAGCAGTGCTGTCCAAAGAATTAAAATCAGCCCTTCAAACAGACTGCTGATGTCAGCTGTACATCTGTGCTCTGCAGAACTCCTTTTCTAGAATGCTTATCCCTGACATGCTAGCTTACTCTTTGCATGATCTGCAGTGGGTGAGGAAACACAGAAACAGAGCAAGTCTGAAGGGGTCCCCCAGGCCATCTAGTCTGACCCCGGGCTCCAGTTGGCTCCACTCATGACATGCCCACCATGTGCATGTCCAAGACAGGAAGCATCCGGTCATATGATGGTACCCTTAGCTACCATCTGAAATATTACAGACACAGTTTTGCCCCTCCACAAGAACTGGAGTTGTGTATCTCTATGAAGTGGTAATCTCCACCCATCTGAGGTAACAGTCTTGCTGACTCTATGACCTGTTATCTCAGGATGAAGCTTGTGATGTTCCCAACGTTTGGAGAATTGCAATTCATTTCAGTTCCATTCCCTTCGCTGGACCACTTGTCAAAATGTTAAAGGAAGTTCAAAGGGGTTTTCTTCCAAGATTAATTAATCACATAAGGATCCTCCTCAAGAACAGAAATGCAAGACCCCATAAACGAATTGAAACAGGACAAATAATCTATGAAATACCATATTTTTCTGACTATAAGATGCCCCCATGTATAGGACGCCCCCCACTTTTACTGAGCAAGCTGCTGCTGCGTGTGCGTGCCCACCGCCTCCCTGTATGCGCATGTCCGCACCTGCCCCCCCCCCCTCCCCCCCCCACCCCCCCCCCCCCCCCCCCCCCCCCCCCCCCCCCGATTGTGCCAGTCTTCCCCCCCCCCCAGCACGCCCACGGTTCTCCTCTCGGCCCCCCATGTATAAGACACCCCTCCATTTTTAGGTAAATATTTTAAAGAAAAAGTATAATTATATACACGGAAAAATACGGTAGCTTGCAACGCAGTTACAGGACACAGCCTAATCCCAACCCCATGTATAGTGGAAGGGAGAGATACCACACTTCTTTCCTTGCCTTAGCTGCAGGTAGCACTGACTTACATCCTATTCAGTTGTTCTATACAGCAAAGATATGCTGAAGCCAAGCAGGCAAAATGGAGCAGGGGTGATGGGATGTACCTTATCCATAGAGGAGGGAGCGATTTAAGGCCCTAGATTGCAGGAGGAAACAAAGGCCCATCTCCAAATATCTGCTGCTCTTTTCATTCACAACGAAAGGGTGATGAACATCCATTATCGGAGAAGTAAAAAAAGGAATGGAAATGGCCAACCAAGACAGAAAAGGTGGAGAAGGGGAGCAGAGGACGTACAGAGAATTCAAAATTCCCTGCTCACATTTTGATCCAAGACACCTGCCCTTTGGCAGCTCACCTCAGGTCCCAATCTGCAAAACCTTTCAACCTCAGGTCCCAATCTGCAAAATGGAAATACTAAGTGCCCAACTTCTGTTTTTGTCTCAGGGGAAAAACAAAATGGGGGAAGAAGCATTTTTACAAATGTTAACCGTTATTGGCATAAACATCAGGAAAAAACCCATCTATTTTAGTTAAAGCATTTACAGCCAACTTTTCAAAGCATATAAAACTCCCAAAGCAAAGGAAGAAGAAACTGAATTGCTGGGAGAAAAGTGACATGGCACAAAAAAAGAAGGCATACCAACATGCCTGGCAAGAGGAGCTGGCACCGGTTTTGCTGGACACCTTAGTTTCCGTCACTTTCCACCTTAATTTGTGCTGCAACTGATGGACATCACATTTCAAATATTAAGTTAGCTGCTGATTGTCCCATATCCCAATGATTCTAGCTAAGTTTCCACTTTTTTAAAAAGGCTTGAACACAAATTGACCCACAGATACATTTAAATAAAGCTTCTATTTCCAAAGAATTCCAAATACATCAATCATTTCTTTCTAATGTTGCAAAACTACTAGGGGGAGATAATTTTTGACAGCAGAGCCACCAACCAGTCAATACAGCACACAGGCAAATTTTGCTTCCAAGCCCCAGAATTGGGTTTTCTTAGTTCAGCCTTAGAAGAAAAGATACATTACAATATGACAGGTGTGTTTCCAGGGAACCTTTGCTTTTAGCTGCACATGTATACATTCAAAGCACCATCTCTGCAGCTTCTTTTTCAAAATATGCAACTACCCTTTAAAGGTCAGAAAAAAGCAGGACTTGATTTAAGAAACAGGGGAAAATTCAGTAAAGATATACAGCTTTGACTAACCTGCACCATCAGGAGTAATTGTTCCAAGCTTCACTGCTAGGGGATAGCCCATCTCCTTGTAGTGTTCCAGTGCATGCCCATTTCCTCCACTGCCATCAAAGAACCACTTTCCACACAATACAGACCCATCTGTAAGGTTCAGCCAAAGATTTTCCCGCAGGTCACACTTTGAGCATTTCCAGCCGCTAAAAATCCAGAAACAACCAGAGTTACATTGGTAGCACCAGCTAGGAATTCTAGGTTTCACTCCAAGAAGCAATCAAGAGACCCGCATTAGATTAGCCATGAAATACTCCGTGACAACTACAAAGGGTTCACCACTTTCTTCTACCATTTTTTAGATCTTATCCTATCACTCCTCCAAATCTGCCATACTTTATTAAGAATTATTTTCAAGTTTTCAACAACACAGAGAGCACTTATTAACAAAGCAGCATAAGCAAACAAGCAAATGAAACAAATCCCAAAGCCATTAGACATTGGCTCCAAGGAACTTAGAATGTACATTTTAGTGGTGTGGGAGACAAGAGAGAGAGAATGGGGGAAGAGAGGGGTCTGGGTAAAGAGGGAGGAACCAGAATGCCCTTCTCTCTTGTGTATTCATTGCAGAACATTTTGTTTTATGCACATGTAAAATAAAGTGAAGAATGCTAGCCTGCTGACAATCTAAAATATTTGTTACATGTTATAAAACCATATAATGGACTGCAGTGTTCTTTAGAACCATTTAATTAGCTTTAAAGTACGTTGTAAGAGGCAGGTAATGAATTAATGCAGTATTAATGGTTTTGATAGAAGCATAAATAGCCGAAGCAGAGACAGGAATAAGAGGAAGGACAAGCAAGATGATTTGACAAACAGGATGACTGAAATTAAAGTGATGGGTTACATATGTACATGTTTTAATGGAAGGAGACCTCTGTGCCAAAAATTATGTGTGTGTTAAATGGCTGGAGAGAGCTAGAGGGTATTTAGCCCCCACTGTTCCCTTCCCCTGCCTGCTGTGCACAAGTCAGCTGCTGGTGGAAAGGAGGCGGCAGAGATGAACAGAACAGGAGAAAAACAAAGGCGGAAGCTCAGCACTGGGCTGACACCATGTGACCTTTCGAGTAGGGGCTGTCCTGACATGTTGGACTACAGTTCTCATTATCCCTAACTATTGGCCATACTAGGTAGGAATTGTAGGGAATGTAATCCAATTCATCTGGAGGGGTACTCATTTAATGGAAAAGCCAGGATTTCTTAGGAAAGAAGGCACCAAGGTGGAAAAGGTTAACAGGCAGAGACCCTGCCCAGCCCTGCTTCCTAGGGCCATTTTAAGTGGAGTTGTTGCCAGGAAATGAGCCCTTCAACATGCAAAACATGGGCTCTCCAGGCCCTCTGGTCCATGCCTACTCTCAAACCAATACCGACAAACTCAGGACACTCAACCAGACTGGGAGATATTCATGGGATGCAAGGTAAGCCCATTGCGCAGGAACCTCAGCAATGCACTAGGAAAGTGAGTGGGTTATCCAGCTTCTCTTCCACAGCAAATTTTGCAATTCAGACCCAGCTGGAGAAGGAGGCAGGGGTGTAGCAGCAAGGAACCCATAGAAAACTGTCCGCAGTGGAGCAGCTGACAGAGCATCAGATTCCCTAAAGAAAGGTGTGCCCTCTGAATCCTTTGATTCCCTCACTCCAAATATTTAATTTATTTATTTAATTCTGTTTCTATGCCGCCCCATAACCCCAAAGTTTTACAATGTTAACTTTTTGGGACAGGTGTTTATACTGCTTTTATAACCCACCTATTTTCTTTTTGTGCGGATGCTTGTTGCCATCATACCATGAATGCCTGCTTCCCAAAGGCATGGGGCCGGCTAACAGAGGGCAGAAGACGCTGGATTCCCAGCCTCATCTAGCCAGGCAAGCGTGAACCATGGCAGCCTCACCTTGGTGGAATTCTGACTCCATTGTCCATTTGTACAAGAGTGTTGGCATGTTTGGAGACTTGCAGCTCTTCTTCCCATGAGTCTGGATCTTGCTTTCTGTACGGAGATTTCGAACTGAGCACTGCATCACAAGCTATTGTAACCTAGAAGCGGGCAGGAAGGATAGGTCACACTGAACATGAGAGGTAACATAAATGATATGTGTTACCATGATTTCTAACCAATAGCACCTATAGTACTCACACTTTTATATGCCCTTTTAGAATGTCCCAGGTGATTTAGGTACATTGTCTCAGTGTCCTATTCCAGAGCCCTGCAAGTTAGACCAATCATATTCCCATACTGGAAATTGTGAAGCTGTCATGGAATTAAGGCTGAAAGACATGGCTTACCTAAGGCCACCTAAAGCTGAGGTTTCCAATGTGATCTGTCGGCATATGTCTGGGTGGCTGCCTGGCTCCCCACACCCCCGTCCTAATTTTTATTTTATATCTAAAATTTGCATTAACTGGAGGACTGGTGTGCTGCAAAGGAGTGGCTGGGTTCCAAAGAGGGCTTTATGTGTTGGAACTCAGTTCCCATTACTACCATGTACTTAGGTTCATATGCAAGTTACTTTTCTTTTCATCTCACCAGCTTTCCTTCTGAGAAATGTGTGTTTTGTGAACCACCACGTCTACTATGGCAACCTTTTATGAACGGACAAACAAGGGGAAGTCATGTTTTGTTAGAGCACACACAACCCTCTCAACATGCCAATGTGCCACTGACACCCAAAAGTTAGGGAGTTCAAGTGGGAGGTGAGATTTAGATCACAGACTCAATCACTCACAACACCGAATCTGAGCCACTGCACCAGCAGCAGGCAAAAGGCAGACTGGGATCTTCTGGTAGATCTTCAGGTGACTTGGAGCAGGTTTCTGACTTCCAACTGTTTAACAATAGCAAAACGTAAAAATCCTTCTCCCTGTTCAGGCTGAAGAAATGAAGAATGCAGGGGGAAAGGCTGCTAACGGAAACCAATTCCTGGGCTTACATGTGCTCAAAATCACACTACACTATACCAGCTCTGGCAACTGCAACTAGCTGTGCCTGTGCACTCTGGCCCTGGCAGGAGAAGAGCTCTTAGCAAATGCTGCAGCATTAAGCATCCTGTGAACGGTTTTTGAAAAGTTCAGCAAAACCCTTCCATGCATGCCGCCTTTTGTGACAAAGGTTAATAGTTCAGGAGCATCTATGGTCTGCACTCTACAAATGTTTTACTCCACAAAAATATAAAGGATCTGCTTTATATATCTAGAGTGTTTCTAGCCAGAGGGCTTTTAGTGCTACCAATCAAAAGGCATTGTGCTGCTATTCCATCTTTCTTTCGTTTAATGGACTGAAGATAGACATGGTGAGGAAACACATGAAGATTGCAAATGGAAGATGTTGATGTCAGGAGCTCCCCATAAAAATCCACGCACATGGCCTGGTAATTGAACAACAGAAGCCTTGTCTAGACACACTCCTAGTCAGACTAACGGTTCAGTGAGCTCAGTATGACCTAGTTTAACTCGCAGGAGCTCTCCAAGACCTTTCCCGGTCATGCTACCCGAATCCACAAAAGTGAATACAGATGTAAAAGAAAAAGGGAACACCTAGTACACTCCTCACACTTGAACATTTTTAGTCCAAGACAGCAAGGTACATATAGGATCTGCCTTGCAAAATTAGCATTTATCATACCTGATATACCAAAAGCAACACTCAGAAGCAAATTCAAGTCATTGTACTTAGGCACCCTGGGCTCCAATCCCAAGACCACTCATTTACTTCCAGGTAAAAATGCACAGGACGTAGCATTGTGTCCAGAGCACTCTATAATGCTCATTCATCCTCACGGCAAAGCTGAGTGATTTAATCATCAGTACAGAAACGTGTCTTTAAAAGTATCTTTCCACTATGCTAAAATCCTCAAGAAGCCGTTTCAACATACATCACCAAAAATAAATCTAAACAACACATTTTTCCCTTTAAACACACTCCATCACACTCACTTACTTACCAATGCTGGTAATTCTTCTATGTTGGGTAGAGGAATTTCATAGTGGTCTGGGAATATAACGAGTTTAGCTTCATCCTCATATTCATAATCATCATTGTTTAAATCACCATTGGATTCTAAATCTGCAAGAAAGGGGTGGGGAAACCAAATAGAGCTTTAAGAAGAGAAAAAATAAGAGCTGTATCTTCATCAGCCATGCTCTCAGATAGGGATGGAAAAATCCCAGGCATGTGGTAGGATGCCCAGAGGGATGCCTTGTGCTAATGAATCCAAAATACTTGTTCAGCCCTGTAAAGAAGTGGTACCCAAATTTAATTCTGGCTCTTTCAAGAATGAGGATAACATTCACAGTGTTAGAATTTCCAAGTCCTCCCAACCGAGTAGCTTCAGCATTCAGCTCACTTGCAGTTATGCAGCTGAAGCGTGAAAATGCACTCATTGATTTTCTTCTTCAAACTCAATGGGGACAGATATAAGCCCTGGTTCTAAACACCTCATAGTTTGCCTGCCTGTGATTTTAAAAATTCGTGACAGAGTTTACTTTTTCTCAGCTATAACTGTGGTGAATGACAAAAGATTTAAGAATGTGGTTTGAGAGAGGTTTCATTTCTCATGGTGAATACATACATATTTCTTTTGTTCCACTGTGAACTCCTGGCAAATAGGTTTTATAGGGTTTGGAAACACAAAGTCCTGCAAAACCCATTTAACAGTGCAGAAAGTGGGATAAAGGTAAAAGGTTTCCCCTTGACATTAAGTTCAGTCATGCCTGACTTTAGGGGGCGGTGCTCATCTCCGTTTCCTAGCCAAGGGAGCCAGCGTTTGTCCGCAGACAGTCTCCGTGGTCATGTGGCCGGCATGACTAAACACTGAAGTACACAGGACACTGTTACCTGCCCACCAAAGTGGTACCTTTTTATCTACTTGCATTTGCATGCTTTCGAATTGCAAGGTTGGCAGGAGCTGGGACGGAGCAACGGGAACTCACCCCGTTGTGCAGATTCGAACCAGCGACCTTTCGAGCAGCACAGCAGTTTAAACCACTGCGCCACCTGCAGTCCCTGAAAGTGGGATACAGGTACCCATATAAAGGAACATTTTCTTTTTCAAACTCTATTTCAGCTTTCTGGGAAAAGCAACAAACTCCTACCATCAATTCTACCAAAGATCAATATAACACAAGCTTGTGAGAAAATTAATAGCTATGCAGAAAACTGGCAGTCTTTCCAAGTCCTCTGATTAGAGTAACTTCTGCTAGAATTTGGGACAAACTATTGCCCTTAAGAAAGGCACACACATACCAAACCCAAGGTAACTTAAGGAAAAAATAGTGTTTTGAGAGGGAGAAGGTCATCTTATTAGTGAAGGAAGTTATTTATTCATTACACTCATATCCTGTCTTTTCTCCGAAACAGCATCTATCCCATCACCTCATTTTAAACACAGAAGAGCCTTGTGTAGGTGGGGTTGAGTATGTGCGACTGGCCCAAGGTAACCCACTAAACTTCATGATTGCGAATTTCAATTTGACACCTACTCAGTCATAAACCAACACACTAATAACTACACTGGCCCTCAAAATCAATTTGCACATGATAACCAAATATAGCTTCCCCTTCTTCCCTGGCACTCAGTGGAAAACACTCCTGCCTGCATACAGAGCAGAGTTCCTAGTTTTCATGCAGGCCCTCTTAGGTTCAATTTCTGGAATCTCCAGGCAGGGCAGGGAAGGTTCCTGCCTGGAAGAGCCACTGCCAGTCAGTGCCTACAATACTAGACTCGATGGACCAATCAGCTGACTCAGTACAAGGTGGCTTCCTATGTGGGGAAACAGCCATAACAACTGGGCTGTACTGGAATCCTCTTGTAACTGGTTCTGCTATCACAGAGGCTGAAACAACATCAACCGACATGGTGCAAAAAAGTGTGGTTCTCTCCCGGTTCACACAGAGATTTCCCCCGGCATTACCAGACACATAAGGAATTTCATGGAGGGAAACAGCCAGTCTACATGTGTGAACTGGATAGAAAATGACATTCTTGTATTCTCAAGAGCATGCCACCGCAAGACCTTCCCTATATTGTTAAGTAATTCAATCTATTCATTTATCCATCCAAAGGTAACAAGATATTTAATATACAGCCAACAAAACAAACAAATACGATGCGTGGTAAAACCGATTCTCCCTCTCCTCAAAAACTCAAGACTCTAGTGAAAACTTTACATAAATGAAGTAGTTAGTTTTGAGGGAGGAGTTTTCTCAGATGCTAGCATGCCTGAGAGATATATTCCCATGACTGAAATCCCAGACTGGTAGGCAGTCTGCCTCATATTCCTAGATGTACTGAAGTGAGCAATTACTTCTTTTGGGGCAGAAAAAATGTACTCTGCAATTGCTCCATAATTTCACCTGTTCCAAGGCTCAGTATTGCCACTGCGATGAGATATGCAGGGAATAAGCCCTGGTGAGACTGGACAAAAATTGCTGGCAGCACCCAGTGCTTTCACAGTGCTAATGTCATTGAACTAGTGTAAAGGCACAGGGAGATAGCAGTGATCCATCAGCACATTTTTGCCAGAATAACCTTTTTTTCTTTGCCTAGTACGCTCGAATAACATTGCCCCGGGTCTGCTATGGAGAAAGAATCAGCAATACTCTCATTATATAAATCTTAATGTTGCAATGCTGCCCTTTGAGAGGTAGAGCCCTCAAAGGCAGATTAGAAATATGTTAGATAAAATATTCTTTATAGTCTTTGGGCATCCCTCTCAGTACAGACAGCACCATCTAGACTGATTCTGCAATCCACACACAATTCCATCACACAAACTGCTAGATATCTGCGGCCACATTTCAGCCATGTAGAGTGCTGGAAGTCAAAGCACTGAATTGGATACATGCAGATACACACACACACTTACACTGAACAACATCCTTTTGAACTCAGGCTTAAGGTATGATGTTACACATATTTGCAGACCTTTCATGTATCACCCTACCTTGACAGAGATGGTAACTGTTACTGACACTTTGGCAAGCTCCCATGTCAATATTTGCATGGTATGGGGTCACCTGTGAAATTAGGCCAGAAACTTCAATTCGTTCAAACTAGGGTGACGAGACTGGTGACTGGGACTGGCCAACATGATCATAACCTACCAGTTTTTCCCCAACTGCACTAATTGAATGGGGCCTGGAAACAGGATGACAAAGTGCTGTTTTAAACCTTTCAAGCTCTAAAGGGCTTAGGGCCAGGCTACTTGAAGGACTTTTCTTCCCATATTCCTCTACTCAAACAGTCTTGGTTATTGGGAAGTTTAAAATTATAATGAATAAATGCATACATAAATATTTAAGATAAACTTTGTTGCTGTTGTTAGTTGCGAAGTCATGTCCGACCCATCACGACTCCATGGACAACCTTCCTCCAGGCCTTCCTGTCCTCTACCATCCCCTGGAGTCCACCTAAGCTCACGCCGACTGCTTCTGTGACTCCATCTAGCCACCTCATTTTCTGCCGTCCCCTTCTTCTTTTGCCATCTATTGTTCCCAGCATTAGGCTCTTCTCCAGGGAGTCCTTCCTTCTCATTAGGTGGCCAAAGTATCTGAGTTTCATCTTCAGTATCTCGCCTTCTAAAGAGCAGTCAGGGTTGATCTCCTCTAGGACTGACCGGTTTGATCGCCTTGCGGTCCAAGGGACTCGCAGGAGTCTCCTCTAGCACCGCAATTCAAAAGCCTCAATTCTTCAGTGCTCGGCCTTCCTTATGGTCCAGCTTTCACAGCCATACATTGCAACTGGGAAAACCATAGCCTTGACTATACGCACTTTTGTTGGCAGGGTGATGGCTCTGCTTTTTAGTATGCTGTCTAGATTTGCCATAGCTTTCCTTCCCAGGAGCAAGCATCTTTTAATTTCTTGGCTGCAGTCCCCATCTGCGGTGATCTTGGAGCCCAGGAAAATAAACTCTGTCACTACCTCCATTTCTTCCCCATCTATTTGCCAGGAAGTGAGAGGACCAGATGCCATGATCTTGGTTTTCTTAATGTTGAGTTTCAAGCCAACTTTTGCGCTCTCCTCCTTCACCCGCATCAAGAGGCTCTTTAGTTCCTCTTCACTTTCTGCCATGAGAGTGGTATCATCTGCATATCTGAGCTTGTTGATATTTCTCCCAGCAATCTTAATTCCAACTGGTGATTCATCTAGCCCCGCCTTTCTCATGATGTGCTCTGCATGTAAATTAAATAGGCAGGGCGACAGTAGTATACAGCCTTGCCGAACTCCTTTCTCAATTTTGAACCAATCAGTGGTTCCGTGTCCAGTTCTCACTGTTACTTCTTGACCCGCATATAGGTTTCTCAAGAGACAAATAAGATGGTCTGGAACTGAAGAGCCAGTGTGGTGTAGTGGTTAAGAGCATGGGACTGGGACTCAGAGGACCTGGGTTCTAGTCCCCGCTCAGCCATGGAGCCAACTGGGTGACTTTAGGCCAGTCACAGACTCTCAGCCCAACCTACCTCACAGGGTTGTTGTGGGGATAAGATGGAGGAGGAGAGATTATGTAAGCTGCCTTGAGCCCTTTGTAGGAAAAAGGCAGGATATAAATCGCAATATGAATGAATGAATGAACGAACAAACGAACGAACGAACTCCCATCTCTTTAAGAACTTGCCACAATTTGTTGTGATCCACACAATCAAAGGCTTTAGCATAGCCAATGAAGCAGAAGTAGATGTTTTTCTGGAACTCCCTAGCTTTCTCCATGATCCAGCGTATGTTGGCAATTTGATCTCTAGTTCCTCTCCCTCTTCAAAATCCTGCCTGTACTTCTGGTTGTTCTCGGTCCACATACTGCTGGAGCCTAGCTTGTAGGATTTTGAGCATAACTTTGCTAGCATGTGAAATGAGTGCAACGGTGCAGTAGTTTGAACATTCTTTGGCATTGCCCTTCTTTGGGATCGGAATGTAAACTGACCTTTTCCAATCCTGTGGCGACTGTTGAGTTTTCCAAATTTGCTGGCATATTGAGTGTAGCACTTTTACTGCATCGTCTTTTAAGATTATGAATAGCTCAGCTGGAATACTGTCACCTCCACTAGCTTTATTGTTGCTCAGACTTCCT